CAAAATTAGCCAACTTCTGTCATCCAGGCCCATGCGCTCCAGGTACCAGCATGGATGTAGGGGCCTCCATCAGCAAAACATGCAGTTGGGGCCTTCGCTGCAATGCATGTAGAAACGGGCAGGAGAATTATACCCGAAGCATCGCTTGTCACAACAAAACGGCACAACGTACCACATCCTCCGTCACCACATATCGTAATAGAGACCGTCTCCGCCATGGACTTGCGAAGCGACTCGCAGGGTCCGCGGCAACAACCACATATGGGAACAGCCTCCCACAGCGTCGCTCGATGCCAACGATTTAACAAGACCGGATGTATATATACTAATCGCGCTGTCGAGAAGGGTCGGGGTCAATTCGTCGATGGTCGGTTGCTTCGATCTGGACTTTGGATCCGCTCCGGTGCAGGACGGAATGGACGCGACTACACGCGATGAAACGAGTGAAGGGGGGAAGTCCTCGAAGGTCAGAACAAGAACAGCGCGTCAATTGAACGGCAAGGGAGCAGAGAGAATGAAGCAGGGGACGTTCAAGAGAGCAGTCTTTTCCCTTTTTTCCTTTTTTTTTTTCAGGGTCACACACCAAGCCCCCTTCGTTTCGATCCGTGGAAGGAGCATCCAGAGCAATGTTGATACTATTCCTAACGCGGTAAAGCGCACTCCCAAACCCATGGATCGCCGCCAGCCTTAACTGCTAGCCCAAAAGGGAAGGCGAGAACATACAAAAGGAACGACATGCTATCTATTTCTATCCCAGAATCGCCTTTATAGGGTGATGAACTCCGTATCAACAGACCAGGTTGGCCGTAAATCAGACTAATATATCTACAAAATAAATCCTCAGTCGCTCGGTGACGAACCGCGCGAGCACTCGCCTTTACCCCACGCTGTATTAGCGACAGTCATCCACAGGCCGGTCATGTCCAAAATGGTTTCTGGGGTATGCCAGATCCTGCAGTCTGCGGGTTCATACACAAATTGGCGCGGAATACGCTCCTTATCGTTGACATGAATAGCGTTCCGATAGTTGATCCGTCCACCTTTCCCGTCCCCGACTGTGCGAGCAAGGGCGTATGCCCCATCCCGATAAATCTCGCCAATGTCTGTGTCTTCCAGCTGTCGCTGCTCTTGTGGCGTTGAATAGAGTTCGAAAACGTGTGCCGCAGATCTGAAGACTTGCTGGAACGTGAGTACCTGCGCGCCCTTAACGCCACCCACTGCCTGTACGGGTCCGTCCCGCGGCCGTCCACCGGTCACAATCGACTTGACACCTTCTTTCTTCAGCAGGTCCGCGAATACGGCGCATGTCGATGCACAAGTCGCATCTGTGAGTAAGACGATATCATCTGCCTCGAAAACTTGAGAAGGCAGCTTTGAACGGGTTCCATGGCCAGCAACAACAAATCTGCTTGATTTCAATGACATGACTTCATTGTCCAGATCCCAGCGTGCAAGATGAGTAAAGTTGAAATCGCTGTGAGTCACGGGTCCAAAATAATCATCCCAGTTGCTGAATTTGTCTCCCTCAACATCCACATAGGTATTAAGATCAAAGATGCTGTTCCTCTCATAAGCGGCCGCCTTGCCTCTCATAGTCCTTGGGTCCTTGAGCAGCTGATTGACTTTTCTGCCGATGATGTCAACCTGTTCTGTGGCCCGAAGGTTGAACGCACTAGTTATTTCCCCTGACGGGAACAGCTGCCGTAGAATTAATATCACGGACACCTTTAACTATAATCTCCTCACTCACCTGCTTGAACAAGTCAAACCCCAAAAACAAGGCACCACCCCCGTTGGATGTGACATCTACGATTAATTTCTTTTTCCCTTTCTTTTTGCTTTCTTCGAGGAATTTAGATGTAATCGTGCTAAACTTCAAGTTGACATCGTTGTCTAGCTCGGTTGGTAAGAAAGAGCTGACAGATAGGACCGCTAGGTCAGAATCTCCCAGATGGTAACCAGCGATGGTCCCGTCGCTGAGTTCGACAACCGGATCTGGGAACTGTGGCCGCGGACTCCCCGGGCCTGACCGCTTTAGGAGCTCAACTTCTCTCTTTTTCAGCAGTGGAGCTTGCTCTAGATCCCCGCTACAAAATTTCTCGTAGAACGTGTCACCATCTTTCACTCCGTCAAAATCAAGATGAAAAAAGGCCCGATTCTGATATTCTTTTTTGGTGCCATTTTCGAATTCAATGTCAATCTGGGGTCCAGTATACAGACCAACGGCGGCGTAAAATAAGCCATAACTTCCATCTACACTGCCAGGATAGTTGAAGAAAAGACTGTTGTAGAGCGCATCGGGATCTTGAGAAGTCCCGCTGTATGAAAGCTGTCTCAGCCATGACACTGCATCTTTGCCATCGATTGACTTGATGGCGGAGGGGTTCCAGTTCTTGCTCGGCTTCCGTTGGAGGTCACCTGCTCTCAAATATCATTAGTCGGCCCTTAAATCAACACGAAGAGCCAAAAACATACGGTAAGCGTATACTTTAGGCAACTTTTTCCCATCAATAGACAGGGACAGTATCGGCCCGATTTCTGTTCGTCGGAAAGTGAAGACATTGAGCGCGTCTAGCTGTAGGTTGAAATGGCCATCATGGACGCTAATCACCAGAGAGTTCATTTCCTGCTGAAACTCGAACTCATTTTTGTATTTATTCCCAGCCGCTTTGTTTCGAATTCGTTTTATCCCCTCGTCGAGATCCGTTGCTGGTAACTGATATCCTTTTGGAGGATTTTTCAAATAATCGATAGTGCTCTGCCAGTGCCAAAAAGAATCGAGACTGTCGATTAAGCGCAGCGCATCTTTCTTTCTAAATGGTACGGATAGCAAGCAAGCGTGGGCCAGTTCGGCAGTTACCTGAAAAGTCCGAGCTGAGCGCCGGTACGCGAAGTTAGCTTCAGCCAGGTTCCAGCGTCCTGCCAGATTTTGTTGATACAAAACTCCATACCATCTTCATCGTCTGAGAGTTGCTGCTGTTGGGCTTGAGCCACCAAAGCACATGGTTCTTGATCCTTTGACCGAGGCGATACTAACGCACTCCATGCAGGCACTCTCCCCAAGGCCAGCGATGCAGACGAGAGTAGGGCCAACGACACAAACGCACTGCCAAACCTCCTCATGCTTCGCGTGGCCGATGTTTCAATTAAATAGTAGTAAGAGGTTAATTAATTAATCCCAAAGAACGCCTCTGTGTAATTCTGCCAAAACGAAAACGTGCCGTTGCAGCTTACACATGGAAGCAACTAGCGAGTTTTGCCTCAAGGACAAGGAGATATAATTTTTTGTGAGAGAAAAGACAGCACAGTACGTCTGTCGCGTAACAGGAGATGCCAGCTTTTTGAAGGACATTTTGGGCAGAGGCTGACATTCTCCCGCATCAACACGAGTCATCACGGGTTCTCCTGAGGGATGCCGTGTTATTGGGAGGACGCGTGGTGGCTGTGGCCCTGGACCCGCAGCCTAGAGGCCATGTGGATTGCGCTCAACGGGCTCAGTAACTAGCGGCATCACCGGCGAATATTCACCAATAATTAGAACGTTGACTCGCGCTAGGGAGTGTTTCATGGGGCAACATGAGGTGATGGAGTGGCTTTGCGGATGAGAGATGCGCCAACATCTATTTTTGGGTGTTGATAAGTCAAGATATAAGTTAATGTAATCTACCACTCAACGATGTCAATAATGACAGCCAATTCAGAATCACAATTTCTCAAAAACACAAGAAGATAAATCTACTAATAAATAAGATGGGCCTCTAGCAAATTGAACGTGGAATCGAATCCCCAGTGAGTTGAACATGTTAGGGTTGCCCTCCTAATAAATCGCTTCAAAAAGCTAACGACTGTTGCCAAATTTCATTAGTCCCATTCCCAACACACAGCATTACAGTGCCCAGTCTCAAATGGATATAGAGCCCTCGAACAGCCCCGAAGAATCCCAGAGTACCCATATTCTTCCATTGTCCCATGATCCTTATCGTGGCCTCTCGGTTATTGGGATTGGCATGACTGGGCTTGTTCTTGAGATGGGGAAGGACCGTGTTGTTAAGATACCTAAGCACTATGAACCTGAACATTACCGCGACCGCGAGGAGATGGAATATGTGAATAAAATAAATCGGCAAATTTTGCAGAATGAGATCCAAGTCTTTGAACGCCTAGGGGATCGTAGAGGCATCATTCCTTGCTTTAAAACATCCCAGTATGGGACTGAGCTAGCTCGTGCACAGGGGGATCTTGAGTCCTATCTAGAAACCAATCCAGAACCGGAGGATTTGTTGAAAATCAACTGGATGTTGAGTCTTGTTGAGACCTTCCATTCTTGCAAAGTATTTGTGGATGAATATCTTAATTCTGGAAGGGCAGCTCCAACTTGCAGATTTCGGACAGTCTATTTTATTACCACTTGATATTGACATTGCTTCCGTGAATGATAACGACTTGAATGTGCAGATCGAGATACTCCATCTTGGTTGGGTACTCTACTCCCTTGCGTCCTGGAAAGTCCATAAGTACTATTTTTTCAACCCTGAGAACCTTGATCTCCGTTGGCCCGAACCAGACTCATTCCCAGGTCTTGATGATGTTCTATGTGGAAGGATAATTGTGAAGTGTTGGCGCGGTGAATATACGAGTATGGATCATGTGAAAGATGAAGCCCATCAATTGCTCATTAGTCTTTAGGACATGGATGTAATCAATGCAGATGAGCGCTTGCCAGCAACGTCCTGCTCCCAGACCGACTCAAAGGGTTTTGGATAATTTATACACCTTTCCATATAGTATTCCATCAATTTGATTCCTAGCTTGTACACATTCCAATCAATCCAAAATTCTATTATTCTGGTATTGTGGTATTGCCGTAGTCAACTTTGCTAACAGGCAGCCTCTAGTTGAGAGGATACTTATCCCTACCAGAAGGGTCAACTTCGCCTTTCTGCGATTGGGATAACAGGGACTCGTTCTGAAGTGTAGTCGACTGGCTGTGCTAAGCAAGACGCACTGATGTAGGCCTGTATCCTTCAGCCGTTTCCACCTTCACATGAACCTAAAAGCACCGATACTATTAACTATTCTTTAGAGAGCAATAATTTCATCAACAGTCAAGTGTTCATCCAAACTCTTTTCTGCAGCCTGTTGCATTTTTCTCTGGATGAAACCATTCAGTTCATCCTGCTCCTGCTGAGACAAAAGGGATATTCTATCATTCAAAGAGTCAAGCGAGCCAAAATATTTCTGATCAAGAAATGTCCAGTAAATGTCATCAAACATGTAGCTTTTCCTTGCTGCAAGACAGAACCAAAAGAGCTCATTTTCAACTGAGCGCGCCATTCGACCGGATAGCCGCTGCGACTCCATTATCGAACCCTTTCGGATCTGCCTGTCCTCACAATCTCGGAGCACCCCGAGGAAAACTTGGAGATGTGCCTTGTAACGGGCGAAGAAGGAGTTCAAATCTGATTCCCAAGCCTCTGGGCTTTTGAAAAGGAGCCACCACGGAGCAGTGTAAGTGAATTCAACTGGCGCCACATAGGTGAATTCCCAGTCAATGACGCCGGTGATCATAAAGTCTTCTTCGGAGATAAGTATGTTTGAAGGCCGAAGATCATCACAGTAAAGATGGAAGGGGCCTTGTTCTGTCTGCATGTCGCGTGCAATCTTCCGGAAAAGACACCGTGCAATGTATTTCTTGCGGCAGTCATGTTCATCTTCTACTGCATCATTACGCTGATACTGGAGATGAAGAAATTGCTGTGTCGCAAGTTCTTTAAAATATTCGGATGCCGTTTGAAACTTCTTTTGAGCAAAAATACTGGGAGGAAGGTTTCCAACGCGTACGAGTTCGTTCATGTTAAGGGTTAATGGTCGTTTGGTCACTTTCCAGGTTCCAGCTTCCAAGGCCCCAATGGCAGGAAATTCTGGCTTCACAAGCTCCAGCAGGATACGAGCCATTATGAAATAAGCCTTCCGCAGGTCGGAATCTGATATCTTGGGGTTCAAACTGGATGACTTCAGGTTTCGGAGGTGTTCGGACAGCAGGATTTCCTCGAGGAACGTAGTAACAATATAAGGCCCACAGCCCCAGCAGCCACCACCTAGAATGGCTGGGACGGGTAATCGTGTCCGTTGTTTGAGAAATTACAAAATTGCAATTTCGTCTCTTGACTTTTCGGTGCGGAAACGGCTTCGGCCCAGAATTGGGAAACGAACGACCACGCGAAATCCATCTTCAAACGTGACAATTGAGCATATGTTGTAAGCTCCAGTGATGAAATCTGAAGCTTCAACAGGGCGGGAGTCAGTGCGGTGCTGACCTGCAAGCTTTAGGGGCAACGCAGGCGATTCCTGCGATAGCAGCTTCAGCCAGCTAGCGAAGAATCGCTGTGAATTCTCTTCAGCGAGATGATCCCAGTCCATCTTACCGGCTGCTCTTGGTGTCAATAGCGTTCAGCACCCGTGCTTTCACGAAACTGAGCGCCGCTGAACTGATATAATAGGACTAAGCATTCCGTTGTCACTTTATATAACCCATCCATCGCCTAAGACACAGGCTCCCATATGGTCCTCGATAGCACCATAAGCGGCCTGTCCGATAAGGCTAAGGATGCTCGCGATACCCTGGATTCAATATGCCTTCATTTCATATGCAGCAACAGCAACACAGTCTTCAGCTCCAACGCCAATATTAAAAATTAAGATAAGCTAAAAATGAAAAGTGTCTGCAAACCTGGAATCACTCGGTCTGCTTCCACTTGTGCTTAGTTAGCTGTAGAGGAGAAGCCGGAGGATTGAACAGGTCGTCCAGATCATCCGCTCAAACATATGTTGTCGTTGTAATCAGAGCAAATCATCAGTAGCTAACTAAGAGTTAACTAGTTAACTTAACTAGTTAGTATGCTTGGCACTGCAAAACCTTGCTGTTCAGCTCAGGAGTCAACCACCACCAAACACAACCTCTAATGACATGGAAAACATGGTGACGGATGCAACCAACAACATTCTTATATACTGGGTAAGTCACATTGCTTTGAGCTATCCCCTCCCTTCCCTCTCACTGATGAATCATTGTATCATCCTTAGTCAGATGCCATGCCCACTGTTCGCGGCTCGTCTCCTCATGGGATCGAGTCACGGTGCCAGTGAGAGCAAGGCAATGATGGATGTAATCTTCTCTCTGATGCCCAAGACAACATCTTCTGAACGGACTTTAAATCCACTAATGGACCCGGGCTGACATGGCATCAGGTTCCATCAAACGGCATATGACCGCATCCAACCACAACCATGCTCCTTTGTAAGATCAATACTAATGTTGATCTGAAACTCCATTAGAAAACGAGGCCGGCGATTCGTTTCTCGTGTTTAAGATACCTGGCTTCTGGCGTGCATGTTACTAGATATCCAAGATCACTGTCGAAGCTGGGTGAGGATCGCTAAGTAGCTACATGATATGAGGTGCCGAGACACGGGCTTGTGGCGTGTATCGTGTTGTTTTTTCTGTACTTTGCTCTCATCATCGAAGTGCATGCGGAGCACTATTGTAAATAGCGCACAATTTTCAGCCGCAATCTCCTTTGAAGCCAATACTACTTTCCAACCTGTTCCATGGGCCTTTACCCTCGTTCTGCAACACCAGAAAGCCCTTGTAAAATCTTCATACACTCTGATATACCAAGGCCGCTTGATACATATTGACATTCGAGCCGGATGCACGTGGACGGTAACCCCAGGCTAGTCCCCCGCAGCAAAAAGCCCGTTGCTTCGTATTGACCAAAGCGCGAGATACTATAAATAGGTAGTTACTTTTTTGCCAACTGACTCCTCAACAGGGGTTGGGATCTTTTGAGGAGTGTGTGGCCATGTGAAGTCCTCACTGTATCAAGCCTCGACGGTTATCGAGTCGAACGTGGAATTGACTCCTTTGAATGTCAATGCAATACGGACATCTCGCTGTGGCGATTTATAATTTCAACCCCCCCCTTCTTTATCACTGCTGGGAATAGCATTCTTGACGGTCTCTTCTTGCCGAATGTTGGTTGCCATGGCCGTAGCTAACTAGGCTCAAAGGATGTGGTAGGCGAGGTCCCATCAATCGTTGAGCTGTGTTATTTTCGGGGCTTTCCCGTTTGTGCAATATCGATGCGGCCCTGGTAGATTTAGAATATGCTAGGCGAGGGGTGGAGGGTTCGGTTTTTAACCGAGATGAAGGATCCGAAGGGCGCTTCTATTTATTTCAGTCCATCTCCTCGTTTCCGTCGAGTCAGTCACATTGTTCTACTTGCCCGCTACTACTACGACTGAAAAATTATCTCCAAGAATTGTGAGACTGTTTTATCACTCCGAGCTATGTGTGAGCGCTGGCGAGGTTCATCCTCCGTCCAAACAGTTCAACAGTGGTAACACCACCACAAAGATTTGTTCCAAATATAGATACATTGTCTGTTGCCCAAAAAGGGCGTTCGGCATTATTGCCAAGCTGCTTCGTTTCTAGACGGGGGCACCATTCCTATGTCCAAAGGTATGTTGACCAACGGAAATTTCTAGGGTTCGTATCCCAGCACCTGTCGTCTATTTTTTCGATTCAAAACTTTAATTGGGAGATTGAGAATGGGTATATAGCTGCAACTTTCCCCTTGCCAAAAGAGATTAGGGATAAACAAGTGATACATTAATGACAAGTCCAGTGGATCGATCGACAGAATCCTTTCAGTGCGAGAAAAAAATGAGACCCGAGTCAGACGTGCGATCATACAGAAAGAGAACGGAGGAGGAAAAGATTTGTCTTTGTCCGCTTTATGGGAAGTTTTCGAACCGACGAGGAGAAAAGAAGTGAAGGTGCGCCGAATACTGCACGAACCATGAGCCCGCGATAGCCCGGAATCTTACTTCGAGACTTACCTTGGCTACATTCCTCCTCCTGGACGGAGCATGGGTGCCGTGATGCTGCCAATGAAATCAAAACGGATCGGTTCACTTCGTCGTATAGATATCGTTTGCGGGCATTTCCACGGCTTTCACTTGCGGCTGTTTACTCCTGGACGAGATATAACCCTGTAGCCGGCGGCGGGTCTCTTTGGGTCTTGTGTCAGGGAGTTCAGAGCAAGGATTTCGAGGAACGTCGGCAGCGGTCGTTATCTGATACTCCGTCTGTGGAAGGTATTAATCATCGGCAGTCAAAGGGAACATAGGAAAGTTGTTAAACTTACGCCTGTGGAAGTTATTGGAACTTTCTTGATATACCCGACGCCCTTGTCAACCCACGCTAAGACAATTGATTCTTCTTCATGCAATTGCATATATGACATGGCGAACGACTCGGATTTCGATGTAAGTTCTTTGGAGGTAGCCAGTTTTCGGCATTCCATGATGCTCGAATTGAGGTTAGACAGCTGATACAAATTGCCCTTATCGTTTACCAGGCCTAATTGATTTCCAGATGGCGAAAAAGCCATGCATTGAATACGATTGCCCAGGCGCCTAGTTCCATCCGGCTTGATCTCCGATACATGACCATTCCCCGGCTGGATAAGAACGGGAACACCAGATTGTGTCCATGTACTGATACCAACCAAAGCTTCGTCTGGAGTGCTTGAGGGTCGATATATCGCTGTTGACACCCCGTTGTCTTCTGACTCGTGCAAGGGCACGTGATAACGGCAAGTTGTGAGCTCTCGAAATTCTATAAAGGGAAATGACCACATATATACTTGGATTAAACCCATTTTGGGGTTTCTGGTGCTCCCAAGGAGGACAATACCATCGGTTGAGAAGGCCAAAGTGTCAACGGACGGACAATCCTTGCATTCTTTGTGGTACGGATGAAGACGAAACTCTCTTGGCTGCTCAGTGTCGGTGGTTCTAAATAATCGAACTGTGGCATTCTCGAATCCAACGACGACATAATTTTCCTTGGGACTTATAGCAATACTGCTGCACCATAGAGTCGACGGCATACGGTATTCGAGCACTAATGCCGTGGGTTGGATCAAATTCACCACGCGGAGCTACGAGCCAGAGTTAGCCGAACGAATGGCTAATCGCTTGGGTATAGGTTAACTTACCGTGAGCTTCTGATCGCGGGTTCCAATGACGTACGCTAAGTACGTTTTTGTCACGGCAGCCATCAGACAAGAACTCTCCGTTGAAATTGCCCCAACGGGCGTAGGAGGAGATGTGCCAACATCCCATATATGTATAGAGGGCTGCATCCAAAACAGAGCATGTGTTGAGTTCTGCGAAAGGTAAACGTGCACATTTTTGGCCCCCTTGCCTCTGCCGTGAAATTTGGAGCTATTGATCAAGTCTTTAAGGGATATCTCTTCCATTTTTTGACGATCTAGAGTTCCAGAAGAGATGGAGCTCGTATCTCCAGCAGACGATATGGGAGGGTCTCTTTTACGTATAGAAATCCACTTACCCTTTCTATCTATGTTGAGAATAGTACGAGCCCGTGTCGGCGGTATAGGGTGGGACGATGCTCTTGAACTTGCGCGTTCAATGCGGTTCGTCGATGATTCTGTCCCAGACGGAGACAATGTGCCTTCAGGTGGGTTGTGCAGGGTTCCTTCATTTATAGCAATATGCAGATTGCCGCTTTGAACTGTTTCGTTTAATGACGGAAAAATAGGTTTGGTACCTTCACTAAACGGTGAATCAAACCTATGCGAATGGTCGGGAGAAATTGGGGATACGAGGTCAGGAGAGTAAAATGGGTACTTGGTCAAAGTCCCAGAACTCGAGAAGCCCGTGGGCTCCATGTAGGGACTTGACTGCTTAGGGAACCTTTGTTCACTGGAAGTTGGAATTCCTATGTCGACGTGAGTGTTAATTCCGCCCTGCGCAGGCATGCCCATTCCAGGCTTTGGTAGGAGTTGGAATTGAGCTGGCGAGTGTCGTTCCATGCCAATCGTGTCCACATTGCATTCCACTAGTTTGAAAGCACTCCAAGCTTGCCAAACAAGTGAAATTTCCCGTGCTACAGTTACTGCCTCTCCACACTGAATACACTCTGTCCCTTCTGGCAGTTTGATCATGGGGCCTTCGCCTGGATCCTGTTTGGCAGTGTTAACAATAGAAAAACGTGAAACGAGGGAAACTGAAGATGCATACTGGAATTTTGATATTGTTAGCATCTGCGAATCGGTGGTGTTCAACAAAATGGCAAGAGGAACAATTGAGCGCATACGCTCGTTGGCATGTTGATCGGGAACGGGAGCCATCGGTAAAACCAGCTAGGCTGTTCATTATGGTAGTCATAGCATTCATCATTTGGGTATCACTGGCCCGATGTACGATTTGACGCTCATCAAAAGAGAGGCAAAAGGCATGAACCGCATCCATGGCTTCTTCGTCGATTATCAATCTCGACGAGTCCTCGATGCTGGCACTCGGAGTATCGGGCAGGATGACTCGGAAAATCTCACTGAAGGTGTCTATCATTTCCAGCTTGGAGAAATTCTGAGGTATTCGAAAGCTATCCAGCGAGACTAAGACCGCGTTTCGAAGTTGCGCACAGGACGCTTGAAAATCGGTGTCAAGGACCCCCTCATGCACAAAGTATTGGATAGATGCTCCCACTACGAAATGAGAGACGTCTCGGAGAGCAAGGAACTGGGATAGCCATTGCTCTGATGTCTCTTCTTTCTCGACCAGCGTAGACACGTAACCAGGCGATAGACATTCTGGCAGAGGATACTAGAATAACATCAGCCGAACCCATAGGTCAGTACGGTCCTAACCACGCAAACCAGCTAAACATGGTCAAGAAATCGGTTCTTAGACGTACCAATTGCGTTGCCACACTGGGTAATTCAGAGCGCAGTTTGGACGGAAGCGCAAGTGCATTGGGGTCGGTACGCAAGACATCTGTTATTTCTTTGCACACACAGAGCAAAAACGACTTTGGGCCAGGATAGTTGTCGAATAGTTTCTCCAAGGATCCGTGGATGCGCGCAAAACGATCTCTCCGATCCTTCATTCGATGTCCCCCGGGGGGTTTCGGGTGCAGGATCAATATTCGCAGCGCGACAGATAGCAATTCGGCGAGATATTTGTCTCGTAACGCCCGGGCTTCCCAGAAGCTATCGCGGCCTTCGGTGATAACTTGCAGCACGAACTCGACTGACCGAATGACCACCTCCCAGCTCGCCAAAAACCCCAAGTACTGGCCGATCGAGTCATTTTCCGAGGGAAGAGATAGACGCTGAAGGGAGTAGATGGCATTGAGCCGGGCCAACAGCGCGATGACCAGGTGCTGATAGGTCTCGGGGTCGCATTCCGCGTACACCTTTTCCAGGGAGAAGCGACCGAGAAGTTCCAGAACGATATCGTCGACATCAGGGCGAGTTCTCAACCGTTTCCACACGGTTGCCAAGAGCCTGACCTGAGAGCTGGCAGCGGCCATCGCAGGCGACGATTCTTCACCCTTCCCGCCCCACGGGGCGGATGGCTCTTTCGGCGTCTGCGGTTGCTTGGGATGATTTGGCTTTAGACGGGCTTAGCTATGAGATCGAGGATACGCGCGCGGGAGTGATGAGTTTTCTCCTGCCCCTCCAGCCCAGCAAAAATTGCAGCGACGAGACTGACGACATTAATTTGCGGATGCGATCGATTGAGTGGGCCCATCACAGGTTCTCTGGTGCGATGGGCGAGATGTCTGGGAGAGGTGTTTTCTCTCTGCTTGTTCGGTTTACTTTGGTTTCGGAAGCCCCCTTTGGCAGGCCTCTGGGCGTTTGTCCAACGATCTGGGATGAAAAGAACATGCCTCTGTGGCTGTAACTGGCTATACCAAAATACCGGCCATTTTTTTTTTTTTTATTTTCTTGTGATCGAGATTTTACAGGGCGCCAGCGCATCTGTTCCCCAGAGAGAACAATCACTGTTTTAATTCAGGACCGGTTGGCCGACGAAATTTTACAGTAATTAGAATCAGTCTCCTGGAGACAGCCTGGGCATCCCAGAAGGGAAGACCCTAGTTGGCCCTTCTCTGCTACTGTCTTTTCGTGCTCGAATCCTAATGCCTGTCTGTTTGCGGATTTTTGACTCGCTGGCAGGCTTTTCGAGCCAAGAGGTAAGGTTCGGCTTCCTTCATCCTCTCTGCTCCACTGATGCACCCGGGGTAAGCGGATCGATTGGAAATAGTGGAGGGATTTGTAACGTCGCAACAGTAGCATTTTGCTGCTGGAGCGGTCATTTGCCACCTTGCGATCTGGCCTGCGCTTTGATTGCTTGTTTTGCCAGCCATCCAAAACGGCATCGCGGTGCGTTGGCTGATCCAGACCCCAAACCCGTGAGCACAGGACGGGGTGGCCGTCATAATTTTACATAACCGGCCAAAGAGCCTCATTTTTTACGCAGCCGGTCTGTCCACTGTGGCTGTCCTGATTTGCGTGATGGCGCAAGGCTGCTAATCAGGAGGGCTCCAAGGTGCGATTATCTCGTATTTTCGTCTGAGCCTCGGGAGAGACACCGTCCTTGTTTCTTGTTCTTAAACTTGTGCCACGTTTGAAACCAAAAGGGCTTTGGTGTCGCTTAGTGTCAAAGTATGTCCATGTTAAAAGCAAGAGGTTCGTGGCCATCGCGCTGTGCTGGGAAAAAGTGTCCAGAAAGAGGTCTGGGATGGTGGTGATCTGTCCCATGGCCCAATACTGCGATAATAAACGAGCTCGTCGATTCTGCAGCGAAGCAACTGCCATTCCGGTGCTTTGTGGTAATACAACATGTCAGCCGGAAGTGTTGACCCAAGTCCGCAGCCAGGGTTGTTTGTAAGCAGGAGGGTTCACAACCAGGTTGGGTGATACAGGCAATTCGCGACTAAGACGAGCAGCTGGAGATCTGTGGACGGAAGATTCTGAAGTTTGATGCTTTGGTGATGTTTTGGACCTGCAGTTGCGAGTTAATCACTCCCGTCAAGCGCATGCCAACAATTATTTATGATTCTTATCTTGCTTGACTTGCAACTTCTTTGCCAACGCCCATGATCACCGGCACCCAGGAGGACGCGCACAGGGTAGCATGGATCATTTGGCTCTCGGTTTGCAACGGTCACTGCAAGGTTTGGCTCCCTTGTTGCCAGCACAGTCGGCTGGGTGTGTAGGTTAAGAGGGATGAAAAAGCAACTTAATCATCCAAGATCATAGGCCAGAGCAAGTGTTAAAACACTTTTGATTTCAAACATCCATCATGGATCACAAGCTTGTTAATTATTGACTTGATCAGCCACTTAATCACAGCATCAGCAAGGAGACCGATTTGTCAATGCATCCCAGCAAGGGCGGGAAAACTATTGAGATCAACAAACTGATATCCCAACCTCTGCTCAGACAAAACACATCTGGCATGCCGAAAGGACTCACCGTGACAAAAGTGATTAACTTCGCTCATTGAATTCTCCATCATGATTGCCAAGACGCTGTCCTGCATTAGTTATTGATAGCATTCGGGAGAAACTGTGGCTGTTCTCTGTCCATCTGGGTCTGTGTGACCTGTGTTTCCCTCATGATGGCGATTGAACGATCAACCAACAGAGGAGATAGTGAGTTGCCCGGCCACCAGGCCTGTGTGTCGCCGGTTTCTCGTCTCTCAGGGCACTCCGACTCGGGATAATCCGCCTGTTGGCTGAACCCTGCGCACGATCATCGCGGTCTGGGCAAACCTTCTGGGGCCACCAGAATGCCGCGATCCAAGCGAACAAACTGCACCGAACTTGGTTCCAGAGTAATAAGAATCCCGTCGTAGCGGCAGGGGGACAGGGGCGTCTGCCCCCGTAATCTCTTCTCTGATTTACCCTCCCCGCATTGGCTGTTTTTCGGTCTTTTTCATGTCAATGCTTCTCAGGAGTGACAACCCTTGTCCGTGAGATACGAAAAAGCAAAATACTGCCCCATGCCCATCAGGATGGGCTCGTATCTCAGAATATTCTTCTGCACGAGGGCTGTGCTGCGTCAATCCCTTCTTGCACTTTGCGTCTGCGGGGAGACCTGCAACTTCAACTCACTCCGCGATGAGGACATGACCTAACGACATCTGCGTTGTGTCAGGACATATGCCGGAGAATGTGAGCTGTTTACCCATGGACGGGCAATACACTGCACTTTCAGACAGAATGGCACCAGAAAAACCCCCCGGCGTGGTGCAGTACCGCAAGTTCTCTCAGGATGATTTACCAGAAGAGGCACCGCCAAGTCGAAGCGAATTGCTTATCGAAGAGCCAGTGTTCGAGGAGCCGCAGAGGAAGCGAGTTGGTGAAAATGTTTGGTAAGAAGCTGACTGGGCGCACGATCTGGATTTCGCTGACATGACCTCGCTTCTTCCAGGAGATCATTGGGCGAGAGGCAGATTAACGTGAGTTCCGCGGGCCGGCTCGACCTCGAAAACGTCTTGAACGCGTTGCTAACTCGACTCCTGTGAGGTTGCAGATGATAGCATTTTCAGGGTACGCACGTATAGCCTCCATACCATGATATTCTATTCCCGAGCTGATAATGGCGATTTTGATAGCACGATTGGAAACGGTAGGATTCTACACACTTTTCTCAAAGTCGAATGACTTTGCTTAACGCAGCTCGACAGGCCTATTCCTTGGGAGCGGTCGATCTCTTGCCGGAGCCGGGCCCGGAGGCGCCCTCGTTGCGTATCTTCTCATGGGGGCGGTGATGTCGGCGGTAATATCTTGCCTCGGTGAAATGACCGCATTAATGCCAGTGAATGCTCCAGTCATGGAGTTCCCACGACGATTTGTCGATAGAGGCGTCGGTTTCGCAGTCGGATGGATGTATTGGTGAGAGGATGGTCCCCAAACTGGGCAAAAGGCAGCATCTTAATGGAGGTTATTTCAGGTTCGCATACGCCGTACTTGCCGCAGATCAGCTGGTTGCTGCTACAAATTCCGTCAAATTTCACTACGAGGATGAGCACACCCTCCTCAGCTGGAAGGTTGGGGAGAATGTCCACGCGGCAGTGTGGATCACTCTTGTCCTTGTCGTTGTGACCATAGTCAACATGTTCCCCGTCAAAGTCTTTGGGCAACTGGAATACATATTCGGAAGCATCAAGCTTGCTTTTATCTCCTTTCTCATCTTGATGAGTGTCTTAATTGACACCATGAAACGTGAGCCTGCTCCTTACACGGCTAGAAGAGCTCTAGTTGGCTGACAATGCCATTATGGGATAGCCCGAGCGAATGCATACTACAACAAGCCGTTAGGGACAAAATGTAAGCTCTACAAGGACTGCTCACATTGCATTTGTATAAGCGTCACTGGGACCTAACACTGCCGGCAGACTGGGATGCGCCATACGGCTTTTTCAACCGTCAATTTCCAATAAAGGACGAAAATGGAAATCTGCAGCGGATGATGACTGGCTCAATGGGCTCATTCCTCGGCATGTGGTAAGTTCTAGATATCTACAGTATTTTCACATAATTGCTCATGCTATGCTGTAGGACCACGCTTATCAATGTCATTTTCTCGTACGTTGGTATGGATATCGTTGCCGCCACCGCCGCAGAGAGTAAAGCCCTAGCAGACTCTGAAGCGATGAAAATGGCCTCACGAAAAGTCTCGCTCCGTATCATCACCACTTATGCTTTGACTGTGTTAACCGCCTCGTTCACAGTACCGATGGACCACAGATTTTTGAATGGGGAAGCGCAATCAGTTGGCGCTCAGTCAATATTCATCATTGCTGTTGTTGAAGCCGGAATGCCAGCTATGGCTCACTTTTACAACGCCATGTATCTGTTTTCCGCATTCACCTGTGCCATCAACTCGATGTACGTGGCGTCTAGGGTTCTGCATACGTTGGCCCTTCGTGATCAAACTGGACCGGAATGGATTACAAAACGATTACGACTCTGCCATGCCGGAGTACCTGTTAGGACTGTTCTCGTTACTGCTGCTCTTATGCTTGTCGCTTATATGGGCCCTACCGGAGCCCCTGGACTGGTATGCAAGTTGAAACACCAACTCTCCACAGAGTAGGGCAAATTTAGGCTGACACATTTATGACAGAGGTTGGGTGAGCTCGCGTCAAATTGTACCGTCTCGTGTTTGATTGTCTATGCAAACATCTGTGGTACTTATTTGTGCTTCTTTAGAACGTATGGATATGCAGCCGCTCGCTTTGTTAATGGTCAAAGCTAATTAGCTCATAGGCTCCAAGATATCAAAGATTATGCCAACACGTACTGAGACACAAGCAGCTTGTTACGACAGAAATCACCCCAGGTATCCTTCATAAATCTCACGGACAGTGGTTAAAAGCCCTATTTGGTTTAATCCTCTTGTGTTGTTCTTGTTCCTTTCAACGGCATTGCCGCCTTTTTGGAAACCCCTTTTAATCCAAGGTCATTCGCTGCCGCTTATATTGGCGTAAGTTTTTCGCTGCTTTTCCCATTTTACCCCCTATGTTTTGCTCCCGGAAGATTAACATATCCCCACACAGCTGCCCGTATATATACTCCTTATTTTCGGCTATAAAGTCAAGCGTCACGGGTTCAGATTCAGCGAATGGGGCCCAGAACGATCAAATGATCTCTCTAATGCGGTTCAAGTCACCAGCGAGAAACGAAAGGGAAGACTGGAATTCCCGGACGATGGATTCACTTCGGATAATTTCAAAGCTTTTTTCCGTTGGTTGTGGGCTTGGATGAAGTGATATTCCTTATCGCTTGCCTTTTTTCATCCTACGGCGTTTGGTCTTTTTCAGGGTCGGGGCATCGTTTCATGGGCACAGCGCATTTATAATGAGCATTTGGCATATAGTTTTGGGTGGAAAAGAAGGTATTTGCTCTCTTTCAGGCAGGTACAGCTCGAGGATACCCATGATACCTTGATGGCGGGTTTTCTTGCTTGCTGCTTTTCAGTTTGTTTGGATTCTCATACCCACCACCTCCGTCTATATGAATAGAGCGTAAGCAAAATTATGGAGGAGCAACCGCCACGAAATACCAATATCTCGTTCCAGCCATATGCGAATAGAGCGGTTAAGAAGCTATCGCTGCCCGAAGGTGCGGCCCTCAACTGTGGACATGTTGCCATCATGACCCTCGAAGCGGACGACCACAAGACAACAAGGTGTCTGCAAACCAGGATGTCAATTCTCTCCGTTCTGAGTGACCCCATGTATCCCGTTCTCTGGGGAGCAAATCAAACGTCCTCCGACATGGGCATGCCAGCAAGCTCGAAGATCGAGGGCAACGTCCCCTGCTAGTCTGTTCCGAAACATCCTGGGCAAGGTGAGGGAAGTGTCACAGTGTGGGCTAGGTAGTGACGCCCGCCATCGATTAGGCGAGAATAATGTAACTCTGAGTTTCCTCAAACGAGAGAAAGTTTACGTCTAGAAAGAACCCCTGGTCCGCGCAGCTAATTATATTTTTGATCGACGGGATCGAGGACGTGGAAATGGCAAAGGAGACGAACTAGCTACTCCAGCGGAATGGCTGGCGGGATCGATCGGGCCTTGGACGGAATGTCTAAAATGGGTCTTCGGCTCCAAGTGCGAAGTCCGGAAAAAAAGTAAGAATAAAATCGGGATGGCACCCATAGATGTGTGCTTTATAAGTGGTTCGTTAACGAGCGGTTGCAAAAAAGATCTCCGAGGCTACAAAGTAACTAACTGCGGTCTCAGGGAGCCCTTAACTAGCTAGTTATTCATCTTATCTTTGATTTGAAACAATTTGAGTCAAACAGAATTCGAACCGGTCAAAGCACCCTGGGTGGTGTTCACGGCACACGATCTTCAACTGCCCTGTAAAGAGCCTCATTTGGCTAGAATTGAAGTTCTGACTGGTTGATCATTCCATGCATCGAAGATAAGTCATTCTCAATCAGAAATAACATGTGGATTGGACAAAAGAGTGTAGGAAATGGTTGTATCATGAGTAGCACCAAAGTGCAAATTACACCGCATGTGAGAACTGACAAGAAATGTGAGACATATTATCCCAAGCAAGTGACTATCATTTCTCCCTCTTCCTTCCCATGCTCAGCAACCCATGCTGCAGCCCTGGTGGCCATTCATGATCTCGAGGGCCCCCGGTCGAAATTCGAGAAACGCTTAGCAGTACTTAATGAGACACAAACCATCTAGCATTTTCTGTATGAGTCTGCATTGCTACATAGAAAAGCCATACTCAGTGTGGAGGCACCGGAAATCAAGATTTTTGATGCACTAGTAAGTTGTCGTTTTGCGTCAGCACGCAGATGGATATCGAAGAATGCTTTGGTCCCCGGAACATTTGGCTATATCCTATAAGTGAGTAATGAATAGCGTCAAGATATTAAAAAGTAGGGATTTTCCGACTCAACGGCTGCGACGTGGTGAAGTCGACTGCGAACCTCTCGAAGCACTGCTTGCTAATGAGACAAGTCGCTGAAAGAAAATAATGGGACGTTTCCCTAATTAGTCTATATCCACTCGCCGTTTAAACTGCAAAATTTTACATACAGAAGAAATATATCCGCGAAAGAAAATGCTTGATGAGAGATACAAACTTCTCGATGCAAGGGGCTAGGGTACTTGCGGTGCGCAATGGTTTCTAACAGACGAAAGAAATATGCAAATAAAACAGCCGGTATACCGTATGATAAACAGCATGCCATGCTATTATCACCGGCTTCTTGTGGATAGAAAGTAGGTAGTGCACAAGATACATGTCGCCCTCGGAAAAAAATGGCTATGGGGGGCCAGGGAAACTCTTCGCTCGCATGAGAGGATTAAGACGCTATAAGGACAACCACTAGTTACTACGCAACGGTCAGTGGTATGTCAAACGGATGGTATGCAGTAATTAACTTACTATATTTCCAGAGGAGAGATCTGATCTAGGGTATATAGCCAGTTGCCTCCTTGCTCTTCGCGCTCGAGCCTGTATCATCGTCAATACCCCAAAACAAGCAAAGATGCCTAGGCATTCATACCATTCATATGGCCACAACACCAGATGGCCCTGCACCGTATTGAGCAATTCTTCTGAGTCTTGCATACTGATAATATCGTCGGAAGCATGGAATTCCCGCTTGGAGCTACGAGTCGTTCCTCTCCGCCGTCGTCTTTGTGATTGAGAAGCATTTAAGCTGAGTGCCTCGGAGTACCCATTCATCTGAGCACCAGATCGCTGGCGTTCTAATTTCTCATTATCCGGAAAGGTCACCGAGTATTCAGCATTTCCAGTGGATTGTGAAGATTTTGTTTCCACAGCTGTCAGTCCCTCCTTCTCCTCCAAGCGCTCTGTATTGGCCAGCTCCTCTTGCTGACGTTCAATCTGGGCTCGATTCGCATCAGCTGCCCATTGCTTGAGGCTGTCTTCAGCGGCTGCATCTCTTACGTGGTCCGTTACCTTCTCCTCCCAGGCCGTGGCCTAACTTTTACAATATCGTAACCAAAGTTTACCCCAGAGGTTTGAGTAAATGCCATGCTCCCGGAAGGGGCCGCTCTGGAATCTGTGAAGCCAAGCATACCCTGGAAAATGTGGTGCATCGGAGTCGTAGAAATAATTGTTCTGCATATCGGCGAACCTTTCTGCGTAAGCGCTATATTCTTTGTATTCCTTCCACGACTTAACTTCACTGTCTGGCATGCACCGGAATACACTCCGGAATACCTTGGTGTTGTTTTCAGCTATGGCCTGCCATGTATCAAGATAGAATGCATCACACAAGGGGTCCTTCATGCAATCTTTATCAACACTCGGGCGGGTAATTGTAGATAGCAGAGGATGGCCATTTTCGGATTGTGGCATAGGATTACCCCGTGAATGTTTAGCAATATCATCACAGCTAAATGCAGTTTGATGCGGGTGAGGTACAGACGAGGGATTGCCCCCACTATCTGCAAGCGACGGATTGTCATCTTCATGCTTATTCAACTCAGCAGGCCTTTGCGGATGTGAATCGCGGTGCTGTTTAGATTCTTTCCGTTGCTTTGCTTTTTCGACCGTATCTTCCTCTTTCAGATACTCAAGGTTGTTTGGGGCGAGGAAAGAATCTCGGCCGTCAATTTGACCGGCTTCATCTAAACTTCGCATCTGATCCACTCCGAGCCCTTCCAAGTCCCTTCGGTGATCAGCATTTCTGGTGACCCTGGCGTCTACCGTGAGCTTCCTATTTGACTTGAGATTAGGATTGTTCGCCTGTTCCCAGTCAACGTCATGGTTGAAGCTATGCATGTCTTCCGATCGAGACAAGAATTCATCTTGAAGCCGATGTCTCCGCTCTAGGATCTCTTTTTCATCCTGCTTTTCAGCCCAATGGTCAGTATCTTGATCTTCGTTCGCACGAGAATCCTCATTATCCTGCTGAGATTTTCTGGATTCAATATCAATTTCCATTTCTTCCTCCATAATTTCATCTACGTCCAGCCCCATATGCTCTCTCATTAGACGCATCCGGAGAGTATGAGGGAAACGACCGACTAGATACGGTTTGCCACCCATTGTGGACCAAATCAAGTCGGTATCCCGAACTATTGCGGCGCATTCCGAATCCCGAGAGCCGAGCATAGATCTTTCGTTGATATTGGCAGATCCAATAATCGCGACTCTATCATCCACGACCATGCACTTTGCGTGGATATAGAGCTGTTCGGTCACAAAATGTTTCCGGGGGCCAATACGGCCCCAGGATCTCAGACTGAAAAATTGGATATAATCCTCAGGTTCAATACCTTGAGCACGCAACCTGCCAAAAATGGACGTTTCACCTCGACATATACTTCGATATTGACATTGCATGATCAACCGAACACTTGTTCCTCCTTCGGTATCCACGGTGTTTTGGAACCCGGGCATTAGAGGAATCAATATTACAGCACGCCAGTCTTCCCCATTTCTGGCCGCCCTAACGATGCGTTCGACGAGGGCGTCCCCGATTAGATTTTCAATCTTCTTCCCCTCGATTTCGCAACTGCTCACGAAGAATTGATTCTCAATATAAACAAAATGATCCGACTTCTCAATCATTTTGACGTATGCGTTCATGATGCTATGTTCCGTAACATCGGGAGTCCCTGTGGACCATGTACTGCTTGATCTTAGAATTTGCACTTCGCAGCTCCCATCTAGTCCGAGGGCCTCTAGATCAGCAGGGTTAAAATCCGGTGGCGGCAATAGGAACGGAGTTGGCCTTGTCGGCTTCCGTTGACGGAGGATATAGTTCCATCTCTGCACAAAATGTCTAGTTAGATCTCGCGCCGGCTGTCCAACGACATGCATGGAAATATCGTGCCACGGCATTCTCGGTACAACCTCGCGGTCGTACATCTCCTCATACGGTTTATCAAGGTCATAGAAATCTAGAACCCTTGGGTTGGAATAGTCCTTTCCAGGCCACAACTGGCAATGGTCGGCATCTTTGGGAGAATCGGTCAGCTCGAACCCTGTTAGCTTGTCATCGGTAAGTAAGTGCTGTGGGGTGTCCCATCGACCAAAACAAAGATCAATGCCCCCAATAAAAGCCAGCGTGTGATCCACAATGCACAGCTTTTCATGGTGAGCCCAAAAAAAGGTGTTCTGTCTAAACTGATTCGGTGACCGCTGCACGAATACGTTCGGATGCAGATCCAGGAGCGAGAATTTTGAGTATTCAGAATCAATGGGAATAGCAGAGTTGATATTTCGATACATAATAACAAATACCTTTACTCCTTCTTGGGCCTTTCGTTGAAGAAGGCGATCCAGTCTCCATTTTTGGCTGATAGCGGCCGGCCGCCGCATATATAGCTCTGGGCTTAGCCACCAATCGTGAATGTAGATAACATCCTTCGCCTGGTTTATCGCGCGGGAGACAACCCACATGTAGTCGCGTCCGTCTACTAGCCATTGCGCAAAGCATTTTGTTCGAACAGGGGCAAAGCTTTCGAAACGGTTAGGCTTAGACCAAGGAGTAGAATCGACCATGAACCGGATAGAATCCTCAAATTGATGCAGTTGACGCTCATTTCTAGCCAGAAGTCTCAACTTGCGTTCAGAGTTTTGCAATTTCAGGGTATGATGCTGGGGATGGGCAGCGGACTCTTTTGCGGATTTGGCGATTTCTTTCGGCTTTTTATCCCTCAACCGTCCTTTCTTGGTCTGGATCTGAAAGAAAGGATCCACCAGGAAGACATCATATATATGCATCTCTTCAGGAGAGTCAACGCATACAACATAGCTGTGCCGGACGAGGAACCACTTGGGGGAATGCCTCGATTTTATCATAGTAGGGTTCAAAGCACTTCTAAAATCTAACCCTTTAGAAGATTGAATAATAAGGAAACCTTCTTTTCCATGATAGCTCCCTTCCGCGGCGAGCCGTACTCCCAAGGCTGAGAGCTCCAAAAATTTGCATAGGCGGTTACTGTCAGGACGAAATATCAAGAAACGAATCATCTTTTGCAAATAACTTTCGAGTTTCTTTCGTTGCCTCTCGGGGTATGATTCTCGTTTGTGTACCCCAGAAGCTGCCACGTCCGTAGCGTTATCAGCGTTTCCTACAGCGCCTGATGCTGCGTTGCCTTCTGAAGGCGATACGAGGCTTGACTGCCGACGGGAAATTGCGAACGAGGAGCGTCGTTTTTTCTTCTTTGAGGGCCTCTCGTTTCCGCTAGTGGCATCGGCAGCGGTCTCGTCTCCCGGATCTTCTTCCTCGTCTTCTCCATCACTTTCTAAGCCCCTTACTCCTCGTAAATATGGAAAGGCGCTTCTCGGGAAATGTGGCAGAGCGTGCCCAGAGTCATGGCTCCTGAGATGAATGTATCTTTGAGTACCGATCTGGAGCTTGTACTTGATGTGTAGGTTTGCAAAGTCCCTGAGGGTTCTGTTGATAACCCATTTCATGCGTGTCATGCCACTACCATATTCGAGTTCGATTCGAAACACTAGGTGCCGATCGCCGGAATGCGAGTCGAAGTGGCTATCGGTGATGCGAACTTTCAATTGTTCAAGAAGAATTGGTATGCGCCTACTACCGTGCTCATCTCTTTGAAACATACTTGCAAGGAGCAAAGCAGCGGGTACGCCTGAAGCCAACTCTGCCAACAGTTCAGCGGATTTTACGTGATCAACGGTTGTTTCGGGCTTCTTTCTCTGGCCGATCATTTTCAATCGTGCTTTGATTTGGGCGCCATTTCTGAGCACTAAGGCTCGTTCCACGCTCGCCTTTGTGCATTCTCCACACCGCAGCTATCCCTTCAGTCCCTTCTGATGGGTTTCCGAATCCGGTAAAGCGTCGTAAATTACTAGGCCTCCTTTCATCCTGAGAGTTCTGGCCTTCTTGCCGGACGTTTCCTCCGTAGCTTAGGCCACGAGGCCAACCACTTCGGCGGCGCCACATCGAGTTCCGCTTCAATCTATCCCGTCCCTCATCTTCAGACACGCCTTCCCGTCCGTGGAATTGTACCGACGATGTAGTAACTCGTCTGGTAAGATGCTCTGGAGCAAAATCCCCAGCGGGAACGAACGAGCTTGAAGCAGGTAGCTGGGGCCGTTCTGAGGTTTTGGGAGAGGACGGGGCAGTACGAGGGCCGGAATCGCCGGGCCACCTCGCTCGGAGCTTCATTTTTCGCTTTCTGCGGGTCTTGTTGTCTTCTGCACTTGACTCCCCATCAGCATCGGCCTCGCTCCCGTCCTCCACGCTTCTAGGGAATCGGAACGGTCCTCTTTCAGATAACGGAGTCAAAGGCTCATTGTCATATCTACCATCCGCCGGTTCGCCCCCAGCAGTGACACCACTTGCCGATCGTGAATGTGTTGGAAACGAGGGGTAGGTGGCAAGGGCTTTCAGTTTTGAGAGAAACGATTGTCCACGGCGATCTGGGGCCGATACATCTCCATCCTCCGGGGCTATGGACGAAGCTCTCGACCTAGCTGCATTTTGTGTTTCATACTCTGCATCTGATCCAGCCAACTGGGCACTACGGCGCCTTGAGGTTAATGTTGGGACGGTCGAAGGGGGTCGGTTCTCGGAGGAATGATTCAATGGCCGTTCGGGGACAGTTTCCGGCTTGACTCTAGTTGCACCTTCACGATTCTCCAGAAATTGCTGTTTTGTCGAGTCCGCACCATGCTGGATAGCCCGTACCGTTGGCTTGCCCGGAGTGGTATCCGATTCAGGAGCGAGATTCTCTATATTTGCGTTGGGAGATCGATCCAAGAGGGTTGGAAGTGGTTGAACGTCCATCGCAGATATTGTCCGTTATAGTTGTTATAAGCTGTTATGGCCAGTCATGACTGTACTGTGTTGCTGTCCAGGGCGTCCTAACTTCAAGCGTGTTTCAGGCTGTCTGTGCGAGGCTTTTGGACCATATTACTATCAGCTTGAGCGCGGCTTTGGGAAAGAAATCAACTTACAAGCATTCTACTCATGAAGAAAGTACAACAGCCGTTGGCGAGTTGCAGGCTGAGGAGCTCATAAGCTTGGGTTCTGGTCGCCGTTAAGGGGCGGAGTTGGCCCATCGACCCAGTGCTTGGCAGCCCCTGCGCTTAGCCGCCTAGTGTCTTAGCTAAGCGTCTGTTTAGCGCGTGCCGCAGGGGTCAAACAGTGCAAACACGGGCCTTGCTCCAACTTTGACGCTCAGCAACTCCATCGCCAACGCAGGGCCGGATATTGTTTATAGAGCAGCTTTATGGTAGTTCAGTACTTAGTTCTACTAATGGATAGGCGAATCGATTGATCGTCAACTTGCACATGGGACAAGCAGCATCAATTCTCACCATGTGTGCGTAGTTATTATGTTGGGCCAGAACTGACGAGTTAACAACTATGAACGAGTAACAGATAAATATATAGTTACTCGTATCAAGTTAAAGTCTTGGCTTGACTCCGAAGCTCTGATAAAAGTAAGAAGACTATCTCCTTGTCCATCCTCTGCCCATTGAAGTGGCAATTCTCCGGCTAAACCCTGTCCGCTGATTAGCCTCGGTCACGGAATCTCCCGCGCCTTTTGTGACACGACCAGAAGGCCCTTGTTGGTGAGTCGCTCGCCCAAAGCGCACAAAAACACGCCGATCATGGAGGCTATCAAAAGTGCGCTGCTCGCTGTCGACTTGTCTTGCGTTCAGTAACCATCGCTCTCCATACATTACTGGCATGTTCACAAGGATCTGTACCCAGTCATTCTATTTTAAACTAAAACATTGCTTCCCAATAAACAGGTCTTATCAATATGGCAAACCCCATTGACCCCATGGTCAAGACATATGCAACGCCGCCGCCAAAAGTCTCAAAGGCAGACTTTGTTATCGGCGGTATCCTGTGCGCTGTTTATGGGCTAGAGGAACTTCCGCCTCACGGCAAACATGTTTCCTGTTTATATGTGTTGCACGCACGGGGAAATGCGATGCAAAGTATGGAGGGCATTGCAGCTACTGCTGTTGCAGACTGGAATGGAAGGCTAAGGACGGGAAAGGTCGCCACAAGCCAGCAGGACCAAGGTCTCATCGCAGTGTGTTTTGATCAGAGGAATCACGGCACGCGCCTGGTTGACAAGCTCCGAAACGACTCCTGGAGACAGGGAAACCCAAATCATGCGCAGGACATGTTCTCCGTTTTCAGTACGTAACTGCTCTTCTCCAAACTCGATTGCCTGCGAGCAACCCCGGCTCCGCATAGCCCCTTTTGATGGTTGTTGGTTACATACGTCCATTCCTAGCGCGTTTAGTAGCCGAAGATAAAAAAGCCCAGACTGACATGATTACAGATGGCACGGCTCGCGACGTCTCCCAGATCATAGACACCATCGGCAGCTATGTCTTTCCAAAGGCTGATCGCCACATTGTCTACAATCTAGTTCTTGGCGTCTCCTTGGGTGCCCACGCCGCATGGCACTGTCTTCTCCATGAACCGCGCATCCAGGCCGCCGTCATCATCATCGGATGTCCAGACTACGCCAGCCTCATGGCCGATCGCGCCCGGCTCTCAAAGCTAGCGTCTTGGAAAGATGGTCACCCTCCCGGCTCCCAGTTCCTTGGCTCCGAAGACTTCCCTCAGAACCTCGTGGACTTGGTCAGGACTTGGGACCCGGCTGGATTATTGCTGAGCTACATGAATGAACCATCCTTGGACAGTCCCATCCGGAACAGACCCGTGCACGACCCAACGGACGCAGAACAACAAGCCTTGAAGCCAATTATGAGACGGTGCCTGGGTGGAAAGAGAATCCTGAACATCGCCGGCGGCTCTGATAAGTTGGTGCCGTACAGCCGTGGAGAGCCTTTCTTATCCTGGCTTAAGAGAGCAATCGCCCCTCACGGTTGGTTTGCCGACGGAAAGACGTCTCTGGAAGATGTAATATTTGAGGGGGCGGGGCATGAAGTGACGCCCGCTATGGTTACGGAGGCCATTCGCTTCGTTGGCGAAACGTTGGCTTCAAGCCGGGGCGAACCTAACTTGGGTGTTGTTCGCATGTCAAGGATTTAGAAGACTGAATGTTGGATCACAGGTTCCAGTACGGGGCATCGGTCTCAACTAGTCCCATGCACGCCAGATGGCTTTACTGGAGGCATTCTTGTTGTTAGCTATGCCCTGAAAACCGCCAGTAACCTAGAAGACAAACAAATTTGAAAGTTAGACCCAAAGATAGAATACATAGACAAAAGGGGTATTTTAGTGATGTCGCATCTATGGAGTAGACATGGTGACTTTGAATCGCAGTGTTTGGAGGTAAACTAAAGCATAGGTAGCCTCGGGAGAACTCAAACAAAGATGAGAAACACTGATTGATATTAATTCTAGCATCATTGTTAACTAATCTGTGCCGGCTTGATGCTTTCGCGTCCATTCAGTTATCGCGTCAATATCATGACATCTGGTTTTTACATCCCATGTTATAAAAGAATTTGTTGCCCGTTCCTTCGGTGACATGGACAGGTATTCCTGTGAGTACTGCTTCTGCCCGGTGTTGTCTATGTACGTGTAATTCTCGTTCCACCAATGTACCAATGACGCATCGCCGTTACACATTATTGTTTGACGAAGGAGATCGAAGCAATGATCTGGATTAGTTATTAGCGCCTCAACCTGTATTCGGGATTCGGAAAACAAGATGAACTTCATCTGCATACTTTTATGAAAAGTGATCACTTCCTCGGACTCGTGTGCAAAGAACTTATCCGCATAAAAGGTCTTGCGTATCCGATTTAGGCAATGGAGCTGATGAAATACAGACACACCATATACATAGTGCCCTGGTTTAAACCAGGCTTCCACTGTCTCTGGGAGCTTTGCGGCCCTTTCCTTTGATATCACCACGGTTCCCTCGCTGGCTATAAAAACCATATTGTTAGAGGCAGTTCACAGCTTCAAAGGCGGAACAAATAAACTACTTACGTCCCATACTAGCATTCCAAGCCCGTTCTACTTCGTCAGATGTTTCGGACTGGAATATCTTCTGCGGCCTAAACTGCGTATTCACATACTTAACTGCCCCATCTTCCCATATTGGCGCTGTTGATTGTCAAAGTAGTTAGCGGCCGAAGCATCACAGGCTGACAACGACGAAGGCACATACAGTATGGAGGATCGGGTATTCCACAATTCCTCGGTCGATATATCGACGCCCATAGGCCGAGAAGGAAAATGGAGAAGCAGACATTCAAGATTGTGCAGGTTCGGGCGGAAATCGTCCACATCCTTTGCCTATCCGTTGACCTCCTTTTCTGCCTTAGAAATCCCTCATTTTCGGGAGAAAGTGCCTCACTGTCGCTTTCACTGCCTCTATCATGATCAAGCGGTGCGTATGTCGGTCCCGAGTTCACATTCTTCGTTCCGTCCATGCCTGAGGGATAGACAGTGTGTTCACCGGCTATGGCTTTGTGAATCTTGCGGTTTGGGGGAGTTCACGCCAGCATTGAATGATAATGAGAGGGTAAAGCAGTTCAGCTTAGGAATTTCGCTTCTTTCGATACCAACTGTGTTGTCAGGGCCTGGGAATATCAAATGTTAGATCCTTCCAGTAGCTTCACTTGGTCAAGATGTGACCGCTTGATAAGAGGAACCCCGAGTGTAGCCAGGCTGTCCGCCTCTGATGTCGTGATTGGTTGATTGAACCAACATATCTTTATCATCCTAGGCACCAGAGGAATACCCGGTAATATCCTAGAGAAAGTAGCTTAATCCCAAGCTAGGTCCTTGTCTAACATGTCTGAGAGTGAGCCAATGACATATTCAAAAGGTGTAAACAGATAGAAGATCATCCAGGCGTAGGTGGGTTCGAAATGACTTAGTTGGGAAGGACAAGGGCTGCGGGAGGGTTGCAATTGATCCTTGTCCGTGGGCGATAAGTGGGGGGACGGACGGAGTGCAGGTAGTTGACATTTGCACGGAGTATGCGTAATGTTAAGTGGAGTATTGATGTCGACGGAATCAAGAGCTCACAGCGACAGATACGTATATATAGAGGCCTCAATGCCTCTGGTTAGGTCAATGAAATCAACTCTTTACGAAATCAAACTCGGTCAATAATCCCTCCAAAGCAAATCTGCAGAGATATCTTTGTTACACACTCTGTTCAGCTATCAATATGCATCTCATCAAGACCATCGTGATGGCCACAGGCCTTGCTGCTCTCGCCTCTGCAGCGCCCGCTACTTCGGATGCCGCGATCGCCGGAGCCCTCTGCCCTCAGCTTAAGCAGCGCAACATCGACTCTAGCCTCAGCGCGGCAGATGCTAGAGACGCCCTTGTCAAGCGCGCCTGCGCCGGATTCAACTGGTTCGGTGCTGCCAACGAGGCCGATGAGGGTCTCACTAAGAGACTCTGCCCCCAGAAGCGTGATGTTGACGAGCTTGTCAAGCGCGCCTGCGCAGGATTCAACTGGTTTGGTGCCGCCAACGAAGCCGATGAAGGTCTCGCAAAGCGAGTCTGCCCTCAGCATAAGAAGCGTGAAGTTGAAGTTGAGGCCCGCGATGCCGACGCTCTTGTCAAGCGCGCTTGCGCCGGATTCAACTGGTTTGGTGCTGCCAACGAGGCCGACGAGGGTCTCGCAAAGAGACTTTGCCCCCAGAAGCGTGATGTCGACGAGCTTGTCAAGCGAGCTTGCGCCGGGTTCAACTGGTTTGGTGCTGCCAACGAAGCTCAATAAATGTATTGTAATGAAAAGCCCTGTCAAAGGTTGTTCCCAAAAATGGCACATAACTGACAACCCTCACAGCAGCCCGTCGAATCGATAGTCCGAGCTGAAAGCCTCCAGTTGTCGTGAGACGATGAAGGTTTGATGGATGCGGTTGCGGCGGTCTTGGCATGGGCTTCAGCTGCCGAGAATGAGCTTACATAACTAAGGAATTGGCGAGAGGATCGACGTTGCCCAGGGATTGTTTCTTGGAATCTGATATGTCTTGAATAGAAGTAGCTACTCTACCAAATCACTCTCTTGATTATCAACCGCATGTATGTACTCCCTGAGAACTGCGAATAGGAGAGACCTTGTGGTTATCAGTCCTTACCGAACCGATTCACGGCGCTGCATGCCCCCTAAAATAGAGCTCTACTCCTGCAGAGGATTGATCTGGCTACCCCAGCACAATCTTTCGAGTCATCAGTCTGCACGCGAACATGCCATCGCCAGCTCTCCCTTGGCATTTCGCGGGGTTCTGCAGCTCAAAGACCGGGGATTAACTGCGGGGGAATCGGCCCTCATAGAAAATTCGCCATTTAGCTAAGATCGACATTTTTCCAGTTGGAAGATACCCATGCCACCCTCACTTCCAACAATAATACTACCTTGACAATCCAGCGATGCCGAACCAAACCACAGGATTCCATGCCACCGCCTCACCGTGATACCGAATTCCAAGGCCCACACTCGAATGTAACGGACTACACTTTCCATTCAACCCGCCCTTGGGTTGCTGGCCGTTTTATTGCGCAGAACTCGGACCCCAAGACGTGGTAGCTCCTGCAAAACGAGCCCACAGGTGAGGGATATGCGGTTGGGAAATTTCCGGCCACTTGGACTTGGCACGATTGTTCAACATGGTTCCAGCATAGATGGACCTTTGAAATTTCTAGTATTCGGCGGGTATCGGATGTGCGGTGGTCACCAGTGCGGTCTCCGATTCTCTGTTGGTTGTCATCAATGATACATAAACTTGGCCTCCCAGCCCGACCTTTCCATCCCCGGCTGATTCTGGCGAGAGCAATGTGTGGAGCGGACGATTAAGCACATGTTTTTGATGATTATTCATTTCACCTATGAATGGTATTTAATGAGATCGTAACAAGCCGGGACGCAATTCATCTGCCCAACCCGTCTCTGGGGATCGGCACTGCGAAGAATTTTAGATCCCAAGCCAGACATGCTTCAAAGTTCATCGAGTCCAACACCGGTTTGTCTTTTTCAAATCCTTAGACCCCTGGAAAGAATAAAACAAGCCCCAGACTCGAACGTTGGTTTCTCGGCGTCTTCCCGCGCAAAAGGTCAAATCCTACTCATCCGCTTATGCCACCAACTCAACAACACCGCCAGCTTCCTTGATCTTTCGCTCAGCTTCCTTGCTTACGTAGCGTGCTCGGACAACCATTGGAATCTCTGGAAGTCTGCCCTTGCCCAACACCTTGGAGTATCCGAGGGAGAGGAGATCGAGAACAGGGGCGGTATCAGGCTTTTGCTGGCTCACGTAGGCGTCGCGCGTTTCCGCAGGAACCAAGGACCACAGCTATACAAAACGAACCATATCGATTAGTCCCCAATCGAAACATGCTTCATATCAATATCCTTTGTTGTTTTCTTTCGGCCGTAGAAAAATTCTCCTTCGTCACTGGCACGTATTTGCCCAACGTACCTTGTCTAAATTGATCGTTGGTTTCCAGAACTGGTTCATCGACTTGTGGAAATATCTCATTCCGACCTTTCCAAAGTAACCTGGGTGGTATTTGTCGAGATTGGTTCGGTGGTGATGCTGACCACCAGCCATACCGCGACCTCCGGGATGCTTGCGGTGCTTGCCAATGCGACCATAACCGGCGGAAACATGGCCGCGGCTAGAAAAAAGCACGAAACAACAGTCAGTACTTGCTGCGCGAAGAACAATTCGTTGTCGATGGACAGGCTTAGGACAGAACACTTGACATTCCGTGCGAAATTGAACTCGGAAAACTCACTGCTTCCTTGTCTTCGAGAATCTGGTAGGCATCTTGTCGACTGTGCTGTATCCGACAAGGGCGGTTGAGGTCGACTTTGCGGTTGGGCGTTTGACTGTTGACAATTCAGACGTCGAGATGTGTGCCAGAGCGGTTCGCTTGTAGGGTCAAGCCCTGAAATCTTGGCGCGTTGTTACATAAGCTAACTAGCCATGTTCGCGGACCAATCACCAAATATCCTTCGACCAACGACGACTTCCACTACAAATGTACTCCATACCTACTTCGCTCATTTTACCCGAGCTCATACGGTTATCACGCGTGCTTGGTTACCAAAAGCCATTCAATGGCGGCTCTATTAGCTGGTGTTAAAATTCAAATAGCTGGTATTACTCATTGCTTTAGACGACCGAGTACTAAACCTTCGCCTTGAAAAACATATCAACATCCCCTAGAGTATTCCTAATCGGAGCAGGAGTCAAGCTTTGTCGAATCCACAACGGCAGCTTGGACTGGATTCGCTGCGTTTCATATCGTCGGTCCAGCATGAAGATCGCAGCGTAATCTTGTTGATGCCTGATTGCTCTCCCTATACATTGATTCACTACCCGCATACAAGCATTCTCGTAAAATTCTCTGCTGGCAAGCTTCGCTTGGCTTCTTCTGCTCCCTTCCGGTCCAGCAGCTTTCTCATAAGCTCGATGTTCGACGTACTTCATTTTCGCTTCCCATTGAGCGCTACGGACGTTAGGAAATGGAAGCCCAATGACAATCACGCCTCTTCCAAGCCGATCGGAGAAGTTAATTCCTTCGGAAAGCTTCCCACCCATGACCGATAATAGCAATGCGCCTTTTCCTTCGTCTATGAGATTTGTGTACTTTCGGAGGAGTTCTTCGATGTTGGTGTTCTCCTCTTGCGATTCGTAGAGCAACGGTTTCAACAAGCCAATAGTTTCGATTATTTTTGGACCCGTTGAACCGGAAGGGAAATATTTCCATGCCTCTAGTACTTGTTGAAGGAATTTGTAGCTTGGGAAAAAAGCTACAACACCATCAGGAATCACTTTGCACATTTCAACAATGGTCTGGCCAAGATCTAACATCTACATACAGGTTAGTCCTCATCGACTGCTCTTGAGTAAGCCTAGGGCGCAATTCACTTACCATATCGCTAGACTTCCTTTTTTCAAATGTAAAATCGAATTCCGTGTTCCCAATTCCGCGTGAGATGGGCCTCGCTGTGAGATTTTCTGTCGGGATGACATGGCCATAGCTGAATGTTCGGAGTTTTTCTGGTGGAAGGTATGAGAAAAGGTGGTCCGAATAATCAGTCATCTGTATTTTGTCAGCCTCAATATACAGGAGCAACTCAGAAACTTACCGGGGACATTGTTCCTCCAGCTAGTATAACCGCCCTTGCTTCTTCCACAACTTCGCGAAAATGCTCTGTCGGGTCCAGTAACATGTACTTGAGGAGAATATCAGACCCTGTATTTTCGAAAAAAAGACGACCTTCAGCTGCTGGGTTCATCAAGGAAAGCAAGAATGACTGAATCTGGAACAACACAGGGACCGCCGTTCTTTGTCCGTTAACTTTCTCTTCTAAAGATTTCGACTTTTCCAAATAACCATCTATTTTTCGGGCTAATTTGCTTTCCTGTAAATACCGTGAGAGTTTGTGGGGATTGATTTGGTCGATACCTTTTCCACTCATTAATTGTGATGGCTCTACGGTTCCGTCCATCAAGCCTTTGGTAGCCACGTTCGACTCAAGATATTTTAATATGGAGGCAATTAGGCGCATAACTTGCGCGATGTATACTCTGTTTTTCCCTTTTAGTCGCGTTTTGTATTTCTTTGCATAGACGGTAACCTGCTCAAGGGCAGTCTGGAGCTGCTTGAGGGATATTGTCACTGAATGGATGTTGGCGATTACATCCATAAGGTTATGCGCCTCGTCAATGATAATAACGTGGTCCTTAAGCGAGATATCTAGGGCTTCCCGAGCCGACTTTTGAAGGAGAAGGGGATACGGAAGCGTCACAATCTTGGGTCATACTAATCAGTCTCGAATGACCGCGTAAGAAAGGGCGGTATTTCTACTTACTTCACTGTGTCCAATAACGGAACGTGTTGCATAATAGGGGCAAATTCCCATCCGCTCCCCAATCTTGCCTATGTCCTCAATATCTTGAACCTTAGCAAGAACATGGTCTCTAAAATCATTGATAGCTGATTCATTTTCTTGGGACGGAGCGAATGGACATTTTTGATCGGGGGGAACGCCAGGACGCTGCAAATCAAGACAACGCTCATTTATAGCTGTGGCATTCCCCAGACTTCGAACCTTTTGATTTATGCACATGGTTTTCCTCGAACCGAGAGAGACATGTTTCATGGACTCCTCTAATCCCTCTGGACGTGTGCAGTCGCCTTTACCCTCAATTTCACAATCCTCAACTTCTAACGGTATGCTGGGCGGTAAGGTCACTCGCCGCAACTCCCGGACAAATTGGCCTAGCTGGGAATGAGTTCTTGAGCAGTAAAAGATTTTGACTTCATCTTCCCCATCGGGATCATTGGATACTTTAGCTGAGCCTTTTAGCCTGTCAAGCAAAGCACGGGTCGAAGCGGAAAGGCCATTGTCGTCGTCGCCAGGCCCATGAGCTGAGGCCTCTGGGTCATCACTGTTGTAATCTTCTAATTCAAATTGGCGATCATCAAATTCCTCCCTTGAAGCGGATTGATTGTCATTCAATCGCTAGGTCCTCATCAGCATTGTGATAGCCAACAGAAGGTCATTTTGGTACGTATTTTTACCTGTTTCTTGAAGTAACGATTGCCTCCTGCGACTTTCTCACGCCGCCTCTCTTCCTGCTCTCGAACGCGTGTTAATCGCTCTTCTACTTGCTTTCTTTTTTCCCGGATGGCCCGCCTGCGTTCCCTCTTCGAATGTTCAACTATCCATTCCGGCTCATCGTCACCTATGGCCTAGTTAGTAATGAAGCCCTGGAAAGCTAAGGTGATCTCACCATCATTATTCTCTAGGCTTTCTAGAAAAGCCGACCGTTTGTGATCTCGCAGCCATGTTAACGAACCACATATCAGACTCAAAGACTTGCCCTGTTTGTAACTATCAACAATGCCCAACTACCAGATCTAGTTTATACAAGAATGTAAAGGCCATCACTGGATGTGACACGCGAGAAAACAATAGGTGATTCCTTACAGTGCCTATTTCAATGTGTTAAAGATTGTTCCACGTATTTCAAAGAGTTATCTGTGCTTGAAACAAACCTGTTGGAGATTCAAAAACGCCAACTTTGCGATCCTCAATGCAAGCATACAATGCTCGCATAAATTCAAGCTGTATGTTGTAAGGGGAATAAGGATGGTGGAAGGTTTGATTTGAGTTGTTCATGCTGGTTTGAGATCAAGTGCTTGATCAATTGCATGAGCAGTCATTAAACCCTCAGAGAAAAATAACTCTCTAACAACATTAATGATTTATCCATAGAGTTCAGCTTTCAGCCTGAGGAATGTTGTATTTTTACTTTGTTTAAACTGCCAGCTGCATCTCAGAAATCTGGTATGATGTTTCAGCGTTTCGCGCACAATTCTGACTACAAGAATGATGAAGAAATGAACGGACAGATTCCGCCATCAAGCTTCCGTGGCGCAATGGTAGCGCGTCAGACTTCTAATCTGAAGGTTGCGGGTTCGAGCCCCGCCGGAAGTGCACACACAAAATCATGGATTGCATGGATTGGGTGCTCATTCTTTTTGCCCCTTTCTCTGCAGACTTTCATTTGTCAAAATCAAGAGCGATTGATTGTGTTCAAAACTGAGCACTTTTTTTTTTTTGGGAAATATGAAACCAAGAGTATTGGCAGTCAAAGTTTAGGATTCCTTGGAGATCGGCACGTGTGGGCACAAATAGATCAGGGGAAGACTGTAGTCTCTCAGCCATTTATTTCAATATCCGCAGTAATAGATCAGGGGAAGACTGAAGGCTCTCAGCCATTTATTTCAATATTACTGCGGATATTGAAAATCCACAAACATCAGAGGCATTGCAAGGAGCCGACTTGGACGCGAACCTCCCCCAGGCTTGTTTCTCACTTAATTACCTCGTTGAAAGAATAGGTCCCTTCCCTCATTAATCATACCCGGCATCGCCGTTTCGAGCCTATACATACGAGCGACCGGTTGCTGTACCTGCTCAAAAACAACAAGCATCCCAAAGCTTGCTTTCGCCTCTTCCACCTGCTTCAAAGCTTCACGGAGTCCAAAGTCTAGAAAACCGTAAGAGAATTTTGATAACGATGATCACTGCGCCACTTGGACGACTGTGAAATGTGCTGAATCGCTGAGGTGGCACGCGTACGAAAGATAGGCCACATGAATACGCGCGGCTACACGACAAGCACCCGTGCTGTATCTTGGGAACAAACAACATAAGGCCGTCATTTTGATCTGCTATTGTGAGGATGGCCCTTCGAGCTGCTCTATTAAGAGCCTTTATTGCTCCGCGACGCTTCTACATTCAGGCACCGTTGCTGATTCGACGGTCTCGTACGATGGCCTCTTGCAACAGAATGATCGAAGAGCAAACGCTGTCATTCTATCATGAAAGACGTTACTATCCTGTTAGAATCGGTCAAATCTTCAGAAATAGATATCGAATCATCGCTAAATTAGGATATGGTGCTTATTCCACAGCCTGGCTTGCCTGGGACGAGATGTCAAGCCAATACACCACGCTAAAAATATGTGTAGAAACCGGAGCAGAGAACTCTCCCATTTTGAATGAAATCGACATGCTGCGGCGATTAAAGCAATATGCTGATGAGTTCGATCGGCCCGGTCCATGCTTTACGCGTCTTGCTCGCGATATCTTTGAAATCGACGGCCCTCATGGGCGTCATGTTTGCATCTCTTTCAAAGCCCAAGGCGCCAGCCTCCGGACGATGCAGGAGATATTTCCAAACGCACAGTTGCCAAGGCTGCTGGTGAGGTCTTTAATTCATCGCTTGTTTTTCTCAGTGAATTGGCTGCATGCAACATGCGGTGTTGTACACACTGGTATGTACAGAAACCTTGAAAGCGTCATCCCGCCATGTGCGTCATTCTGGCTCACTCACATCGAAGCCCAGACATTTCACCTATGAATGTTCTTTCAGAGATGGAGGATGAAGATTGCCTCAAAGACGTTGAGATCAATGGACATGATATTCCCAGTCTTCCCATCATGGATGCCAATGGCCACCCCGTATACTGCTCTACTGAGCTCCCACTAGAGCTTTCCGGGGTTCCTATCCTTGCTGACTTTGGCCAAATGCTCCCTGCTGAAAGGTGCACAAGTGATGTATGGTGTATGCCTGATTTATACCGTGCTCCAGAAGTCCTCTTAAAGCTTCCTTTTGGGTTCCCAGCTGACCTGTGGTCCATTAGTGTGATGGCAAGTATATCAGGCATACAAATGGGATATCGGAATACAACATTAACTGATTTGATGTTGAAAAATAGACACTTGAGTTGATCGAAGGCAGAAACCTCTTTGACCCAATAGACCACATCAACAATCAATATGTCCTTCCACTGGCATTGGCACAATATATCGGATATCTCGGTCCCCCACCTCTAGAAATGATCCAGAAGAGTCCGCTTTTCTCAACATATTTCGACAAGCAAGGTCAGTAGTCTCCTAACCCTTCTTTAGTCTTATGTAGCTCCAATCTTGATAATCAATCTATTAATCAAACACGTTTAGGAAACTGGGCTTCGGAGCCCCCAATTCCGCAAACCTCACTGGAGGAGTTTGTCACTACCATATCCCCAGGAGAAGAAAAAGACCAGTTTCTTCGATTTATACGAAAACTCTTGACTTGGGATCCTGAAGTCCGGGCAACAACAAATGAAATCTATCCGGATGAATGGCTCATGAGGAGTCATGAGGATATGTGGTAGAGCTTATGTTCTGCTCTCTTCTCTCTATTATCTGTCTTCAACTTCACATGTACCTCCACTTACGAAGGTCTGGTTACTTGGCATCTTTTTGATCTCGTCGATGCCTAGGCTACTGGGACAACGCGGTGCATGTGTACGTTCCTTCCAATATTTTGGTTGCTACATGTATACCCTATGCCGCTGTGAATTGTATTGTCACCGGGTCTAAGAGTCTTCCTGTTTCTGGAATCCCGTTGCAGAGCCTGGGTATTCAATAATATCTTCATACTCTCCATGACCATCTGGGTTGGCGAAAAAGAGTGCCTCCCTGCCTGTCGACTACAAAAAGTGGTCTCTGCAATCAGGGGTAACTGAGCATATCACAGACGATTTGAATTTGAAAACGCGAGAGTCCCTGCCCCCTTTTTATCAACTGTACTTTGGGTACGGCAGGAATGAGGTTCGACTCCTTCGAAGGAGCGATTACATACATGATACAGGGTTGTCCAGAGAATTACATAGTTTCCGGCACTATTAACAGTAAAAACATTGATGGTAATCAATAGGCCTAATAAGACTGGAGCCTGAGGGCACGTGCGTTAGGTCCCGTGATCCTGGTTGTGCTGAAGAACAGGTGAAGAAAGGCCTGCTATTCAATCTCAAGACTTCATGTGTTATGAGACAGAGAGTGAGCGCCTGGAGCTGGGAATTCAATTTTCGACACACTAAAATTTTGGTTTGGCTGATTGGCCGCTATAAGCCTCCATAGACAACCAGCCACGACTCCGCCGGATACTATTTTTACAGGGTTGTTGTGAATGGAAGCAGTGGGGTTCAAATTAACTGACCAGGGGATCAAAGTTCTCAGCAGGTCCCCCGTGAGATTTAATAATCTTTCGCATGGCTGCACCTTATGATTACTCCCGTCCCCATCTGGGAGCAACCTTCTACCCAGGTGCAATCGATGACTACCAAATGCCTGAAGTAATCTCTCCGGCACCCCAAAGGTAAGAAAGAGCACCGATCGAGCGTTTTAGTCGATCCCCTCTCCCACGGCTTCGAGGCTAATGGTGTCTTTTAACAGGGTGATGCCTGAAGTGCCAGAGAACATGCAAGACAATCTTGCACATCTTGAACAGGAAGCTTCTGGATCGAATCGAATGGCGCACCAATATCCTTCCGCACAGCGGCCAACGTTCCCGGCTCGGAATTCGTCCATGCCGAACCAAGCCTACAGGAATGTTGGCGACCCGTATGCGAATCAATATGCGCACCCTACATTCAACAGTCAGCCTCCGTCAAACGATTATATCGATCATCCGAATTTTTCGCCGTTTCCAGTCCTTCACGACGCACCACCCAACGTGCCTCCGAGTGATGAACAGCGCGAAGCAAATCTAGAGCGCGGCCGGGTCGCAGTGCTAGGTTCCAATGACCCGGAAATGCAGCTTGCGTGGGCTCAAGATGCCCTTTCCTACGTGGAAGTAGCCATGCAAAACGAACTCCGGCTGGCTGCATTTCAACCACCGAGGCCCCGTACTCCGCAGGTCGAACACCAGTTGAAGTCTGACGCTATCAACATTGTTTCGTTTTTAGCCGATCAGTCGCATCCGCGTGCCGAATTCATACGCGGTATGTGGCTCGAGTTTGGAAAATTTGGATTCCGAATCGACAAGAAGGAGGCTTTTAGGTGTTATCAACGAGCCGCCGAAAAGGGATATGCGAGGGCTGAGTATCGGATGGGCATGCAATTTGAAAATTCGAACGAACCGATGAAGGCCATCAAGCACTATGAAAACGGCGTGGGCCTTGGTGATTCCGCTTCGTACTATGTAAGGCCAGCACTTCTACTGCTTACACCGAGAGCTTGTTCTAATACCTTTCCAGCGATTGGGAATGATGATATTATTGGGACAACATGGACAACGTCAGGATTATGGCGTAGGCCTGGACCATATTCGTTACGCCGCCCAAACCTGCGATGAGAATGCACCACAAGGTGCTTATGTATGTTGGCAGCAATACTCTTTCACTATTATCAAAAACCATAGACTGACCCGACGTTCTGATTTATTCTAGGTTTACGGAATGCTGCTGGCTCGCGAACTTCCTCAGGTAGCGGTCCCCGAAGAGGTTTTACCTCTAGACTTGAATGGTGCACGGGTGAATATTGAAAAAGCTGCTTACCACGGGTTTGCAAAAGCTCAGGTGAAAATGGGAGCGGCATATGAGCTATGCCAACTAGGATGTGATTTCAATCCGGCGTTGTCTCTGCACTACAACGCGCTTGCGGCGCGGCAAGGCGAGCCCGAAGCCGAAATGGCTATTAGCAAATGGTTTCTTTGCGGACATGAAGCGCTTCTTTGATAAGAACGACGAAATGGCATTTGTTTATGCAAAGCGCGCTGCTCAAAATGGCCTTGCGACGGCAGAATTTGCTCTCGGATATTTTTACGAGATTGGGATCCACGTTGCCGTGGACATCAAAGAAGCTCGCGTCTGGTACGCAAAAGCGGCTGCCAGTGGTAACAAGGACGCTTCTTCACGCATTGACAGTATATCGAGATCGAAAACTCTCTCGAGAAAGGACCACGAGCGGGTTGCCATAGCAAGAATCAAATCACAGTATGCTTCGCATGGGCGGAATCAACAACAACGATATTCAGCCATGCAAAATGAGGTGCCAATTCAAGAAACCTTAGAAATGCCAGATCCGTCGAGAATGTCCATCTCTGGTGATCCCACTGGCCCTAGGCCAGTTTCGGCTGCCCCGTACCCCGAAGGCCCAAATTCCCGCTACGGGCACCCTAGCGGCTATGGGGGCCAGTACGGGCCTGACATTCGACCGAGCTCGGCTTTCAGCATCAACCCGAATATACGAGCGCCGTCTGTTCAAACCGGCCACCTTCCACCGCATCGTGTTCCGTCGGCAGCTCGCCCTCAGGGCTACGGGCCACCCGGAGGTCCTGGAGGTCCTGGGGGTCCTGGAGGTCCTGGAATGGCACCCTACCCAACTAATCAGGCGGCACCTTCACCAAAATTGGATATTGGCTTCTCGGCGCCTCCTGACCCGACAGGCGCTGACAGAAGACGAAAACTACAGCGGCCACCTAATGCGAACCCACCCCATCCTCAAGCAGCACAAGGTAGACCTGGACCTCCTTCGGATCCCCGACAATCGCGGATGGCTTCGTCGCCTAACCCGGGCGGCCAACCACCACATGGACAACAACCCGCTGGTCATTTCCCACCTCGAGGGGATTCCAGGCCTCAACCGCCAGCCGCCGCGAATGGCTCTCCAAACAAACCTGTCCAAAAGCCTCCCGGGGGATTACCGGGAAAAGGCCCCAAAACCTTTGAAGAAATGGGTGTTCCTCAAGGGAAAACAGAGGGTGAATGTGTAAGTAGAATCCCATGTTTTCCGTGCATATTCAAGATACTAATCAGCTCCAGATTGTCATGTGATCAAACCACCTCTCATTCTTGTTGGTTGTTTATAATTTTTGCATTAATAAGACTGTCTTCGCCATTTGCAGACGTATTCCGGGGCGGCGTACTGGCGTCGAGAGCATGGGTGCGACTAGGACGAACACGCCATATTTTCTAGAACGCAAGCTCCACATCGACTCCATCCACTTTATCATGAAAAGCGCGCCATATATTATACGCAAATTAGATTTGGAAATTCCTGGACTAGATGGGTGGCGCGGCTATTGTAGCTTTTGAATTGGATCCATCCATTAAGATGTCGATAGCTATGGATGTCACCAGCCTTTCCTGAAGATCTAGTGCCAGGACCTTTTTACAGCAAATACTTGGCGAGCTCGCTGCTTGTTTTGTTTATGCCTATTATCGTCGGTATTGTTACCAATCAATGTGCTATTTGCTTGCCCTTCTGAAAGCGGTTATTGCCCAAGCTATATTTTCTACTCGGCACTGTTAACAATTACAATGAATCTGAATTCACTACTGCCTACAGGGAGTTTGTTGACTCCCAAGGGCATCACATTGAACCAATTTTCCCCTTGATATATCCTTTGCTTTACATTTTGTCTTTCGCATATCAGACATTTCAAGAACAGTCTCGAAGAGCACCAAGGATTCTCGTCCCAAATCCTCTACCGAAGTTCGACATGAATATTTGCTTGACCCCCTTTGCGTATCCTCAATGTCCGATAAGCCCATTCCCGCCAGGTCGCTTCCGCCCCGACCAATCGGAGTTCGCCCTTTGGAATAGTGCCAAGCCGTATACAACAAGCTCACGTGGGAGGGATCAGCCACGAGGGAGAGCCGCACTCAGCATTAGGTAAGTCCAAGGCCACGTCCCAAAAGAGAAGCACGCCCTCTGCATCCGCCGTCTCCTGTTCCTTTGCTCTGGGTTCCATACTCGAAACTGGCATTCCCAGCACCTAGGCTTGACTTCAAGTGTCATGGCACCGCGGAAGGAAAAGACGGACAAGGCGGATAAGGGGTCTGCAGAAGACGGTACCTACTAACGGATCCAGTTTTGGTTGGCGGGGTTGAGTATATTGTCGGTCTGCAGAAGATCACTGACATTGCTTCGTCGACAAAAGGATGCGCCTTGATTCTAGAATACCTTCGTGAGGGAACTAATCCATGCGATTTTACATACATAAGCTAACAGTGCCTCGAACAGGACAGCAAAAGTAAGCCCTCGTCACAATGAGAATGCCCCATTATCTAACGGATTTTTACTGATTCTGTATTCGTGATCTCGCTTTGGAAAAAATGCAGCCGGCCATATTCAGTAAGCAAAAGCACTGGAAGTTCTGGTGGTGTCACTGCATCAATACCTAAGTACATCACAGGCGATTGACATCAGCGCCAACCTTCACAACAAGGTAACCAAAGGTAAGTGTCAACGTCAATTTCTTTATGTTGTTCTAAACGGTGGAATTCATTCAGGAATCGCGTGCTGACGCAGATGATATGTAGCGTACACTGCAAAGGCATTGAAGGAAATGCATGAGAAACGGCTAGTGGAAGGCAGGGTGTCAGGTAAAAAGTCGCTCTGGTCCAAGCTCCATGACAGCATTAAGGAGTTGAAACTCGTGCTTATGGGCAATCCGTGATTCAACCAAACACAGGCAAGCAAACCGTATACCATGCCATTCAAGATCCTGCGGATGAGGTTACTCCCGAACAGCTCGCTGCAATCGACCAAGAGATCGAGGCCGTTAAAAGTCGAGTCGTTTTAGCCAAATCACAAGAGAAATTGCTCAAGGCGGAGTTTGCTGCTCTCAATGCGCGCGTTTCCACCTCTGAGCTACGAGACCGAGCAGCTGCCCTGGAGAAGGAGAAGCACGAGGTACTAGCTCGTCTGGCTCCGTGTACATCTAGTGCCACACAGTCCAAAGCGGTCTCTGCTGAAGTGAAAGCTCAGGTTGCGAAGGAATGGAAGACGTGGCGAAGACAGGTAGCAGCACGAAAAAGAATATGTCACGAGATATGGCTGAGGTGCACAGAGGAGTTGCCCGAAAATGTACAAGGAAAGGAGGAGCTATGGGAGTCTCTTGGGCTGGAAGGAAGTTTCTGACAGTTTACTGCCAGTAATTATGCCTAAGCCACTTCAAACCTCGATGGTATTCTTAGGGCAAATCTTGTCAGATGGAACTCGTGGGGGTCGCGCGACTTTGGGCAATCCAAGCCTGACTAGTTAGCCGTAAAGTGATGAAATGAGAAAGCATCAGCTTGCGGCAGGGTTCTACCGTTGAAATATTTATCTGCTGGAATCGGTTTCGTTCTAGTGGCTATCCAGTAACCTCGGTCAGGAGCATCTAAGATACTGATGACTTGGTGACTGGGGGATTTTAATAATTTCACTGCATAGTTAATACTTTGTCAGTTACCCGGAGTTCATTTAACACATACACTGCAGCTGGTCGGTTTGGGGTTTTCAACAAAGCCATGGCTTCGAGTCGTGAGACAGCCAACAGGGGTTTGACTTTGAGCTTGAGAGCGATGCTCAACCACATGTTGCCCCTGCTAGTGGCATTTTGCCGTGATCCCTCACATCAGCTGCGGGACTCTGATGGCACACAACTTCAAACTGGGACAGCCGCGGAGTCCTGGGTTGGTACCCAAGGGGGGATGTGCTGGTTCTGGCTGATGGGTTGAATCGCCTGCCGGGTGCGAAAGCAGCCTGTTGTGCTGTACGACCGCAGCGCATGCAAGGCCCAGGTGACTTGCTGTTACCCCTCAGCCTGCGGTCATCTGCCCACGACGTGGAAGAATGTGCTGCCATGAGCCGTAACTTGACGACCCAGGCCCGTTCGAGCAAAGTCTCAGCGCGAAAACGTCTTTAATGCGTTTGGCTATGATGCGTAGTTACAGGGGCCCTGTGCTCATCAGCCTCCTCGCTTCCCTGGAGAGGTGTCCATATGCAGGTCCTTGGAGTTCGAGTTAACTAGCTGGCTACAAAGCACCTTTTTGAATCAGCATCCAGTGGGATCGAGCTGACCACAGCACTGAGAAAGAAATCATCAGCTCAGACTGTAGTCGAACCCAGGACAGTATTGGTTTATATAGTATTCACAGGCCACTTCTGCGGTGGTGGCCATCAACCAGCTGTTATTCACCGAGGAGTACAGTAGTTGACAATTGCTTCGCTATTGACAGACGCACCGACAGTAAAATGCAAGCGATTGTACACGGTTTATTTCCCTCAAAATCCAGCTGCGGGCCGGGCATTAATACAGTTTTGCCGATTCTGCGCATTGATCAGAATGGATTTTGCCATCTTCCTTCCCCTCTCCTAGTTAACTTAAGGCCCAGATAGAATTTTCAGTTCAACGCTACTATCGTTCACCGAACTAGTGAGTCCATTCTCCCACAGCGAAAAAGCAATCTGATCCGGTCACTGCGAGTTTGCAGGAGAGTTGACCTGAAAAGGCTGAAGGTTGGTGAATCTTGTCTTCTCCGCCTGCTTCGTTCTCTTGGGTCATCTTCTTGCCCACCGCAACGCACAGTTTTCTAATTCCCTATCCTTTCATGTCCACCATGCAGCCACAACAACCCCCTCCGCCGCTGCAGGACTCGAGAAACCCTCCTCCGCCCTCTCACCTCTCAAACGGTGCTCCAAGGCCTCCAAACCGAATGGCGAATGATCCACGAGGCCGCGCCCCGCTCCCTGTCCCCTCCGGCCCTGGGGCTCATCTGCAGAATGGACAGCCACGCTCCGTTCCCTCCTTTGATATGGCCCGCAGCCCTCCCAACCCGCCTCCTAGCAAAAGTGAAGACACGCCGTTCTTTTGTCAGCGCCCCTCCATTGACTTGATTTTACTGACCTTGCCATCACGGTTAGATACCAAACACGTGCCCTGCAAATTCTTCCGTCAGGGAGCCTGTCAAGCAGGTCCCGCATGTCCTTTCCTCCATTCCACTGATTCCGCCGTCGATTCTGCGCCCTGTAAATACTTCACAAAGGTAGTAACTGTCTCCGTCCGGTAGCCGATGGCTTTGTGTGGCGAACTTCCTCTTTCCCCTGTTTTACTCGCTAAACTGAAGACCAAACGACAAGCACAAAGAAACTGACCAATGGGTTGCTCATAGGGAAACTGTAAATTCGGAGCCAAATGCGCTTTGGCACATATCCTCCCCGATGGCCGTCGAGTGAATAGACCGAACATTGGCATGGGGATGGGTGGTGGAGGAAATCTCAATCTGGGCGGTCGTGTCAATTATCCTCCATATCACCCACAGGATTCAGCCCTCGCGAATTCCCTACTATCGCAACAGCAGATGAACGGTCATGGGCCCCGGCTTTACCCGTATCAGGAGGATCTGCAAATGCACGGACGGCCTCAACTTCCCATGCAACCCCAGCCGCCGTATGACAATATTCCGATCATCGATACCGGCTTAGAGACTGGTTCTAGGTACGGATCCCCTCCGGAAGACGGTCGACACGCCATATCCCCGATCGGTCGTTCTGCGCTTGATGCTCCCCTTCCTGCTTCTTTCGACAGCCAAGGAATATCTTACATTGCCCGCCACGGTCCCGTCGCCTCGTCAGTGCCCTCCAGGTTCGGATTTGATCTGTCTCCTACCCCTTCATCTCGTGCAGATATGTTCCGCAATCTCCATGACACCACTTTTGGATCGGATTTCAAGAAGTTTTCGACCCTCAGTTCATCTCCCGTTCTCAGCGGAGACGAAGGCACCACTGCACGCGTCATGCATTCGCAACGAGTGTCGCGACCCAAAATGTTATCAGCGAGTCTTCCCCGGCCTACGGTTTTGGATGATTGGGATGATAATTTTGCCATGGAGGAGGATTATCTACCGGCCGATTTACACGATGACGTATTGACACCCCAGGAAAAGATGCGCCGACTTTCGCGGACTGAGCACGATTCTCACAGTGGGAGAGACCTGAGCGGTTTAGGATTACCGTTGACGGGTTCCGCCAAAGTGGGTTCACCTTTAGCGTCCAGCCCGTCCCGATTTGGTGCACTATTTGCCAAGCAGCGACAGAAAAAAGAGGAAGAGAATCAATCAGCGCTGGGCAATGTTGGGTCGCCACTCCGTGATTCTTCATTAAGTATGCGATCTAGCCCAGGTTTACGTCCCATTGGCAGCCGCCCTAGTTCGGGTGACATTTCACCATTCATTGCCAGCCCTCCCCGTCAACCTTCGATGTCAATGATCACTCAACAACTCAGCAGCACCTCGTTACATCCAAATTCCGCACGTCACACCTCCGCAGGAAGTCGACTCGATCGTACTATCTCCTCTCCGATGAGCACAAGCCGTATTGATGAGGAGCAAAGTGATCTAGTATTTTCCATGGAAGAAGAGGAAAATCGACGAAATAGCTCCGCGTGGAATGTGAACAAGCTTGGCACCAACGATGCATCGACCACGTCTCGGGATGGTGATTCTGCAAGTACCGCTACTACACCCAAGGATATTGTATACAAGAAACGAGCATAGCCCTGGAGGATGACTTTCTACACCAAAATGGATTTCTTTGGGCATAGGGAGTTGAAAGATGGATATTCTAACGTCGATTTACCTTAGTTTGATTCTCAATTCCCCTTTGGTCAAACTTTTTGTGCAGCTTATTTTACTCCTTATTTTCTGTTGACAGTTTTTCATCAGTTCCTTTCCTTTTTTTTTTTTTACACTCAAAAAATACCTTCTCAGATTCATCTGGTTTCTACGCGATATCACTATTATACCTGCCAGCAGCATCTTTGCAGCTAATGCTGGCTTTCCAGAAAGGAACCAGCGCAAACCCGCGTATTATCTTCTCTCATGCTTGGTTGAATACATGGCCAAACACATAATGTAAATATGCCCCTTGTCACACTTCTATTCATCTCCACCCTTCTTCCTTGCATCAACTTTCTTGTTTCCAAGCTGTACCTGCACATACTGCGTTGCATTGCATAGTGTAAATATCATGTTGTGCCATTTTTCCTCTGGTTTTGGTGGGTCGATGTTGCACATTCCCAAGTGTATATTCAGTTCTCAGCTAAATTGGGGTCCGAATTTAGATTTACCTTATGAGTGCCTGGAGGAGTATCGGTTTCCAGGTGGGTTAATGTGATTTTTACCAAACCCAGCTCGATTCCTTATATCGACATCTATTTGACTGTGGCTTCGTCATGGAGCCTGTCTCAGGGGCCCAATGAACCCTCAAATTAAGAGATTAGTATACTATAAACAGAATTGGGCGGTTGTTTACTCGTACAATTTTTTTTTTCCATTTGTAGTTTTGACACGAAAATGTTAGAAACATGAATCAAGCAATAAGCCTACTCATACACAGGATTCTAAGCTCCATCAACCTGCCTTCAAAACGCCAGTGAACATGTCCCGATTTCCTTCATGGCCGATCATAACGTTGCAAAAGTGAAAAGAAGAAGAAGAAAAGAACGACAACTATAACACAGAGGATTAGGTAAAGAGCAACGCAAGCATGGAAACTACCCGTCAAGTCCTCTTTTTGGAGGGCTCCGTCAGGTAAGACCAATGGTCTTTCACAGGAAAGTGTCTTTGGCGTCGAGGAAGGGTCTTCGTGTCGAACATGCCCCCCTTTGCATGTTTGCTCACGTTTGAAAGTACGGCCTCGGCCTCCTCTTTGCTTTTGGTACGGCCTGCAACAAAAGCCTTGGCAATCTCAATCTGCCTTTCCTGTCGCTGGTAGTACTCCCTTTCGATTTCTCCAGAAAAAGTTTCCACTGGCTTGGCAGGCTGCGTATCTTCATTTTTGATTTCTCGGTCCGCTTCTTGAGCCACCCCTTTTGCTTCTTCCGTTGCAGGTTGGTGACTTTCCGCTTCGGCGCGGGCCTTTTGCTTGTCAAGGATCTCCTTGCGTACCCGATCAATGACCTTTTGACGCCTTGCCCTCGCGGCGAGGTACTCGGGGGTGTGTTGGAGGGTAGCTGGCTGGTCTTCTACTATATTAAGTGGCGGGGTGCTCCAGAAAAGTACTCGTCCCTTGTCATCGCACTGAAGCTGTGACCGTATTTCTGGAGGGATTGCATTGTTCTTCTCCTCGGATAAAGTGATAAACTCAGGAGGCTTTGGCGCGTTTGGATTGGGAGCAAGAGGAATCGGCATTGGGCTCTGTTGAGGGCGGCTTGTCATATACGCCGGGTAATTCTGCGGCATAGGGTAAGGTTGATGCGGAGGTTGCGGGTATGCGGGTTGCCCAAGGGGAACTTGCGGGGCCTGGGCAGGCGGCGCCTGGGCAGGCGGCGCCTGCTGGAATAACGGCGCAACAGGAGTCTGAGCCTGGAAAGGTTGCCTGGCTCTTGAAGGCATGATCGGCGTTTGCGTCGCAGGCTGTATGTGAGGGGCTTGAAGTGGTGATGGCGATGGCACTGGTGCGAAATTGGTAGAGCCTAGCCGAGGATCGCGTCTCGCGTCAAGATTTGTGTGAGGGGATGGCTGATTCGCAGACATTGGTCTGGATGGTAAACTTTGCTGTCGTTGAATTACTGGCTGCGGTGGAGGTGGAGGAGTCGGCTCAGGGGGAGGAGATTCCTTCAAGATATGTTAGAGAAATGGTGATGGAAAGGAATGTTTGTTGCTTAGCAAGGAAGAAATGAGGACAAACAAATCGAGAATAAAGGAATCCAAAACAACGCTTACATTTTCATCACGGGGTCGGCAATGGACAGCTCCAATAATCGGCGGCGCGTTTTCAGCGCCCCAAGTTGGTTTGGGCAAATCGTCTGTCTCTTTGGCATCCGCCGGCAAGAGATGTTTGATCGGGCTAGGGATTTTCCTAATCTTTCTTGGTCCGTCAAACAAGTCCATTTCATAGTCTTTCTCCCTCACTTCGTCGGGGAGACAGCTGGCCCAAGTCTTAATTTTGTTCAACTTGTGCTTTTCCTCATTATAGCGAGCCTCGCATACATAAACTTGTTTCTCCGGTGGAAATCCTCGTGGTCGGCCGCGGTTGTAACGCGTAAAGAACATCACAAAGCACCTATCCACGACTTCTTCGATGCGGTGGTCTCGGTACTGGCCAGTCTTCATGACTTCATTGGGCAAGAAGTGCTTCTCAACATGGTGAACGGTCTGTTCTGGTCGATAATACCAACAAGCATTTACCCATTTTTGGTCATCTGCATCCTGCCAGGTGCGATAAATCTGGGCAATAATAGGCTTGTTGTCATCATTGGGATTTTGAATATGGACCCAGTCACCGACTCTCCAAATCTCGTTTTTGTATGAGATCCCGTTAGGAAGCGGAAGCCGTCCATCCTCCATGAGATATTCGCTATCCGGCTTCTTCTTTTCTTGCTCGGCCAGTCGATGAGCTTCGGCTTGCAGATCGTCAGCATCGTGGTATAGTTGGCTGTCTGGCTGATTATAAGACTTGGCATTGTTGAACATGAGATCAATGTCTCTCATGAAGTGGTCAACCGAGTTGTACTTCTTTCTTTTAGATTTCCGTTTAATAAGGTCCACGGCCATGGGTTCGCTGATCTCGGTATAGTAATCGGGGTACACAGCCTTATCGGGCAACTTTTCGAAATGGCGAATCTTCAAGCCTCCCTCATCTCTAGGCTTCCGAATTCCCTTGAGTACGGCTTTTATTCTTGCTTCCATGGGGGTATCAACTCGAGGAGGACGGCCTCTCTTTTTGCGTGTGGCTGGATCTGTGCTCTTGCGTAGGTCGTCCTTGTTGCCTCCCCGTTTCGACGAGCTTCCGCGCCGAAGCCGCTTGCGTCTACGACGACTCCCCTCTTCTTCGGAGTCATCAGCATCTTCGTCATCCTCGTCATCCTCTTCTTCATCTTCTTCTTCCTCAACTGGGAGCGGGTCTGCGTCGGGAATCTCGCCTAAATCCGGCAGCTCTGCAGTGTCCGCGGAAATCACTCCTTGATCAGCAAGTTTTTGGAACTCGGAAACAAACACGTCCTTGAAACTGCGAATCAGCCTAAGCAGCCCTCAAGATATCCAAGAGCGACAGACCTTTATCACGAGGGCATCTTCATATGCCTGCGACCTCGGTCGATTGTATGTCTGAGCATTGTGCGAGATCTGTCCGGCAGAGAAAGCTGGTTAGCCCGCAGAACATTTGAGCATTAGCAAGGCCGGTCGCCGGAGAAAACTTGCCAAAGCGCAATCCCTGACGAATTCCGCAAACGTCTTGTACGATCGACTTCGGATCTTCTGTTTCAAGATGCTGAGCGCCATGGGCTCCTTGATGACATCGTAATAATCAGGGACGTTTCGCTTGTTGACGCTACGGTGGAACAGCCTCGACGGATCGTGGCCACTGCATGGGAGTCAGCAAGCCTGAAGCACACAAGAAATCGGGAACGCGGGACTGCGCATACTCGGATTCACGGTACTCGTAGATGGAGAGGACGACGTCGTACATCGCCTTCCATTGCTCGTCGGTGATCTGGCTTGGTTCTTCATTCTGCTTGGGGTCGGTTTCAATCGATTCAGCTGGTGTTTGCTGCTGTTCAGGGAGCTGGCCGGCCATGCCAGTGTTTTGTGAGGCTTGCGGGCCAGAGCCAGGGCCGGCATGGATGCCAGTCCCAACACTCGCCTCTGCCATCACTGGAGAGGCACAACACCAATGAACTGCAACTGGGCACTGATAGATGTCCTTCCACTTGACCAAGCAAGATCCACGCGTGCAGGGAGATGTTGTGTGTGTGTGTGAGTGCAGGTGGGAAGAGCAGAACAGAAATCAGTCGCGCTTTGGAAGAGCTCTCACGTGCAGCAACTCGTTCGTGATGCACTAACTAACGTTAACTAACCAGACGCTAAACCCCAGGGGGACCGGAGAGACAATGATCCGTGCTGGGCCAGGCGATTTCCGCGTTGCTTGTGCGCATGCTGGCGTCTATCGCGGCAAATCAACGGCATGGAGGGGAGGAGAGAGGGGAAGACAAGCCGTTTCTTCATCTCGATCAACTTGCCAGAGCCACACCGTCCGTGCTGCCCTTGACCACGGCGTAACTGGCCAGCTAACCGTTACCCAACTAACTAGCTAACTCACGATCTCGGGGCCTTCTGCAGCGGGAGATGCGGGTGCGGATCCGGGGTCCGTCGGGCCAGTCCACCGTCTCCCTTCAGGACACCGCAACAGTCGGGGATCTGCTGGATCAAATCAAAGCCAAAACGGCTTTGGCTGGTTTCGACATCAAATATGGCTATCCTCCGAGGTCGCTCTCGCTCGACCAAATCAATCGCAGCACAGCCATCACTGAAATTGGTGTGGACCTAAACGGCGAACAGCTCATCATCATCCCAAAGGCGGGTGCGTCGAGCACCGAACCTCCGCCTGTTTTTGCTCAACCCGCCCCGAAAACAGCCGTGGAATCAGAGCGCCAACCAGGCCTCTTGTCGCTGGACCGAAAGAAACCGAACATCGAAAATGATCCTCCAGAAATCCCGTCCGCTGACCATAACGGCACGATCGTTCTACGCATTATGCCGGACGATAATTCCTGTCTTTTCCGTGCCGTCGGAAGCGCCGTGTTGGGTGTGATGGACGCCATGACAGAGCTGCGATCGATTGTGGCTCAGACAATCCAGCAGCAACCGGATACATACAGCCAAGCTGTCCTGGAGCGAAACCGCGACGACTACTGTCGTTGGATCCAAAGCCCAGAAGCTTGGGGCGGTGGGATCGAACTCAGCATTTTCAGCAAACACTTCGACATTGAGATATGCTCCATTGACGTCCAGACCCTGCGTGTCGACCGTTTCAACGAGGGCCGACCGACACGCTGCATCGTGGTGTATTCGGGAATCCACTACGACACCATCGCCCTCTCGCCTTCAGACCCTCCCTTCGACCACGCTTATGCCCCTCCTGAATTTGACACGAAGATCTTTGATTCAGCAGACCCCGTTGTTCTAGAGAAGGCTGTGGAGTTATGCCGGATTCTACAACAAAAGCACTATTACACCGACACGGCAGGGTTCCAGGTAAAGTGTAACGTCTGTGGTGGAATGTTCGTTGGAGAGAGAGGCGCAACCCGTCATGCTGCGGAAACTGGGCACTATGATTTTGGCGAAGCCGGATGATTTCGACTCTCAGCGTCGGTGTACGTACGCGCTCTATACATGTCACGGTAGGACGCCCATAGCTCTACATACCTCCAAATGTAAGATAGTACACTGGCACCTAGTCGTTCCTCCGTATTCTGTTTGTACCGGCGCCCTCAACATGCTGAAGTTGATCCGCAGACAAGCGGAATCAGCTCTGATCACAGATTTAGTCTCGCTTGCAGGCCGAGAGGCCAGAGACCACAACCGCTTTCGCAACGGTCGGTCCGTGGCCGCGGGATGGGGGCAAAGAAGCTTCATGGAACTTTCAACAGCTCGGTTGAGGCATCTTGATGGGCAGGGGGTAACAAAGTCCGCTTCTTTTGCGCAGCTTGACGCTCTGCTTCGTCTCAGCCGAGTCCGGCGGCTTGTGTTGACGCTGACGCCCAAGTGCTTGCGGGATTGCTAACTGGCTGTTCCCCGGGGCGATAGCGCTGCTTTAACTAGTTAACGATCGGTGCTCGCTGGGCCTATGACGTTGGGTCAACGATGCACGTCGCTGGCAAACCTGCTCCCTAGTTGAGACACGCCCCAACTCGATGCCTCCCTCCGCAACTTCAGCAAGCCCCGTCCTGGTTCGTGCGATCAGCATCGGTTCGGGACATAATACGGGAGCAAGCAATGGGGCTGTCGCCCTCCAGTGTTCTCCCGCTCGCCGCAAAACGTCAGTCATAGTTTTAGAACTCTGCTAGGTGTGTACCGTGGATCGACGACGAACTTTCCCCCGATATCAAGGCCACCTACCTCATTATAAATGCCCGGTATCCCGATGGCTTCCCTCGTCATCAGAATCTTTCTCTGTCTTCAACACAGTCTGCCACAACTTCCATCATGTCGCATGATACGGCTCTGCACGGGATCGACTATACAAAGCCCGCCTCCGAGGACCCCTCACGCTTAAGGACCTTTTTCTCAATTTTGCGAAAGTACGCTGTCGACTATGCATTCCCCTGTTACCTACTTTACTATAGGATGTAGCTAATATTTCTGTCACTATCTCCCTTGCAGATTTATCGGGGTAACTGATATCGCAACAGCTCGCTTCTCTTTGCCAGCTCAACTCCTGGAGCCAACCCCAAATCTAGGTATGTTGGGACCTGTTGCGGGCTGGGGGCAAGGCTTAACCTCATGCTAGAGTATTGGAACTATCTCGATCGCCCCGAAAATTTTATCAGGTATGCCTAGAGCCAAAAGTCCACCGGAAACATAAATCTGACTCGTTCAGTATTGGAAAATCCGATGATGAGCTAGGTCGCATGCTAGAAGTCCTCAGATTCTGGTTTACAAAGGATGTGGTGAGCAGCAATTCTGTCCATGTGTTATTGCGGTGCAATAACTGATGACCGAGTAGCGATATGTTAAAAGCAAGCCTTGCAAACCGTATAATTCCGTACCGGGCGAGTTCTTCAGGGTTGGTTGCCGCGCAGCCTTACGGCATATACGAATCCATGGAAGTAGCTAACTCCGTACGCAGTGCTATTGGGAAATAGAGGATTATCGACCTCCTGTTTTTCCAAACTCGGTCGAGGATACATCCCCTGTTGTTCAAACAGTTGGTAACGGAGAAAAGGTCAGGATATCCTATATCACTGAACAAACGTCCCATCATCCGCCAGTCTCAGCTTTCTACGTGGACTGCCCGCAGCGAGGAATCACGGCTCGTGGTTTTGATCAAATTAGCGCCAAGTTCAGTGGTACAAGCATCCGGATTGCTCCAGGGCAACACAATTTAGGCATCTTTATCAGCTTGCACAGGCGGGATAACGAAGAATATCGGCTTACACATCCTGCTGCTCACATCGGCGGATGGCTTAGGGGATCATTGTCGATATCCGTCTCAGATACATGTTATGTGAGCTGTGCCAAAACGAAGATAAAGGCAATTCTGCAGTATCTTGAAGACGGTTGGCTCGGCAGATCGCATTACAGGGTAGTTGGGGTTATCTTTCGGTATGACCCAGAGAATGATAACAAAACGAAAATAAAAGAAGTCCCCGAGGGCGATGTCCTGGCAAAGATAGACGGCAGTTGGCATGAGCAGGTGTACTATACCTTGGCTGGCTCATCTGAACGCCAGCTACTCATTGATATCTCACCCCTATTTCCTGCGGCCAAGGTTGTTCCTCCGGAGGAAGTGCAGCTGCCCAACGAATCTCGCCGATGCTGGTCCGAAGTCACGGCTGCGATCCATGCTAGGCAATATAGCCTAGCAACCCAGCGCAAACACGAACTAGAAGATCGTCAGAGGGTGAGGGCTGCCATCAGAATGGAGAAGAACCACGAATGGAAACCGCGCTTCTTTAAATACCCCATTGATAGCTCAGGGAGACCCGAGCTAACTGCCGATGGTGAGAAGGTTCTAGAGAGGTTGCGTCGAGATGATTACACGTTGGAAGAGAAAGACGTGGCCTAATAAATAACCAGCCGAGTATTGGATTTGCAAAACCGGATCCATACTCTACTATGGTTGGAATGCCACCTTATCATTATCTACGGATTGAGCTACTTACTGCGGTAGCTTCCGTGCATTTGATTTATTTGCTTTAGATTTCAATGTTTGTTGCAAAGCATAATAACTGACGCTGCTGTTTTCTAACCTACATTCTCTTGGCCTTAGTTTCGAGGTTTCGTATGATACCCTTCATTCATTTACTGCTGAATTTCTACTACGTACAAGCGTCCATGGATAGCGTAATATACGGAGTACACTTTTACTTTGCATCGATATTGCCTTGGGTTGTTACCCTGGTTTCCCAAATGTATTTACATAATCTCCTCCCTCTCGTTTTAATGGTTCATCAGTCACAAGTTTGTCAATAGTGTGATTGACATTGTTCATTCTGTCTATGAGTATTTATTTAATCTTTCCGAGTATCATTGGCCTGTCGAAGCTAGATGACACTGGGCCTGAGGTTGTTGAATCCGAACCGGCTTCTGTGAGAGCACCCTCAAGGAATAATATAGGATCTGTGAAACAGGTGGCATCTCGATTAAGAGATGTAAGTTCTTAATGTCTGAAACGGAGGATAGAGATAAAATTCTTGGTTTTCAGTACTTCGTAAAGATAAATGCGTATGCTGGTCACGCTCTTAAGCCTATTCCACTACCAAGAAAACATTTCTGCTGTTCCAAATGCTCCAAATGGGAAATAAAACTGAAGAGGGAAAATAAAATATGTGAACAGCTATCCCTTCAGGCAGCTGCTTTGACCACTTTGAAGCCGGCACTAACTGTTTTGATGATTTCTTCATTCTTATGTGGTAACAAGCTGAGAGCGTAGGCGACATCATTCCATTGCTTCTCAGTGTCGCACCGCGCCAGCCTTGCGGCAAGTTTATCAGCCAATTGCTTAGCATGGCGATCCTAGAAGGGAGTCAGCGACAAGTAAAGAAACATGAGCCTGTTCTCAGTATAAATGTATTGCACAGGGTGTCCAAAAGCGCGTACCTTTTCCACGAATCCGGCGAGGAACTTGATGATCCTCCGTAGGGCATCGTCGGCGAGGTTCTGCTCCGCACTGAGCAAGCTGAACATATCAACAAAGTGGTTATACACCGCATTGTCCTTTGTGGCAAGCTCGGTAAAGAACATCCGAGCGAGATCGGCAACCTTTTTATCCTCATCCTCCAGGCATTTAGCCATTTCGCCGAGCTGGCCTTTAACTTTAACTTGGCCGGCAAGGATCAGGAAAGTAAGGGTCATCAGGCATGTGCGTTTAACCGAGACATCATTATCGTTTAGTCGTCGATAAAGAAAGTCTGTGTTCTCATCAATGAGATGATTGAAACAGACGGCCATATCCCCTAGCGCTATAACCGCGTTACTTCGAACGATGGGGTCTTCCGATCGTTCCATTATTGTGATCAAAAGTGGTAGATTGCTCTCGCAATACTCGCTTGAAACACACATTAGCTTCGCCATGCATATGGTGGCCGCTGCCTGAAGATTCCGGTCCGAGTAAGTATTGTTATTTGCACATATTTCGGCCACGAGAGGGCCGAAGTTGGCAAGGAGTGATCTTGTGCCGAAAAGAAGTTCGCGTTCCCGGATATGCGCCATTGCTTCGGTAAAATCATCTTCAGTTGTACCACCAATAAGGTCTAGTTCGTCATCTACAGGCGCATCGTCCTGATTCTGGGAGATCGAGTTAGCAACTTTGTTCTTTTCTTGTTCGGCTTTGCGACGTTTGAATTCTTGCTCGCAAAGTTCGAGATGTACAATCTGTTTGATTGCAATATGACCAACAATAAAAAGAAGTTGAGACAATCCCACTGGGCTGCTTTTTCGAGAAACATGTTGTGGAGTGTCGGGAGTACGAGGCCTGATCTCAGTGTTAACACTGGATGCCGGATCTCCAGAGGCAGCATGAGGTTGGAAAATGGATTTGGTTTTCCGCCGCACGACGTCGGAGCAAAGCGAGTCAGGGTGTTTGGCAAGAGCATAAATTGCGTTGATTGCCTGTTCCGCTACCCCGTACCATTCTTTGCTCTCTGAGACTATTTCCATCATTGCTGCTAGCTTCATCAAGACAGCATGATCGTTGGGTAGCTTTGGGGAGACCGCATCCTTTACTTTCGCTTGACGGCCGGACTTCATCCTTCTCAACGCGATACAGGTATATTTCGCCAGAATGAGGTCAGCTCGGCCTAATCCACCGAGGCCGATCCGCAGCATTGCTTCAATCTCTTTCACAACTACCTCGGGATCTGCCAGTGCAAGCATTCCGAGCACGATTATAGCGCCTCTTCTCTGAGTTTTGGATATTTCTCTTTTTTGAATACCATATACCTGCCAGAGTTTAACAATTACCGAGTCTGGAATATGTCCAGCCTTCATCATCATGCTCAGGAGCTGTTCTAACGATGTGAGCTCCGCCGGGGAAGCACCGTAGGTCAAGCTGATCATATTGCGGGCGATATAATTGGCAGCGTCATTTGGGCTAAAAGAATCTGGCGCATCAAAGAAAAGGGTTTTGTAGCAATCAATCAGGTGATTTTGGACACCTTTTCCTTCGTCGCTGTTCCCTTTTGTCCAAATTAGACGTAGCATTCTTCGAATACCGGACCGAGCAGTTTCGACTTTGTATGCATCGAGCATTACGAAAAAGTCCATTGCTTCGATCACTTCGCTTTTATTCCGAGATGAAAGTAGTTGCGAGACTGTTGAAGATGCCGAATGTAAAACTTCAATAAAACGGATTGCTTCAAGGTAGTATTTCCTAGTCAGTTGCAGGCGGGCAAGCATTTCTGATGTGGCTGCTTCCTCCTCGGCCCTTTTGATTGCAGCAGCCTTTTGTTCTTCGGACATTCTTGGTGTTTTTGAGGGAGACTCGTCCGGTAATTGAGTCGCATCGTCTAGCAACTCGCTATCTATATGGGCATTTTCCAAGCCTACCTCAGCTAGCCCGGGAGTTTCAGGGGGAGGCTTCAACGCGTTGAGTTCGGTTTCCACAGCTTCAAGTCTCGCTTCCCATTCTTTATAAGACAGTTGTCCCCCGTGCATTACGCTGAAGGGATGGGTGGACACTAATTTGGCGAGTAATTTGATGGCATTCCTGCGAACATGACTGCTCCGGTCCTCTAGACTTCTGCACGCCAACTCCGCGGCCGTTTGGCGCCTCTTTGGAAATTTTTGGTCCAAATCGCTGAGCCTCATGTAGACTTGGATAGCACGGCATCGACAGAATGGGTTCACATCCAGAAAACGTTCCTCCAAAACATCGAAAAATGAATTTATTTGAGTTTTTGCGCTCTCGCTTCTTTCATCTTGCTTGCTGAGATCGGTAATAAGATTTCCACATACTTCGATAACAGCACATCGTAAAGTATACGCCTATATAAAAAGCATAAACACCAGCACAACGAGCGTGAGGAGCCTAGCAAAGGGCATCAACCTACCTCGCTATCAAGTTGCTTAGCTAATAACGTCATCTGTTTGATGACTAGCCGTGGAGCAAGCTCTGCGAGCTTGGTAATAAATATCGAGACTGACTTAGGTCCTTTGGTATCGTTAGGATTGAATTCCTTATTTCCCAGCTCCCTAGCATAGAAAAATCAATGTTAACCCTTTCACTTCTGGACATTTTGGGATCAAGTCACCTTAAAATTTCATCAGACAGCTGCGGATAATCATATTGTTCTGCAAGGATATGTAGGAATTCTGCCATAGGTTCTGAAAGATGTTCAAAGTACGTAAGGCTTTGCACAATTGACGTCTGCGCGCCTAAGGTCATTTGATTAGCACTTCACATGAGCATAAGGGCAAAGTCCTTACCAAATGCATGGCCATGATGTTTCACGGCAATGCATAAAACCTTAAAGGCGTGCATTCGAATGCTCATCGTCTTAACACGCTGCTCGCTCTCAAGGATAAGGTAGATGGAGCGTGTGAAGAGGCTCACAAACGTATCGCGATCCGAGGTCGTCATAAATATCTTGCCCAGTTTTAATTTAAGCACCTTGCACATAACTTCCATAGCTATCTGTAACTGTGTAACAGAATCCCAGGTTTTCTCCTGTGCGGCCGATTTTGATCGAGCCTTTCCCGGACCACGCCTGGCAGGTGCTGAGGCTGCAGGTTTTTCTGCCATTTTTGCTTCCACAGCAGAAAGTGCCCATTGTAGCAAAAACGCGTACAGTTCCAGTAATTGTTTGTGGTGGGAAATAACATCGGATTCATCCGACTCGAGGTCATTGTGAACGATATCTGCTTCGACAGCGAGCCCGGAAACAATAAGATCCAAAACCTTGCTTAAAATTTGAGTGGGAAGCACAGCGGTAAACCTAGATTGCTCATACGATTTAGAATCACGTTTCGGTTGCGGGCATTCTTGAGGGTTACGAAAAGTAGGAGCACACTTGAGAAGAAACTGCAAGGAGTCAAAGAATTCACTTCTTGCGAGCCCATCCGGGCTTTCAGCCACAGCATCAACAATTGGATTCAAAACGCCATCGATCAAAGGGGCCGTAAGCAATTCCGGGTCCGACGCACATTCCTGAAGCTCGGGGTCGGCGTCTGGGGTAGGAACGGAGATCGGGTCACTAAGATAGTACTTGAGAGACTCGTTGATGTCGAAATCTATTCTGTCCTCCATAATGACGAGTAAGATATCAGCACCATGGGTAAGGTGTTCCGCATCAAAAAGCGGTAATTATCAGCGCAGGCGGCGGGGTCTCCGATGAGAGGTTCAGTGGATGTTCAAGCTGTGGGTTGGTTTGTTTGCATTTTACCCTTTTAAGTTGATCAAAACAGCGCTATTTCTACCCAACACGGTTAGATTCAACAGCACAGATGATTCTCAATGCTCGCCACGAAACACAGAAACTTGAAGCTGGTGTGCTCAGTTGAAGGTGTGTCTGTGGCTGCAGGGGCATGGAATCAGCAAGACTTTCATCACCAATTAATTAGCATAACTAGTTCAATAGCAACCAGCTGAAATTCAGGCTGTGACGAGGGCAATCAATGCCGCTTTAGCTAAGTTAACTAGTAACTTTTGACGCGCCGCGTTGTCAGCGCTTAACAACAAGCGCGTCGCCAAAGCTATTGGGGAGACACTGGATACTGCTCTATTAACAGAGTATACATTGTCATTAGTTGACTATCAGCTAGCCTTACAGTGTCATCTTTGGCTAAGATAAAGGGCGGTTCCGGCCACAAGCCAGACTCTAATAATGATCGGTTAGACAACGATGCGTGGGGCTCTGCACTTTTATCTCTAAGTGTTCAAACTCGTTGGTGTCTCTACCCCTTCGCTCAATCCGATTTTCCCCAAATTAGTGCCGAAGGGACTACATTTGGCTTTCCGAAATGGCATTAAATCTCGACGGGATGGTAACTCGTCCTACTAGCATTGAGGAGACCAAAACGGAGGCGTTGGACCATGGAGCGAGTTATGAGAGCTTACAGACGGGTTCCGACCTAGAAGAACTGGGTGATAGTGATCAAGAAGAAACAGACGAGTCAGTTATCGAAGACATGAAGAAATTGGAAGATAGTTTCGAAGGCTTCTCAGAGAGATATCGTCTAATCCGGCGCATTGGAGAAGGTTTGTCCACTGCACTCCCAATGTCCTAAAAGTACCTATTCCTAGGCCCTGAGAAGTCGTATTATCGTTGTCTCCTGAAGACTGATTTGATTATATCTCAGGCACTTTTTCAACAGTTTATAAGGCAGAAGATTTATTATATGATTGCTACCGCAACGACTGGGACTTTGAAAAGGACGAGGTTGAAGATCATGAATTGGCACCCCACAAACGCCGTCGCATCGGGTATTCTGAGAGCGCCTCGGTACAGAGAACAAAGAAAAAGAAGACTTCACACTACGTGGCATTAAAGAAAATATATGTGACGAGCAGCCCTGCGCGGATACAAAATGAGCTCGAACTGCTTCTAGACTTGCGAGGTTACCGATCAGTGTGCCCTATCATCACGGCTTTTCGGCATCAGGATCAGGTTGTGGCTGTTCTACCATACTTTCCCCATGCGGACTTTCGGACGCTGTACCGTACGTTCCTCGTAGAAGATATGAGATGGTATCTCCGGTCCCTTCTCACAGCACTTTACTTTGTTCACCGAGAAGAGATAATCCATCGGGATATCAAGCCTACGTCTGTATTATCTATTCTCCCCCCTCTTTGGAATTGGGGAATACTGACATAATTGCTAGCAACTTTTTATATAACCCAATTCATCGGCGTGGGGTTCTTGTGGATTTTGGACTTGCGGAAGTGAGTGTTTCCAACGTTGAACAGCCATTAAACTAGTATCATTAACTTGGTGATGAACTAGCGTGAATATAGTGGCGCGGAGATATGCACGTGCTCGGATGCAAACGCTTTGAAACGACTTTCACGAAAGCCCTATTTCATGAAACCGCAAACCATGTCAGCGGGTTATCCTAAAAATGACTCGAGACCGTCCCGTCGGGCAAATAGGGCTGGAACTCGCGGGTTTCGGGCTCCGGAAGTGCTGTTAAAATGCCCGTCACAGTCGATTAAAATTGACATCTGGTCTGTTGGCGTAATATTACTCACTCTCTTGGGACGACGGTTCCCTTTTTTTCATTCCGTCGATGATGTGGACGCTATGATCGAGCTGGCCAGTATATTCGGTACTCGCAGAATGAGGGCTTGTGCGGCACTCCATGGACAAGTGTTTGAAACCACGATCCCTACGATTGGAGAAAAGGGGTTTTCCTGGGAAAAAATTGTGCAATGGTCTAACTGTGTTGAATCTCATACGGAGCGTGAAAAACAGGGAATAAAACTCTTGTCCCGTCTGCTAGAGCTGGATCCAAACAAAAGACCTGACGCAGGGGAAGCGTTGGGCGACGACTTTTTCCTCCACCCCGAGGGCGAAGACTTACCTTGGGAAGATGATGTGGTGGACCAAAAGGGTGACGGAACGGCGAGTGCGGATGGAAGAGAAGAGGAAAACGACAGGGCAGCAGGCGACGGCCTAGATGAAGTTCAGTTTATCTAATCGGCAACAGGCTTTGTCTAGACATAGTTAATCACTCCGTACATAACCATGATGTTGTGATGGATCAACCATGAACCTTGCATGTCATTGTATGTAGCTAACGAACTAGGAGACCTCCAGACCTTTGTCGGAGAATCGTGGCGTATCGATCTGCCATTCGGGACGGCCCGGAAAGTGTATCCCATGGTAAGGGCCGAGCAAAGAGGTTGCATTTGTTCATCCAATATCATATATGCTAAACTCCGTATAAATCACAGTAGGCATATGGGCCGCCCCGTTCTGCTCTTCTGCAGCCGAACAAGGCTACCCCGCCTTTGAACGCATTTCGCCTCTTCAGCTACTCCGTACTTCCTGTTCTATTGGCAGACAATGCTTTCATTTGCTCGAGGCATCTGAGGCCTTAGTGCATCAAAGAACGTCGTAAGTTTATAACTAGTTCCTTGCATTGAATCTCCCTCGCCATTTACCGAAGTAGATCTTCTCGCTGCCTGCTTTTGCTCATGATGTTCGCCCAGGAAATCTCGAGATCTGTGACTTCCAGAGCCTTGTTTTGTCATTGATTGGTTCACGCGGTGGCCCAACCCTCGCTTTTAAATTTTTGTGTCCTATGAGTGACTTCTCCTCTCCGCGTCTGCTTTTCAATCATGATTGGCGTATCATGACACCATCCTCACTGCCTCGTCAACCCCTGCATGCCGTCGGCCATTGCAATCCTCTGTTCCTCAATAATTTCTGGATTTGTCTAGAGGCCAGCGGCTGGTTTTGGCTAGACCCCTCTGGCCAGCGAGAGGTTTTCGGGTTTGACCGCAATTAACCCTGTAATAACCACAGAGATCAGATTTCCCCTTCGGGGTTTCCGGTGGGCTATATACCCTACTGTTCGGCCAAAGATAAATAGAGTGTTGCACATGGAAGACACAGTGTCAGACTACAGAGAGACACAAGGTTAAATGCAGTTCTAATGCCCGTGGCATTAGAGGATATTCTCTTTTGGCCTAGTGGTATAGAGCTTGCATTTTTCCAGTCCAAGACACAGCCTACTGATGTTCCAGCCTTTTACCCCTTTTCCGTTTCTTGATGCACCCATGGCTTTGCTTCTGTCCCAGATCCACGCCGAACATCACAAGTACGATGTCCAACTATGTTACCTACTAACAATACGCGTCCAACTACTCGACTCAGCGCGAACCGCCACATGTGAACAGTCTTATCATTGCATTGGGCTTGGAAGAATATTCATGGCAGCCGTATATTTTTCAAAAATGAAGAGAACTAGAAGAGCAAGGAAACAATGAACAAGATCAAAAGGGATCAAAAAACAGACGAACAAAGATTTTGAAGATCAGGCAGGTTATTCTCGACTTATCAGACACCCTCAAACAGCGAGTCTATGACAAAACAGTAGACTTGAAATGGGAATACACCAATTCATCATCTGTTTGGTGGGAATACATAACCTGTAATGCCTTCACCGGTATACCCCGATGTTCTAATAGCATTTTGCCACTCAGAGTGATCAATAGTGTAAAAGTGATCTCCAATCCTTGCATTGAAAGCACGGTAAAGCGGTACTGTTCCGATACCATAATTTTCTGTAAAAACATAGCCTGTGATGCCTTCATATATGTAGCCCAAATTTTGTTCTGCGTTCTGCCGCTCGGATTCAGATGTGGTGTAGAAATGATTGACGAGGCCGGGAGAAAACAGTCTGTGGAGAGCAACAGTTCTCCAGGCCGGTGCTGAATAGATACGACACGCAGAACCTTCCGGAGAGTATCCATTCTCAGTAGTGACTTTGTTGTATTCGGCAAGATTGGTTGTATAGAAGTGGTCGGTACCACTTTGACTATAGGCTCGCCAGAGGTCAACAAGTCTCGCACTCTAATGCAAGGAATGCATGTTAGTAGTGCGAATCTCTCCTGCATCCATCTCTAAGTCGGGTTGAGGTTAAAATACCTGGTTGGGGCTCTCGGGTGATGCTCCTCCCACTGAAGCAAAAACGCCCAAAATGCATATCAACAACGACCACATGTTTGAATATTTCATGATTTTATTCATCAAGATAAGATTATTTTATATCACAGGACAGTGTTTGGTGGTCCAGGAGCAATGCAAGGTAATTGGAAAACAAGTAAATATTCAAGAAGTGATCAGTGAGCTTTATATGTATTCCAATGTTCCATTCTTCCAGCTTTATCACAGACCTATGTATCTACCTACCACTTCATTGAGACTTGCTCACCCCAAGGAGCAGCTGGAACAAGATGTATGCTGGTCAATACATATCAAATCAGACCATCTTACCGCAGCGATTTCGATTTGAACTAACTCGTCTTAAATTAATTCGTATCTGCTGCTGCTCAGGTGCTCATTCTGCAAAACAGTGTTGTGAAACTCCAGACTTCGGAGCCAATTCTTGACCATTCATAAGAAACTGTGTTGTTGATCAAACGAAGATATGTCTGTCAGCTGATACAGTAGATTAACTGTGTGCGTGTTGATTATGGTACTCTAGTTCCATGCTTCTGATTTCTTTGCTCTCCTCTATTTTCCGCATCACTGTGGGTATTCTTGTTATTCATTTTACTCAATCAAGAAAATAGCCATTCAGCTGAAGAAGCCTGTTGTGACATTTGCTCTGCATGCAGAGATTCTCTGAAGGGCCCAGGGGTACTGACTGCATGAAAAATCATACATACAATTGTGCAGCTGCAGGTGTTTCTGATGCGGTTCGGGTCCACAAATTCAGAATCAGCTGAAGTGGCTAGAATTCAGAGCAAGGTTCTAGCACTCTACTAGCCTTTTTAGAGGGTGGGTAGCATTGCAGATAACCGAAACCCTCTTTCCTATTGCAGCTCGGTTTGACTGTATTCGAGAGCATTTGCATAGATGAGTCCATTCTCTATCAAATTGTACATTTCTGGCGACATGATTTTGGGACTGTTGCAGTGTGGATCTTGGGCGCATTCCGGGGTCTTCACTGCTGTACCACAGACAAAAGACTCGTATTTCAAGCCTTGAAACTGCGCTCGCTTCTAAAGTCATGCCTGCAATGCTGTCACACTTTCATCGTTCATGAGGGACTCCCTGCTCTGATACTAGAGTCACTTATTGTAAACTGAGTATCATACGAACAGGAAATAATCTTTTCGGCTGTTTGCAGTCCGTCTTCAGCCGGCCGCAATATGTAGTATCCCACTCCTCCTATGAATTCGGGTTTATTCCTCTGTCTCTCCCGTTTCATTCCATTCTCGTCAAAATCTGGCTGGCGGTTAAAGATGTCCACACTAAACCTTCATCTGCCATAATAATCTAATGGATCAATCGTGAATCTTGCATGTCGTTGAATGTAGCAAACTAGCTAGCCGGATTACCTAACACGCTGTTTCTGAGCCATGAGGTCGCCGGATCATGCCAAGCCATGTCAACGTCATAGCTCGCTCCTCGCGCCGCCGCTGCGGGGAGCTCTGGTATTTATTTGCAAAGCCACACAGCACAATGAAGCTCTTGTCCAGCTATGGAATCCATTTTAAGTAACGGTGATTCAAGTGTTTCTAATCTACACATTTTGTCTCTTATCTCCACTTGAAGCAATAGGTATCAACTTGACTAGATCCCGGGCAGCAGGTTTGCCATCGTGTCACCTCCCACCTTTTTATGGATTGCCTGTTTCTGCTGCTTTCTTGCGATAATATACCAGGCACCGTTTCAAGAGCATTCAAGTGGATTGGCATTTGATCCCTCTCTTCCTTCAAATTCAGCTACCGTCACCACGCAGCACCTGTTCCGGAGAGCCTTCGCCTCAATGGCTTGGCAATGTTCGGGGTCAAGCAATGCGCAGTTGATCAACAATCTGTTTAACTCTGGTCTTATAAAAAGCGAGCGAGTTAAAAATGCTATGCTTCGGGTATGTTCTTCTTTGTCCACCTAGCATCACCAAGTTTTTTTGGTGGGTTAATGCGATACGGGGCTATGCTAATCGGCACAGGTCGACCGTGCCGACTATGCACCAGCCAATCCATACGCAGATTCTCCTCAGACTATAGGGTATTCGGCAACCATCTCCGCTCCACACATGCATGGTCATGCTTGCGAATATCTTCTTGAGTATCTGCATCCGGGATCTCGTGTGCTGGACATCGGATCTGGCTCGGGCTATTTGACACATGTTCTTGCAAACTTAATCACTGATTCTTCGTCGCCTCCATCATCTGCTGAGGGCCATGTTGTCGGTATCGACCATATTCAGGGACTAGTCGATTTATCTAAGCGCAATATGGCCAAGTCTGAATCTGGCCGCAAGCTGTTAGAGACCGGAAAGGTCAACTTTGTTGTTGGCGACGGTCGTTTGGGGTGGTTGGAAGGTGGCCCATACGATGTTATTCATGTTGGAGCAGCGGCAACAACGATCCATCCCGCCCTGATAGACCAACTCAAGGCGCCTGGTCGAATGTTTATTCCAGTTGAATCAACTGGGGAACATAGTAGCGCTCGATTGTTCAACTTGGGTGGCCCGCAATACATCTGGGTCGTCGATAAAAGGGAAGATGGCTCGGTGCATAAAGAAAAAGTCTTTGGCGTTAACTATGTGCCGCTGACCGATGCGCCGCAATAGTTCATTTCCCAGTATACTTCTCGGCTCTGTACTATGTCAATTTGCCTTTTGGTTATAATATGAATCGTACTTTGATCTATTGATGGACAAATGGGTGGGTGAGGTAATAGTCAAGCGAATATATGCAGGCATATACGGTCAGAGTTAGCTTTGATTAAGGTAACAAGTTGGCTGATGATTTTTCCTTTTGAATGGTTTGTGATTGTTCATGGCTCTAGAGAATTAAACAGTTGCCACAAATGTTGTTTGTATCAAAAGAACAAGCAAAAGCATGTGATATGTCTAGGACAAAAGCAGTCCGTTTAGAAGAAACAATGCTAACCAAAGGGGAACCCGCCCGGAAACCCCTGCTGAGAAAATTTAAACTGCTGGCCACCGGCGCCATGATGGAAGAAGAACTGTTGGCCTCCCCCACCCGGCCCAAATGGGTCGCTATGGAAGGGGTTTCCTTGATTATTCTCAGGATTATTCGGATCATCGCCACGGTCGAACCGCGCCCTCAGTTCCGAATCGGCAAGCACTTCATATGCCTCATTAATCGCAGCCATCTTTTTCTCAGCATCTTCCTTAGACACTCCCTGTGATCTCACTTTGTCGGGGTGATACTGCTTGGTGAGTTTGCGGTAGGCGCGCTTGATAGTTGCATCGTCAGCTTCACGGTCGACTCCTAGAACTTTATAGTAATCCTTTTGTTTGGACCGCTTCAGCAGCGTCTGCGCTTTCTCGTGAAGGATTCGGACGGCATGGGTATGTGGGTGGTTTTCATTGGCGATAGCGAGAGTTTGCATTGCTGCTTCGTACTCGCCTGAATCTAATTGGCTTTCCGCCTTTGACAAAAGGCCGTGAAGTGAGGTCGGATTAAACTCAAGGGCTTCAGAGCAGAAAGGTTTGGCTTTGCGCTTGGAGTTCATCTACCAGTAAAGTATCGCGTTAGCATGGTCACCGACAGTCATAACATGAGGCATCCACTAACTTCTCGGTAGGCTTCGCAAGCTTTCTCAACTAGATTAGCAGAGAGCTGTTCTGGCGCATTTTTATGAATGTAGCCATTTGCGCGAGCAGATTTAATTTCATTCTTCACATCGTCGATTAATCCACTCTCCTCCTTGGAGCCCACCAATAGTTCCACCGCTTTGTTAAACTTCCGTTGCTCCAAGAATCGATCAAGACGTTGGAGTAGCTTAGAGATCTGCTTTTGCCTTCTGAATAGGCCGCTGCATACTTTTGAATCTGGATCAGAGTGAAGGCACTTTCGTATCTGCGTTAATCCGCGGTCAGTGTCCGCCAAGGAATAGAACAACATGGCAGAGATTTCGAGATGCGGTTGCATGTAGCCCGGAGAAATTTGTAAGACGTGTGCCAAGTCGCTGATACCCTCTTGGATCTCTCCGCGTTCAAAACGGCATCTTGCTCGACGTTGACGAAGTGGCAGAGATGTGCCCGCTTTTAAGATCGCCACTCCAGCCTGAGAGACACAAGTTTCCCAATCGCCTCTTTTTTCTGCCTTCTCTGCCATGTTAGCGGCATTTTCCGCTTCCACTAATTCCCCCAGTTCGGCTTTTCCCAGATTCCCTGCTGCTTCAAAATCTCGTTTCGCCCCAAGCCAGTCGGCGGACTTTGTACGAATTCTAGCTCGCTGCACAAGGGCGCCTTCAAAACCGGGTTTGAGTTTTAAGACACGGTCGAAATCTTCGACAGCCTTCAGATTCTTCCCTAAAGACAAATACGTCGCTCCCCGCTGAAATATTGTCAAGTAATTTGTTGGGTCCTTTGAAATTGCAGCATCGAAATAGGTGAGTGCGTCGCGAGGGGACCCATTTGCAAGGTGTGATTTGGCTGTAGATATAAGAGATGCAACTGGAAGATCCAAAGGAATTTCTGATGTTTGAACGCCATTCGCGGTCGAAATAATGGCAAGGAGAAACGCAACAGAGTGAAGCCGCATGATCATCGCGAAAGCGCACTCTCTAGGCGGGTCAAAGGCAAAGGAAAACACTTCAACTACCGGAATAAAGTCAAAGTCTGACACGTATCTCGAAAGAAAGCCAAGTCCATGCTCAGAATCAAACAGCGCCGGGCTGGCGAAGTGAAATAGATGATGAGATGAGGCCACGCTTTCCCTTGGGCCAATCTTATCTTATCACTTGCATTAACTAGTTAGTTAATTACATAATCGACTTGGCGTTTGGCTGACGTAAGGAATCAAAACTCAGGGATATTTCTATGATGAAGCGAGGAAGCCAGTGCCAGAGAAGGATGTGAAGGCAGGATTGCCAGACCATGTTGAATACTCCGTGGATATGCTCAGGATGTCTTGCTCGACTCATGCGGGTCAACAGGCCAAATCGCTTGAGGAACTGGAAGCGATTTTATAGTACTGGTATTTGCTTAACAATCCGAGCCGTCCCTATCGAAATGGGTATTGATTGAATTTTTGGTCTAGCCGCACCCCAGTCATTGCTAAGCCCTGCTCTTCTAAGTCGAGCCCGAAGCATTGCAGAAGAGCATGCGACGCTCTCCAGAAATCTCGCTGTCTCGTTTGAAACCGAGACTGCCAAACGAGTTGGAGAATTAACGCTAGCCGTACAAGCTCTCAAGGAATGGGATAAAGCGCAGGAGGTACGTTTGCTAGTTGATGAAACAAATATACTGGCAGATTGTATTTCTCACTGCTCTTTTAGACCATAGCAGAGCTAAACGTATTGCGTGAAGATTCTTCCACCGACCACGAGCTCCGAGAATTGGTATCTGAAGATCTTGAGACAGCCGTCTCGAGCCTTCCAACGTTGTCGAATAAGCTGAAAGAAAGTTTGGTTCCAAGGCACCCCTTTGCTGAATTCCCTTGCTTGGTTGAAATTCGACCTGGTGCGGGAGGGGCCGAGGCCAGTCTTTTCGCCTCTGAGCTGCTCCGGATGTATTTGGCAGTTTGTTCACGCCGTGGGTTTCGAACGACAATTCTTAAAAAGGATACAGAGGATGGGTACGGAAGCGGCGGTTCTGAAGATCTCCTATCCGAAGCTGTCGTGGAAATTGAAACCCCTCGGAGTTATGACATTTTTCGTACGGAGGCTGGAGTGCATCGTGTACAACGAATCCCGGCAACAGAAGCGAAAGGGCGTGTCCATACCAGCGCCGTGAGCGTAATGATCTTGCCAAGCTTCCCAGAGCAGAATGATGGCGCGCTGAATTTCGACGATCCAAATTCCGATTATTACATAAATCCCCAGGAGGTGCAATCCGAAAAGATGCGTGCTAGTGGCGCTGGGGGACAACACGTAAACAAAACGGAATCTGCCGTAAGGCTCACTCACATTCCTACCGGTACTGTTGTGGCTGTGCAGGACACTCGTTCTCAGCACGAAAATCGGAGGAAGGCATGGAGACTACTACGTTCGAAAATCGCACAGATGAGACGTGAAGCGCGAGAACAGCAACTTGTTGAATTGCGGAGGGGCATAATGGGAGGAGTTGCTAAAATGGGTCGAGGGGATAAGGTTCGGACTTACAATTTCGGACAAAATCGCTGTACGGACCATCGAAGCGGTATGACAATACACAATCTTAGCGATGTACTTGAAGGCGGCGAAGGATTGAGTAGGATTATGGAGAGCGTGAGCAACTGGCTTGTGGATCAGGAGGTCGAAGCCTTGTGCGCCGAAGAACAATCTAAACAACAAAAAGAGATACCTCCGAGGAAACTGAACACAACAGTATAGTATCAAATACTGTGACAATGATGCATATTATAAACTTGTATCGACCAGAACAGCGGGCTGAGACCCTGCGCGTCAAGCACAAAATAAACCCGGAACATGCCAGTATATTTTGCACACCGATTCCCGTCTAAAGTATATGGTTGTACATGAAAGTTATCCCAGGCTAGACATTAGAAAACTGAAAACGAACTTCTAGATATATTCTCGACCTGGATCGAGAGCGTCCAAGCCTTCCATCGTTTTCTCGTACCTAGGGCAAAGCTGAGATTAGTTTCCAAATACCGTGGATTTGCACCATAGAGCCGCAACGTGGATCAGACATACATTGTGAATACGATCCCGCCACTCAATATCAGTCTTGCTAGTCGGGGAACCGCACCAGACCAAAACGTAAGGATTCCCTCATCCTTGAATATGCTGGCCGCACATGTGAAGCTATTTTTGTAGATCTTCCTAGCCTCGATGGATTGCATTCTATTCGAGATCAGTTTGTTTGTGACTTTTGGAAAAAGAGGCACGAAATGAACGAGGGAAGGGCGGACTAACCTTGTCTTGACGGTGTCCAGCGGCTGTGTGACGTAACTTTCCGGAGCGGTTAGTCTCTTAAAAGACCGTAAAGGAGAGTTTGACATACACTGTTATTAATCCAGCGAGGCCCCCGATACTAAAGGTGCTCAAAGCGCCAAGTTTCTCACCCGGTGCAACGTACCCCTGGGCAAATTGCCGAAGGGTTGTGTAGCTACCGAATCTCGTAGCTGAATTAGCTGCTTGTCGCGCTGTCGTGGGGATAAACCCTTGAAAAAAGCCGCGAACACCGCGCTCTCGGAAAATTACGGCAGTTCCATGTAAGAAACCGCGCATTCGAGGATTACCAGATTTCCGATCATCTATTCTGTGCACTGTCAGAGTCGTGTTGACCTTGCAAGATCCAGCCATCGGCAGTTGTGGTGAGAATGTGCAGAACCACAAGGAGGACGAACAATTGCGTTTTGATACTCTCGAATGGTGTGACCGCCAGGAGGGACTCTGTGAAACCGGCACCGAAGCCTGCTAGAACAGTTCGAGGGCCAGATATCTTGCCATCCTTATCTTGGAGTAGAGATTTAAACGAGTCAAATGCAACAAAGCCTGCAGTATTTAATATCAGCTTGATGCCTCTCGGACTGGTGCAATGGATCAAACATACGAATGCCGGCTTTCAATGAATTTCCTACAATGAGCGTCGTACACCCTGCATACCATGCTTTGCCGAAAGGTGGCCAAGGTAGTTTCTTCCCGTCTGGTAGCCGGCGGTTCAATTGAGTTCTAGTTTTGGCGACTGCAATCAGAACAGTTAGGCTTGTGGGCACCATTTGGGAATCAAGCAGAACTTACATTCTGCGGGATATGTGATTGCTACGTAAACGGAATTGGTCAGCAATAAATACAGAAGCAGGCGATGAAAAACATTTACAAAGGGAGTATATTCACATATTTCGACAGCTCCAGCAGTTGATCCAGCTATAATTGACCGCAAACTGCTCGGCTTCAGCATGCACCATTAGCACGGTTCTAGGGAGCTATGACTTCAAAGCTAACCTTGGGTTTCTGATCATTATCTGAACTGTGAGGCATGGCGAAATCTTTTAAGCTGACTGCCCACTCACTTTGCTGAATGACATGGAATGGTCGAATTCAAGTCGCGAGTGCACATATACCTTTGAAAGAGGCCTTATTATAATAATCAGTTTGCTACGGAGTATCGAACTAACCGGTTAACTAACTACGGGAGCCTCTTACAGCCCAAGATGCAATTATGTTGCGGAGGACAATCCTCCGTCACGCTGAAAGATATTCCGCAATATCCTCTCACACAACTCGAGGGGCGAGAAAAGCGAAAATCAGAAGAAACGGTTTCTAGTCATTTGATGGGTCTGAGTTAACAATACAGAGTGTACACGCGCTTTGACGGCGTGAAGATCCGCACATGAATCTCAAAAACCATGTTACGTACACAAGAAATCGCTCGGAGAAAAAAAAAAAAAAAAAATTGGAGGATTTTGTAATTTTCTCGATGTGTTTTTGGGACATTTTCGTCAGCCCAGTTTTAGGAAATATCGGCAGGTATCCCGGGCTGGAGGAATTCTGAACTGGGATTGTCTGTATTTTGGATATGGGTGAAACATGACGATGCGAACATCTTTGCGCCTTTAGCGGACAGTCACGCAGCCAAGGACTTTAGCAACTGAAGGAAGCGCAAAACGATTAGAAGTGACTGGGGAGATAGATTGGCAAATCACGGTCGCCATGGAAGGAAAGTGTTGTCGTACAAATGGGGGTTAAATAACAACAAAGGACACTGAACTAAGCGCGCCGTAGACAATTACCATAGTGGCATGCTGTGTCCCATGGAAAAGAAAATCATGTCCCACAAGTTTGCCAAAACGCCTATATTCACCGATGCGCTAAATGCGAAATGGTTGCTGGTGACCAGTTAGGCGCCGTGAATAAGGAGAAATAGTGACGTCGAGTCCCAACGATATCATCTAGACTTAGCAACTGTAGTATGGTTTGGATGCGGGGGCTTTTGGGCTCCTTCGAAATGGCAATATGGTACACATTCGCAAGATGGCCGTTCAGAAAGAGCGAATGGAGCACGGAACCGTATCGCAGAATGGGACACGCAATACTAGCAAAGCGACATAGAGAATGGGGAAAACAATTTCAGGGTGTGGTGTGAGCCCCTAATGAGACCAGAGCCGGATAGGAACAAGGTGTCCAGGAAACAGAGGCGCAAGACTTAGTTTGATTGAAGTAATTTACTGAATAGGGACGTGAGCGTACAGGTTTATGAAGTTGGAGCCGTGGAGGCTGGCAAGCCGGGATTCATGCGATTGCTCTCCGGGTGATTTGCGCGGTGGCCCTGGCCGCGGCCTCCCCTGTAGGACCCGCGAGACTGTTGTCCTCGATTCGCTGCTTGCTGTCCGTGTCCACTACCAGGATGACCTTGACGACGGTGTTGGCTTTCCGAGTTAGTTGCTTGTTGCGTGGATAATGTATTACGCCCCGACGGTGCATTTGCAATAGGACGTGGGATGGTTTCGGGGGTATCATAAACGTAAAGTTTCTTGTCAATGGACGGTGGTATAGGCTGAATTTCGGTTCCCAATTCTTGTTCGATCTTGTATAGATTATAGCGATCCTCCCAACCAATAAGATTGATTGCCAGCCCAAGATGGCCAAACCGACCGGAACGACCAATTCGGTGGAGGTATGTTTCAGCATTTTTTGGGAAGTCGAAATTGATGACGACGTTGACCGCTTGAATATCAATTCCTCGAGTCAACAGGTCTGAACACACAAGGTTGCGGCACACGCCATTGCGGAAATCATGGAATACGCGATTCCGATTCTGCTGAAACATCCTTGCATGAGAATAAAAGCAAGAGTAGCCGAGCTCGGTGATCTTCTTTGCAAGCAACTCCACTCGGTTTGTAGAATTGCAAAAGATAATAGACTGATTGATTTGGAGCTTGGAAAATAGAGTATTCAGACAGTGGACCTTCTGTCTCTCTTCCACGAAGGCATAATATTGAGTGATACCCCGTAAAGTAAGTTCATCCATCAAGTTGATTTCATATGGATTCCGCATATGTTTATCCTATATATAAAATTTAATGTTCGCACACAGCGATAGGGGAAGGTGGCTTGCTTACCTTAAAAGACTTCACAATCATTGGGAAAGTCGCGCTAAACAGCATAACCTGGCGATCTTTGGGATGGAATGACAATAACTGTTCGATGACAGGCGTAAATTCCGGGGATAGAAGCTTGTCAGCTTCGTCCATCACAAAAGTTGCGCATTCGGATAAATCTGCCACGCCCTTACTCGCGAGATCAAGAATCCTCCCGGGCGTTCCGACTATGATATGGACAGTGTCATTTAATCGAATAATGTCATCCTGGAGACCAGTTCCTCCGGTGGTAACCATCACATTGATTCCGAGATGCTTTCCTAGGGTTTTGCATACTTGAGAAGTCTGAAGCGCTAACTCCCTTGTAGGAACGAGTATGAGGGCCTGTGTTTTCGATATTTTGGGGTTGGTGCGCTCTAAGGTAGGTATAACAAAAGCAGCTGTTTTTCCGGTTCCATTTTTCGCCCTGGCAAGGATATCACGCCCAGTAAGTGCAACGGGTATGGTTTCCTCTTGAATTGGAGAAGGTTTCTCGAAACCCGCCTCGAATATTCCCATCATCAATTCTCGCTTGATATAGAAGTCTTCAAATTCTAGTCCTTTGGTAGCTGTGACATCCTGCAAGTTGTCAGAACGGCAAGCTAGGCCTTATGCTCTAGGGCCATTTTTACCTCTGTTTGTGTTCTGGTATCTTTCGGAGGAAGTTTGAGCTGTTCCTTCCACTTGACTTCTGCTCCATTTTCCCTGCACTTTTCGCATTAATGCTTGTTATATGAATCGGGCAATGGACTAACCGGGGAACGAACCCTAGTCTTGTTTGATTCAGCTGAGAAGCCAGTGAATCCGCCATGGCGAGTTGAGAAATATTTGAAACACTTATCGCGTTCAAATCGATAGAAATAGGTATCGGATCGGTACCGTTTAGACCTTGGTTACGGCGGCGAATTTATCAGGGAAGAAAGGATGCTCCTAAACCGTCAAGTGGTCGAAGAAGCAAACCCACAGGTGTTATATACCTCAAAGGCAGAAATAAAAGGGTGAAAATGGCTAGAGACTGTAAGAAGAAGTATCTGAAGCTGACAATTCAAGGACGACGAAGATAAATTGTAGTGGGTAGAAGGAGCCGACCACGAGGGCTCAGATAGCCGTTCAATCAATGTATCATGTAACTAGGTAAGAACAATATTGCCAGTAGACAAGAATGGAGGAACAGGCAACTGACAATGTGAAAATAGACTAGCTTAATATGACTGATGTGAGGGAAGAGACTTTGGTTGACAGGTGCTAGATTTGAGGTTCAAAGGAAGCCAATTTGGGACTGAATTTGACATTGGTATCAAAAGATGGATGCGATCAAGCAACCAGAGCTAACTAACTAACTATTTTGGGACTAGTACATTACCTAAGTTACCTCATTAGTTAAGTGATGAGGAGTTAACTGAGTTCAGGTGAAACTCATAAAAATTAGCTAGTTAACTACTTAACTAGTTAGCTAACTAATTAGTTAAGTCTCCAATGATGGCTGTGATTTTTCCGGCCTGAGCCAGTGAGTCTCCTCACCTCATTTTTATATTGAAGTATGGAGTAATAGGTAATAGTTAATAGTGACATCAACCAACTGATTTTGCTTGTCTAACTTTTTACTTCATATACTATTATCCTTCAATTCCTGCCAATGCAACTGTTCCAACTATCCTATTGAAAGGACAGATGCGGGTGGGCCTGCAATACCCTCTGCAAATCCCCTCCATGCTTATTGAGACACTTTTTCAACAGGTAGAGGCTTTCGGGGTGTCTATTGTTGGATTAGATCACTGGATTTCAGAGATCATATCTTTACTGATCATCGAAGTATCTTACATTCCCACCTATTTGCACCTCAACACTCGATCTTGAACCAATAATAAACTTTGGTCAGAGCACATTTGTACGGAGTACTCCGCATGCTAATACCAAATAGATTTGCTACCAGCAATACTTATAGAGTACTTCTATAATTCCAAAAGGCCGGGAGTAAGCATTGTTTAATTACTAGTAATTGAATTCTAACTTACGACAGATAAACTTGGCTCTCATTATTGAAAAACAATTTAGCTTCTGGGTCTGTATGGTAACTGCGCTTGATTGAACATCGTGACGTTTAAGTCGTAACAACCCTCAAGCAATTATAGTAAGACATGTAATCAGTAGTACTTAATGGTCCAAGGGCGATAATCCAAACATGGCTGGTTCTTTATCGCATATCTTGAAAGCGTTTTGTTGCCATAACTCACTGCGCAAAAGAGATGGTAGTCTGGCCCCGTTCAGGTTCAGCAAGCCTGTCAACCCAGTTAGCATAATCTCAGAGGATTTTGTGCTCATGAAATATCCATACTCGGTAACACGAACGTCTGGTGCGACTCTAATTTCTGCTCTTGAGCCCGGAGTAATTAGAATGAACTGACGTCCCACAGATCGCCTAGCTGCGTTCATCTGTTGATACGATTTCAGCACTATGAGCAGCGAAATCAAAGTAAAGTCCGCTTGATAACGCACCAGCAGTTCAATAGTCAATTTGCGGTTCATTGAATCCATGTAAACGTCACTAGAACCTCGGTTAGGAGTTGTTTTTTCCTTCTTCTTTTTACTTGGTTGCGGTCACATAATGGACATACAATTCATCCAAGCAACGGATAGGAGATCCCATTGCTTCCCAAAGGGCTAGTAGCAGGCATATCTGGGAGTATGATTTCTCTCCACCGGACAATGTTTTGGCTCCTCTCCCAGAGCTATTTTTGGTGATATCGGGTTCCACCTACAACAAATCAGTATCACCAAGACTTGAAATTAAGATTCAAATTCGCACTTGGAGATCAAGGAGCTTGTCTTTGTGATTTGTAAGGAGCCTTCCACGGTAACTCCTTTCACTCAGCAAATATATGAACTGTGATTTGGCTCTCGACGAGATATAAGATCTGAATCCGTCCCATCTCAGCCGTCGCTCGTTCAGGGTGCTTGTGAACATCTTGAAGCAAGTTAGTCGCAACGCTATTAGTTATCTAGCTACCGGGGACTTACAAGAGCCAGCTGCTTGAAATCAGTAATTTGTCCCTGAGACCGTTCGTATTTTCCCTCTGCTTCTGCAGCAGCTGCTGCGATTTCTTCCCGAGAAGCACCCATTCTTCAAGTTATTAGCAGCAAATGATTCGGAAAGGTGCGGCCACGTACTCTCTATCATATTGTTGCGAATCTTGAGTTAGCTTTTCCAACTTTTTATCCAGACTCCTCGGGGTCTCTCCTTCGTCGATATCAACGCGCGGAGCAACCGTGCTTGCTTTCTGAGTGAAATCAAGAATTCGGGCAGCAGTCTCTTGCCGTTTTCGCTCTGTTTCGGCTCTATCCCTTTTCATGTCATCAACTCGAGCAATTGCAGCATTCTTCTCGCCAAGGGCTTTCCTTCGACGAGTCGAAATTTTCGTTTTTTCACTTTCAAGGGCGCGAACCCTTTGTTCCGCAGATGCAATTTCTAAATCTTTAGAAGCAAGTTCTCCTTTAATGGTTTTTAACTTCTCTAGTATCTCGTCATGAATAGCGATGCCTTCTTGGTACGAAGCCTCTGCCGCACGTTTGTCAGATTCAAACTCGGCTAATGAGGTTTGCAGCCCCTCAAGGCGACCATCTACGGCGGTGTCCGCTTCTATGGTTTCCTTCAACTGCTCGACAAGATCCTCAGCTTTTTGTAACTCAAGTTGTAGCTCTCGGGCCCGCCTCTCATGCTTCACAAAAGCCTGTTTGCATTTCTCAAGATTATTCTGTGCATTTCTATGCTCGCTTTCTAAATCGCGCAGGCCGTCCTTCAATGTATTTATAGTTTCTTGTTGCACTCTGTAAAAGACTAATGAGCATTATTTCCCAATATAGCATAGATTTGGAGCTTCAGAGCCATTTTACCTAATTTGTATCTCAGTATCTGTTTTCATTCGAGGCCGTCCCGTGAACGCATCCAACGGAGAATGTGTCGGATCCCCCGTTCTGGTAAAACCTAAGTGTATACCTCGTTGTTTGTCCTTGGAATCTATGCAGAAGCAGCGCCTCACGTTTTTGGGTCTTCCACCATGAAACATCACTTTAGAAGCTGCACGCACGTCTTCGATAAGAAGCATCTGTTCTATGCCGTGGTTAATGATCAGTTGCCGACGAACCAAATCATTATCAATCTATTTTCAAATAAAATGGCCATTAGCAGTATATCTAGCTTTTCCGGCACCCAAGTACGAATAAACTCACTTTAAGAACCCTCAGTGCGGTATCGAACCCTGGCGCTGGTTCATAGGCAGAAGTGTTCATATTGCCAGCTTCATTCCCAATAAAAATGGGATAGTTACTGTTGGGGGTTAGAGAGAAGAATTGATAGAAAAGTATTGGTTATATTTACCAGTTCAAACGCTGCATTATTCCAGAAAGAATACTCATGTCATGCTTGTTTGTAACAATGAACCCGTTCAACGTGTTTCCAATCGACTTTTCCAAAACTGAAGACCACTGTGGCTTGAGAAGAGTGATATGGTTTGCCAAAGGACCTACGGGTATGCGATTAAACGATTTCTCTCGTTCAATTTCTTGAAGCAACCGCTGCATATTCCCAGGGAAAACATTTTCTTGTTGCCGTCGATTTTTCATCAGTATTTGCAAAAGCTGTTCTGCTTGACTGATCTCTGCTCTTCGTTTCGAAATCGGTCTGGTTGAAATTTTGACTTTGTTTTCGGCTTCAGTTATTTCCTGTTGAAACCGAGAATAGCTTTCCTTATGGTTAGTATGGCATTTACGGGCTTCCTCAGCGACAGCTACTTGGCTTGCCAACTCGATGAGTCTCCGTGCGTTACTACCTTCACGTATGTCTTCTAATCGCTGTGTTTCTTGGGTGATCTTCTGTCCTATTTCTTCTATGCGGTTTTCCGCGGTTTTCAGTTGGTCGCGTATCGCACGTCGCTTCGCCTAAAGTAATAATCACTTGAGTACCATCCCAAATGTACCCAAATATGACTACATACCTGCGATTCATGCTGCTCCTGAACACTGCTTTCGTACTTTGATTGGATGTCCTTTCTGCTGTCGGATAAACATTCTAATTCAGACTTTGCTTCTTGAACAAGGGTTTCAGCGACCCCGTAGGCATTGTCTGCTTCCTGATAAAATCTATCGGAAGCTTCAACCTCGCCTTCTAGAGTTGTGATTTTCTCGGTTGCTTTAGCAAGTTCGTCATCAAAACTATCGCGAATCTAGGAAGAGTTAGCTGGATTCAAACAAATCGGCACCATTTAGCTGATACGAAACGTACCCGTTCTTGCTCCTCAACCTGCGCCCATGCCATTTGAGCTCGCAAGCTCCTAAGCCTCGCCCTAATGCCTTCATGTCTGTCCGATAAAGCCAGCTTCGCTCGAGCTTTATCTCTTTTTTCTTCTAGGTCCTTTAATTCACCTGAGTGAGCAGCAACTTTCGCGTTCACGTGTTCCATGGATTCTTCTATCAACTGATAATCTTGGTCAAGTTGTTCCAACTGAACTCCTTTCACAAAGAATTTGTACTTCTCAGCAGGGCTAGAAGTGCTCAAAAACTGACGAGCCATGTCCTGGGAAAGCACATTCATAGGGTTGTCAATTTGTAGCGCGAAGTAATCCGTAATCGAATCAAGGTCGCCCCTTTTTGTCGAAACTACTCGACCGGACGCGTTCTTGATTCGAAAACCGCTTGCCTTGCTTCTTGAAAAATGTCTTTCAACAATAATACAGCGACCGAATTCATGCGGCAGGTAGGCACTATCACCTTGATTTTTAATCCGAACGATAATCGTTGCAGTTCTGCACAAAATGATCAGCTTTGAGTCCTTTCCATCGCATCCCTGGGGCCGCATACTCTTTGCCCTCTTTGATAAAACTCTTCAAACTCTGGCCTCGATTCGTCGTAGAAGCTTTAGCACCCAAGCAGAGAGTCAAAGCTGTAAGCACAGCACTCTTCCCGCTTCCATTCTTGCCAACAATAAAGTTGATAAGAGGGCCAAGCTCCATAGAAAGGTGTTCATGACACATAAAATTGTAGCAATCTACGCGTTCGATTATCCCATTTTCGGCGGGCCGATTCTCTCCAAGTGTCTCATACTTATCGCGTAAGGCTTGAGTTGCGCGCTCATACCCTTCCTCGTCGCTCTCATCTGATGCAAACGTTGTGGCGGACGGGGACTTGTGTGCTTTCTCGGATGTGGACGCATTTGATAAACGCTGTCGCTTTCTCTTTATGAACCAATAATTTCATTAGTGAAACAATTATAACAGAGAACAAGTAATTGAACTACACACGCTGGTAGAGAGCAATTGAGAAGGCCCATTTGGCCGCTCAAAGACATCACGCGGTCGCTTTTCGGGGCCCATGATTTTGACAACCCATGGACATGATCAGCATATTAGAGAAAGAAGATTTGAGATCTGAGCTTAGGCTTTTGGACGCGTTGCGCGTTGCGCGTTGCGCGTTGTTGTCGAGTTAAACTTCAGAGCCGAGGTGACTAAGTTAACTAGTTAATTAACTAGTTAGTTGGCAGTTTTGTTCGGTGGGGGGTATTAACTCATTAGCTAACTAGTTACCTCCTGAGAACTTGAGTACATCTCATCTGGAGTACAGAGTATGTACAAAGTACTTAATAGGTTTTGCGCATCCGAGCAAATAATTCACAGATTTCCGTTCCATTCTATTTACATATGGGAACACGACCGAATTCGTGTTGAGTACTCCCGGAGTAACTTGCCATAGCTAAAATACATGGAGTAGTTATTTACAGACTCTTCCTGGACTAGTTAGTTTCTCCAATCATGCTGTCATGGGCTCTTCAGCCACATAGTGGAGATATGCGCCCAAAAGTTTCGTGCCCTCGACATAATTGCGTCGATCTAATTTCTCATTTGCGGAATGGGGAGCATCAGTAGAGCTACCCATGGGGAGCAAGAGCACATTTTTGCCCGTGGCCTCTTCGAAGGTCAATGTAATCGGAATACTATCGTTTGTTAGTCATTCCTCGATCTTCTAATTATACGGAGCCGGGGAAAAAACATAACCCATACCTTCCACCCTCGCGTATCATATCCGGGACGACGTTAAACACTTGTTCCACCGCCTTGCTGGCAGCTTCGAAATTCCAATGTTTGGGACTGGCAACCCACCATTTCCCGTCATGAATAAGAGACACCTGCGCAGTGTTTTTGCTGTTCAACTTTGCGAACTCCGCGTTGATATACTCGGTGACAAGTCTGGTCACATCTTCGCTTTGCATGTTAGGTACCGTTCGAATGGAAAATTTTCCATTAACTTTAGCAGGAATTACTGTTTTCGCGCCGGGTGCGTAGTATGCACCCTCAATTCCATGGATTGAGAGAGAAGGGAATCTCCATCGACGCATAAGAGTTTGTTCTTTGCTTGAAAAAATAGAGGTTTGACTGCCCAATGATTCATGGAAATCATCCATTGAATAGCTGATGGCGTCATATAAATCTTTTTCGTCCTCCGTTACAGGTGCCACGAGATCCGCGATCCCTGGAATGAGAATGTTTCCTTGCGGATCAACTAGTCGTGAAAGAAGGGTCACCAAATCAACCATTGGCTCGTGTGCCGTTCCACCAAAAACACCGCTGTGCAAGTCCTGGCCGGGGCCAGAAACCGACAAAGCGTAGTAGTTACAACCTCGAAGGCCGTATGTCAAACACGGTTTCTCGGTTCCTAACCAGTAGTTATCGGAGATGCACACGGCATCGGCGTCTTTGAAATACTTCTTGCCCTCTGCCTTGACAAATTCCTCCAAGCCCAGCGAACCAAATTCTTCCATGCCTTCGAAGCAGCAGAGGAGGTTGACGGGGAATTCGATTCCGGCCTTTTTATGCGCCTCGATCACATTAATCCAACCTAGAACAGGGCCTTTGTCATCAGTACTGCCACGGCCGTACATTCTTCCCTTGTCATCAACAGTAAGGGTAAAAGGGTCTGTGGCCCATCCATCATCCTTTGCAGCAGGTTGCACATCATAATGCCCATAGACAAGGATTGTGCGTTTGTTCTTATCGTTGCCATAGCGGGCTAGGACAACGGGCGGGAGATCTAAATGTTCCCTTCCGTGCTCTTTCCCCAAAGGGCGCAGTTCTACTTCGGCGCCGAGAGCTTCGAGCTCCGAAACAAGGAAATGGGCCATCTGCAATAACGCCGATTATGTAAAAAGAGTCTCGTTGTAGATTTTGCTATTCGACACGGATGGCTTACCCTAACAACATCTCCTCTCCTCTCATCTTGGGCTGAAACTGAGGGGATTTCAACCGCCTTTCGCAACCCTGCAGCTAGGGTTAGTCTAGGCTCAGATTGTAGCTTGTCCCTATAGGCTATGGGTCTGCTAACGGTCGATAAAGGATTCGGCGAGGTTATCAACCCTGAACCGCAGGTCAGCTACAAAATCACAACGATACGTTTCAGGACGAAAACAGACTCTTTGAAGTATGGCTCGAGTTGAGGTGCCATGTTAGCGTCCCTTGATATTGCCGTAGTACGATCGTAACTGGAAAGGGTGCTTGAAAGGTAATGAATTGTGAAAATAATTGGGATTCGGTTTGAAGACGAGCGGATGCTTATTCTGATATCTACCGCGAAGCAGAGGAGAAAAGCGACGTCTGATCAAGCATGCACTTGAAAAAGCAAAAGAGGGGTTGGTGGGGGGCATTGAAAGGATGGATAATGGCTAGATGCGGAAAGAGAGGGCAAACTCCTAGTTAACGAGTTCACTGATGAGGGGGTGGAAATCAAACGGAGTTTGAAGAGAGTTCCTGGCGGTTCCTCGGAGTTTTTTTTATTCTAATTTGGCTGTGGAGGACTCAAAAGGCTCTCGGAAGAATGTGAATTTATTCCGGGCAGCCTGCCAATCGAAGTCCTCAATATTATCTGTTCGGACTACGAGGGTCGGGGAGCTCCCATGCCTCCTCCTTGAACGGAGTTGAAAGTATGTAACCATACCTATTAATGGTTACGCCTCGCTCTCTATCCGAAATGCGCAGCAGCACCCTCGGACTCATGATTACTATCGCATTTCCGCGACATGGAATATGGCGGAACACAAACGTGAGCCCGCAAGGAAAGCGAGAACAGAAGTACAACGATAGAATTTACTTTGCAGACCTCTGTTATAATTGGCGAAAAGTCGTCATTGAAAGGTGCGCTAATAACGAAATGAAACTTCGCCCTCTAGTCTTCGAATAATATAACTACAGGAAGGCAAGTAGAAAACATATGGAGTATTTGGGGATGCTGGTGCATTTTCAAAATGAAAAGCGAAGAAGAGCTCACTCCGACTCGACGAAGTCGTTGAGCTAACCTCGCTCTGACCGGTCTTCCGAATTGGAGACTAAAACATGCCACAAGTTATCGCAATTATTCCTGAACCCCGTAGCATTTCCTGAGGTGCTCTCTAAAAGTCACCGATCTTTCGCCCAAACCTCTTTCCGCAACTCCCGGTCCTCTCGTGCGATTGTTCGCTTGACACCCCAGCGCGACTTAACCGCTTCCAGCACTTGCTTCTGAATTGCTTTCTTTTCGGGGCTCGCTTCGCATACCATCCCGACAAACAGGGGGCTGCAACCGAAACGTTTGGCTAGTTTTCCCCGGCTCCAGACCATCGGATCTTGCAATCGCAACCGACGTATCTCCTCGATATCTTTCGCCATCAGAAGGTCTCTCTTAGCGGATGGCCGTTTAAACACCAGGGGGAGGTTTCCAACGCTGCTAGACACACCAAGGTCGGAATCAGACCGTAATTTTCGCCGTGCATCGTTGGGCGGGAGGAACTTAGTCGGGGTCTGATATGTGGAGGGCGCGCTTGAGGGAGGGTTGTAGATGATGTGGTCATAGTCTTGGGCGGGGGGGTGTCCAAACGATGCATCAGGCCGGATCCGTAAACGTTGCTTTAAGCGACGATAAGTTGATTGATTCCTTTGAACCAAGAGCGAGGTCGATTCGGAACAGAACGGTAGAAGGAAAGGCAGGTTCAAAACCGGACGCCTGGGAATTATAACTGGGGAAGTCATAACTTTGGTATTGCAATGCTGTTTCTAGAGTATCAGAGAGTCTGTTAAAAGGGAAGAAGCCGGAGAACTCACTCCTTGTCTCACAACACAGTTTGCTCAGATTAGGGTAATGTCATAAAGTTGAACAAGAAAACCAATCCCAAACAAGGGATAGAATTGGGCAACAGAAATATTGCCAATGGTCAGTGACAACGGCAGCTCCAACTCCCTATATAGGTCGTTTTTGGCAGGCTGGTAGGCTGAGCAGAAATTGTTCATCGCAATGGAGCTGACTAAGTAACTAGTTAGTTAACAAGGTAGGTAGCTAGTTAACTAGTTAACTAGTGGCTACCTGCTGGAACATAGTTAATCCGTGCGCTAACTATGTACCTAGTTAGTTAACTTTAGGCAGTCGTCCATTTCATCGCTGCCTTTAGCGTTGAGGAAGCGACCATCTTAGTGACCTTACTAACCTTCCTGACATCTCACTGAGGATAATGCCCAAATCCAGGGTCCCGACTGAACAGCCCAAGTGCAACTGCAAAGCACCTTTATCTCTACCGCTTGTCGACATCGGATTAAACTGAGAACTTCCCTAAAGATCCCCCGATATCTATCAAGGCTACCCAAACGTCACTTCCGTAAAGCACCTACAAGTTACCCACCCAACACATATTCGTATTTACCTCCTATTGCCCTAGCCTTAACTCGTGAGCCCAGCGAAAAATTTATACTGATGGTTGCCCGCCTGATCGATGGCTGGAACCTCTACGGCTTGCCAGGAGACCATTTCCAAACCCACACCTTCCCGGCATGACAACCACCCCGTCCGAAATGCTGAAGCAACAGACAAATATATTGAATCAGCGCAAATTGCTGGCTCAGTAATAGCAGACAAAATGGTGCCTCTGCCTCAAAATTCACCTCTCGGCTCTAGAAGTCCTCCGTCGCCTCTAAACAATCTCGATTCGGCAAGACCTTCCTCTAATATATCCTCCCGTGGCACGAAACATCCCTATATGATTCCGTCCTCTCCCGGCCGGCAATATCCACCATCTCCTCGTATTCATTCGCCGGCATCGTCTCAGATCTTCGAACGCAGCGTCCAAGAGGATATTGGGCCCTCGCAAACCTCCCCTGCGATACCTTCCCATATTATGACCGAGAACCATATTCCCCCAATTCTTGATGCCTCCTCCGCCGCGTTAACTGATGACCGGCTAGATCCGGACTCAGTTGAAATTGTGACCCATAGCTTTCACCAACCTGCTTCTTTAGCTGTCATTGGTAGCGGGCAGCTGGACTATCCATTACCAACGACCTGCCATGATGATGCGAATCCACCACGTATCACGGACACGGATGATTCTATGTCAAATTATGGGGCCCCGCATGATCCTACCGACGTTCGGCGTCTGAGCTTCGTGTCATTTGCAGACGTTGTCCATGGCGAACTCGCCGAAACCGCTGACCACCTTTCCGCGAGAGATTCTATCTATATGGCAGGCTTGAATATCCTTGGGTCAAGAAATAGATCCCCATCTCCTCTACACTCTCCAATATCCTCTTCACACGGACGTGGTCCATCACCTCCGACTAGTATGACGCCTGATTTTGAAGCCAGAGAAATGTCGCCACAGCACAAGGGAAAGGGTCCTGGTAGCCCAACTCTCGGCTCACCTAGTGTAGCAACGGGGACGGTTAGTGCTACCGAACTCAACGTTGAAACTATGAGACAAGCTCTACGTAGGACGGAAAGTGGAGACCTTGGAGCATTCAAAAGCCAGCCGGCCAGCGCTGTGGGGAGTGGCAATACTTTTTCTGATCGCTCAAACAAGTAAAACTTGCATTCTTTCATCTGTGTGATCCTGAAAAGATCCTTTTGCTTACATTGTTTTGTAATGAAGCAATTATGCCGCTTTATCTACAGTTGTAAGTTCTGTTGTTAAGTCTTCTTTCTCTAGGATTTCTCATTGACCTTCGTACGTGGGCAAGCGAGCGGAGATTTGGGAATGTAGTGTATCAACATTTATCTTTTATGGCCAACCGTGTTAACCTGCCTTTCTTTTCATTTCTACCCGTTATTAGATGTCCCAACTGGGAGATATTCCTGTTGAAGTTGATTCATCAGGCCATCAAATTAAATATTTCACCCTGCTCGAAGTTTTACCTATTTAACAAAATCTGTCGCTGTAAATACGAACATCAGAGGCGGAAATCTATGGCGTAAAATCCTGAGCATTTTGCGCGGCGTCAAGTGCATGATCAATGGCCAATTCAAGCTCGCGTATTTCCTCTAGGCCGACGCTGATTCTGACTAGATCAGAAGCTACACCGAACGATTGGGCCTGTATTGATTTGTACCATTAGTATAAAAGACACTCAGTATTATAGGGATCCATATACCCATTCCAGTTCGCCATAATGGGCTAGCAATGTATAAGGCGAGCTATAATGTTACGTTAATTTGAAAATTACACAACAATAAAGTAATCTCTGTCGGCATTCAACAAACCTGAGTGTAAAATTAGTGCCTAAACTCGGTCCTTTCATCACGTTAAGGGCATCAAAAAATGCAATTGCTGCGCTTGTCGAGTGAAAAGTGACAGAAAACAATCCCCCGTAGCCTCCGTTCTGGTTTCGACATCTGTCATATAAAGGCCTTGTCGGGTTATATTTCGGGTAATATAGTTCTTTAACTGGAAGTAGGTCAGAGCAGGAAGGACTGAAGCCGTGAAAATATTCATACCCAATGGAGACGCCTTTAATCGTGCGGTTAGGGCTTCCGCTGACGCATTAATCCTCTCGATACGGGAAACAAAATCACGGCTGTTTCGTTCCAGGAATATTGCATCCTCGGCCCAATAATTATCTTCATATTCACTTTCGAGGGTACCCCTCAGCGCCTGAAAGTACCGGCCATGGGGATTATAGACAGCGCTTCCGCCCATTACATTGCTGTCACCACTAAATATTTTTGTGAGACTGCTGACCACGATATCGGCGTAGGGCAAAACGTTGACGTTAATGAAATTGCCAACGGACTCGTCAACGACAACAGCGAAATCGTACGTGGAAGCTAACCTGCAAATCCGCTCGAGATCAGGGGAGTTCAACAGCGGATTACCAGGAAATTCAGTAAACAATGCTAGAAACCTCTCCCCTGATCTCAGACGGTGTTCGAGATCATCGAGATCATCGGGGGAACCATGGCCATAAAAAAGCACACCAGGACCCCATTTTTCCAAGATTTTCAAAGTGTCGATATAAGGAAAACCAAAACAAACGCTTTTTAGCTGCCCACGAGCCTTCATCAGTATCTGATGAGTGTTAAATATTGAACTCATCCCAGTAGGATACAAATAAACGTGGTCGTCACAAAGGCCGGCAATTCGTCCGCCGACTGAAGAGGCATTAAGAGCTTCTGTGAGCTCAACATTTGCAGTGAGGGAGCCCGCGATTCTTCTTTTCACGGCCAACTTTGCATTGCTGGCCAACAATGGACCTAGATTCCGTCCGAACCGCTCCTCGATAAACTGATCAAACTCACGACCTTCAGAGCGGGGGCTTCTCGCAGCGAACGAGGATATTTGCCCTTCGGGTGCTGCCTCGTGAACTGTGTTCGATCGGCGCTCGCACCGCTGATATCTCTTAGGTCCTTTATAGAAACCCTGGCCTTTAGTGTAGCAATCCTGAATGGAATATCCATCTGAAAGCAGTTTTAGATAGAACTCGCTACGGCGGCTGGATATACCGTCACCACTATGCTGCCACACTTGTCTAGCGATATGATTATGCGCCCTCGGAAATAAAACGCAGCAAAGCTTGGAAGTCAGACTCGACTGTTGCTCGTCGCTCAAAACCATCGAGGACATAGGCGGTACTATAACCAAGTCCACGATGCGAATTGTTTTATGCTCATCAGAAGGGAGCCTCGACAGCATAAATTCACGACATCGAGATCCGGTTTTGAATGACGGGAATAACATGGCCATCTCATCCCCCATTCCCAACTCGAAGAATGATTTCTGAGCTCAATTCCTCGATGCTGTTGTGAATGAAGAACCGTGGATAGCCTGTACTCATAGCATTAAGAACCCAATTCTGGCCTTCTTCATAGCCCACATTCGCCTTCCATGTCGGGAGTGATACGCTGACAGCCTAGGGCGCCAGAGGTTAGTATCATTGTAAAGGCTATCGCGTGAAAAGAAATAAAAAGAGAAAGAAGAGGGAATGGATTGGAAAGGTGATTGGAGCAGTACTCCATCCAGTAAACTGCATTGGTATCAAAGTGTGAGAGACACGATTATAGATGAATCACACGAAGAGGACTGAAGAACAAGGCGCGATGACTCCAACAGATTTCTTAACATACATGGGACGTGTCCGGTGGAATTGCCTCTCCTAATTGCAATGGCCGGGGCATCGTCAAAGATGTCTAAGGTATGAAGAACGATAGGGGGTAGAGGAGGACAGGGCAAAGTATGAGGAGGAAAGCCTGAGGAAAGAAGTTGCAAGAGCTCTGATTTCCCGTCAGCTCTTAACTGATAAGATAAGATAACTAACTAACTAGTTAACTTAGTTAGTTAGCAACAAAATTCGAACTCGGATCCTTGGCGTTGACGGAAAATTATCTTCATATATCAAATGCGACCAACGATCCGAACATTCCGCTTGACATCAGCACTTCAAGTCATTTTCGCTGTAATTGCGACCTCCAGTTTCCGCGCGTATGTCTATCCCAAATGCGAAAAGAAGGAAGTTAGCCGATGAGGCCGGAAATCGCAGTGAACGAAGCGCCGGTAGCGATGAACACGAAGCGCCGATATCTGACCGAAATGGGTTACAATCCGTTCATCCGCACGCGGTAGCTTCTATTGCAGAAGTAGCTGCCGCAAGCGGGCAATTCAAATCTAATCTGTTTAAATTGCAGGTTGACGAATTGCTTGCCCAGCTCCGACCCGATTATGGGAAACAGCTCAGTTTTGTTGACCAACACTTACGGCGCCTTAAAAGCATCATCGAAGAGATTCCTGGAATTTCCGGCAAGTCAATAACCGAGGCCGAAATCTACTTGCGCCAAAGAGCAGGAGTTACGATCCCTTTTCCTAAGCCAGGGCCTCGAGACGATGTCAAATACGTGCTAGAGTACGCTAGACCTACAAATATCAACGTCGTTGGGAGTTTTGCCCTGAAGACCGCGGCGAAAGACCTTAAAAATGCCACAGTTGATCTAGCGGTCACTATTCCCAAGGCCATTATACAAAAGAAAGACTACCTCGATTACCGATACCTCTACAAGCGTGCTTATTATATTGCATGCATAGCCACCGGAATCAAGATTTCCAACGAAGCCGGTTTTAATATCAGCTATGCTTATCAAGACGACGATCGATTGCGGCCCATTGTTCTCGTCCAGCTTATGGAACCAGGCGGCGACCCTAGCCACCCGAAGGTAATAGTTCGCATTCTTACAGCGATCGAAGATGGTACCTTCCCAATGATTCAAACTATGCCCACCAAGGATACCCTGCGGCAGATTATATTCAACGAAAGCAAACTCGGCTTATCGAATGAATCATTATGGTTCACCTTCTTCTATAACTCTGCGCTTCGCTCGGAATCCTGCATTACGGCATACTTGAAGGTTCTTCACGGTGCAGCCACCAAATGCCCGGCTTTCCGAGATGCCTGTATTCTGGGGCGAACTTGGCTCTGTCAGCGAGGATTCGGCACGTCCATTGTTCAAGGTGGATTTGGCCACTTTGAATGGTCCGTCCTTCTAGCACTGCTCTTAGAGACCGGGCGCCCCAATGGAAAGCCACTGCTTTCAATGAGCTACAGCTCTTACCAAATATTCAAGGCCATGGTGCAATTCCTTTCAGAAAGGGATCTTACAACCCCGGTCGTACTCTTTAATGCAGAAGTACCACATAATATGTCGTCCGGCACCAATCCTATTCTGTTCGATGGCAAACGTGGTATGAATATATGTTTCAAGATGACCAGTTGGTCCTACCAATTACTTCGCCATGAATCCATTACAACTCTTAGGATGTTGAATGATACTGATTCTGATCATTTCGATAATATTTTTATACATCAAGTGGAACTTCCTTTGTGCAGATTCGACGAGTGCCTTAAGTTGAGCCCTCGTCCAAACAAGTGGAACGCGTTTGATAATTTCTCTTACTTTCGCTCCATCCACGATGTTCTTACGAAAGCTCTGGGAAATAGGATCAAACTCATATATATCTTTTGCGATGGTATCCTTCCGTGGTCTGTTCACTCCAGTGCAGATGACAACGATGGTATTAACCAGTTGAACGTGGGTTTGCTATTTTGCCCGAAGAACCGATACCGAATCGTTGATCGTGGCCCTGTGGCAGAGAATAAAGGAGCGTCTAACGATTTTCGAAATTTTTGGGGTCCTAAAGCTGAGTTGAGGCGATTCAAAGACGGCACAATCGCGGAAAGTATAGTATGGTCTGAACAACAAAGCGACGGTTCGATCATGCGTCAAATAATCACTCACGCTCTTTACCGACATTTTGACTTGGGATCTGATGACATCTGTTTCAGGGGGTTAAACTTTGAGGAATCGCCGAATATCAGAGATATAACACAACCTACCGCATCGTTTCAACCTGTCCTTGACGCGTTCGAGTCTCTCGAAAGTAAGCTCCGCAACCTCAAGGGTTTACCCCTTACTTTCCGTCAACTCTTCGCCGCTAGCTCTGTCCTGCGATATTCATCACTTCATGTCCCAACAATCGAAAGCGGTTATTCTACAGTTATAGACGTGATAATTCAATTTGAAGGGTCATCTCGCTGGCCTGATGATCTCGCAGCGATCCAGGTTACGAAAATATCATTCCTAATAAGGATCGGAGAGTTATTGGAACTTAGCGAGGGAGACGTATCATGTAAGGTGGGTTTGGAAGACAAAACCAGCCGAATCCAAAACGCAGCATTTCTCGACATCAGCTTCTCCTCCGCTATCACTTTCCGTCTTCGTATATACCATGAAGACGAACGGCTTTTGTTGGAGAAACACTTGAGAGATCCGAATATGGAAAGTTGGGAAAGAGAAGAGTTTGCTTCTGCACTTGTAGCCTACAAACGACTATTCGTTCAACAGATTCAGCATACGCTGGCGATTCAAATCCTCGCTACCAAATTTCCATTGCTGTCACCTACTATACGCGCATTCAAACTATGGACAAGCTCGCACCGCATTGAGCCACACTTTTGCGAGGAATTGTTGGAACTTTTAGTTTGTCATGTCTTTCTTTATCCCTATCCGTGGTCAACGCCTTCTAGCGTTGGTAATGGACTATTGCACACCCTCCATCTCGTTTCGAAATGGGATTGGCAACACGAACCGCTTATACTGGATTTCAACAATGAGTTGACGCCTCAAAAACTTTCTGATATTAAATCTCGATTTATTGCTTGGCGCAAAGTCGATCCGCTCATGAACACCACTAGCCTGTTTCTGGCGTCTAATCTAGATTGTGAAGGCGTTACATGGACACAACAAGAAAAGCCCCCCAAGGTGGTTGCTTTGCGACTTTCGAGCCTCGCGGAAGCAGCCATGGATCTTGTGAAAGTAACAGGTTTGGATTTACGCTATTTGAATCTTTTCCGCTCCTCACCGCGAGACTATGACTTCTTACTTCGTCTCAACTCGAAATGCCTTGTAAATCTCAATGGCCAACTCAGGTATAAAAATATTCGAGCAGCGGGAACAACCCGCGGGGTTGACTTGTTTACGCAGTTCGTTGCCGAACTTAATCGCCTGTACGGAGATCACATTGTGTTTTTCCACGCCAATGATGAGCACAAGTTAGTCGCAGGCCTCTGGAAACCAGACCCTTTGAGAACAAGGGGTTTCGGTTTAAAGTTCAAATATTCATCAGCCCCAGTGAATAATCAGGATTCCGAAGCGGCCGTGGCTTTAAACAAAAACGCGACATTAAACAGTATCGCAGCGCTGATGGGCGATCTCATCACTGGGGTTGAGCTGCCTCAGTGAAACGCCTCAGTGAAATTGTGGAAGTATCTATCTACATAGTTGCACACTATCAAGTAGCATCAGAAGTCGAATTAAAGAGAGAGGGAATATATTGGATTAAGTCTAATAACAACTACCATTTCCTACCAGTTGTTATCTCATTCAAGGTAGAAAATGAACAGAACTTATCTTTGATAGCGACTACTTCGTAGGTACCTTCGTCGGATGCGCGAATAGTTTTGGTATGTTCATAGGATATGTCATGCTTGGTATCGAGGATCTGGGGTTTGGATCCCTTGGCAGTATTTGAGCTCCGGGTGTAGCTAGGTATGTAAGTATTGGCCTTGGTTGAGGAAAGTTGAAACGCGACTCACGTAAATTCAAAAGGAGGTGTCCCCCCAAATTCGAATAAAATGTCAGTCCCTCCCCCTTCATGAATGTCAACGATGGAAACCCTGCCCTGGCTCATTCTGACACTTGGCATTTCATGAATGATTTTGGTTATGTGTTTGTGGGCCTTGCATTTACCGCTTGCTCCATCGCTAACAGCCGTGATGGTAAACTCACCAGGCTTCTCAGCGATTCGACGAAAGCTCGTCGTTCGACTTGTCGCTTTCCGGTGCACATCATTGAATGTGTAATGAACTTCAAAGGGTGCATGTCCAGATAAAGAAAATGACAGCCGTTCACCAACACAGTAGTCCGTTTTAGATTCAAGCGGTATGATGGTAGGTACGTCGGATATGGTGACTCGCACTGAGGAACCATCATACTCAGTTGTGTGAACACAACCGCGAGCGTCTCTGACTTTACGAATCGTAATCACATGCTGGCCCAAGTCGAGATATCGACGGGGAACAGGGAGATTATACAAGCGAGACTTGATGTTGGGAATAGAAAGGACATCGGGTTTCGAATTAGAATGATGCCTAATCCCTATCTCAAGGGCAAATGGCGGGACTCCCTCCAACACAATGGGTATCGCCTCTTCACCGTCGCCATCTTCTTTGCAAAACCCATAATTACGGCTTGGATATTGAAATTGTGCCGAAGGGCGGGGATTCACCCTTTGAGTAACTGTAACTGAAGTGGTTTTTTGGTGGTCAAGGCTATACAAGTTGTCACCAATATTAGTGAACTTGTACGCATAGACCCCGGGGTTTGACGTTTCCATTCGTATCACAGCTGAATTCAACGCCGCCGTCAAACTTTTTGAACTCAAGGTGACACCGGAGTGGGCATCACACTGCTGTTCGTACCTCGCTGTATAAGGAGGGGTGCCTCTAAACTGTATATCCATTGTGTCTTCGTCACCCTCGCAAACCTCGCGCTTTTCGACAATGTTTTTACCTTCCAATAAGTTGCCATCAATTGCCGAGATGTATGGTCGAGGAATCCAGGAAACATTAAATAGGTGTGCAGAGTAGTCAATTGACCCGGGACAAGTAGCGTCATCGACGTTTAGGAGTTCATAAGCTCCAGGCTGATTTACTTGTATAAAACTGTTCTCATTCCAGAAAACTTTTTCGGTTGGTGTCGACTGCTCCTTGTCGGCGTGGCGATATCTAACTCTCCAAGGAGCCTCTCCCTCCAGTCTTAAAGGCAGGTCAACTTGCTTGTCCTCTAAGGCAAGTATGCTCCGTTTCCTATCCACTTGCCCAAAAGCGACACTGGGTCGCTTCGCGCGAGCTTCAATTTTAACTTCCTCGTTCAGCGGACGCTTACAGTTTGACTTATCAATAACGCTCACAAGGCCAAGAGTATACTCTCCACCTTCGACTAATCTCTCGATGGTTAAAGATGATGCCTCGGTCGCGCTGTAATAGTCATACTTGGCCCTTTTGCCATTGTGAATAAGTTCATACTGTAGTTCCCAGGGAGCTTCGCCGAGGAAAAGAAGATCCACCGTTATAGGTTCACCAAAACACGCCTTTCGACTCGTCACGGGACCAACAATCTGGGCCGATGCTGGAGGTTTCACATTTTGTTCCAAAGTAGGTATCTTCTCTTTCAACGAGCGGCTTTCATACACGCGGTCAGATATGTCAAGAAAATGATATTTGTAGTGACCTGCTTCCACAGGAGCTAAGTCAAGATGTCCCCTTAAACCGTCAACTGATAGGACCTTCGTCTGTATCCCCCTGGAATGTTCGATGGAATAGCGAATTTTAAATGGAGGCGTGCCAATGAGATCCAAATCTAGAGAAAGCCCCACGGAATGGTTGGCGCATTTATCGTAAATAAACTCTTTTTGGATCGATAATTCCGGCTCTGGGGGGTTATGGAGGAAACACAGGGACGGCTCGAGGACGTCTCCATGGCAAAATTGACTCGAAATGCTGACAACATTATACCAGCCCGACCTTTCGATCCGCGGTTTATTATCCACATCACTCAGAACAACTTCGTGAAATTCTGGGTTTATGGCTTGGCTACCTTGCGGGGGGTTTTCGGTGAAGGAATAGCCCAGGGTGAAAGGAGGGTCGGTTACTCGTGGTCGTTCAGCGGAATGGAAATGGATAGGAAGTTCAACCGAGTCGCCTTTCGCTGCGTTGAGGAATGTTTGAGGATTACAACCAGTAAATGAAACCCGAGGCCGACCGTGGACGAAAAACCGTTGGGACTGGAGCCCATGTTGTGTCAATCTCGGATTTTTTTCTCGCAAGCTGGTGTAGTTCACGAGATTTCCACGCCCATCGTGCACTTCGTCAACCGAATATATCCATTCACCTTCTTCGTTCAGGGATTCGTTCAATGGTATGTTAATCTTCTGGGTCTTAGCCCACAAAGTACTGAATCTACTGGGGTGGCTATCGTTAGTAAATTGCGAGACGAGGCTTTCCGGTTGTATGCTCCGATAGGACACGCCGTGGTCGATATCATTCAACATGCGGCTATATTTAATCTTCAACGGAGCAGTCCCAGTAATTTCCAAAGTGAGATTTGAAAGCTGCCCTCTGCATTTGTGAACTGGTGACTCAAGGATAGTAGCCCTCGGGCACGGAACAACCAGAGTATCTTGCGATTTGCGATGAACTTCGAGATGTGACTCATCCACAACTTTTTGCAACCGGTATATACCAGTTTTCTTAACGGGGTAAAGTAACTCTCGGTGGCTAGAGTGATCATATTTCCCATGCACTATATCCGACTGTCGTTTTAGCTGTTTTGCAAGCTTATGGGAGATTGAAATGGTCTCATTTAGCCCAGATTCCAAATCAATCCGTAATAATTCAATAGCAACGGGCGTTGTTTGATTTATTCGGATTGGTAGGTTCGCCGTAGGGTGCCACTCGCCGAGACAAATCGCATGTCGCTCTGGGTTTAGAATTGCTGACCTATGAGTGGAAAGGTTACTACCGGATTTTCAAGTGTGGAGCAGATAGAAAACTACCCTTCGGGGAGAATATGAATGATTTGCTTGCCAAGAATCAAAGAAGAGTTGTGTATGATATCCGCTGGCTTCACTCTTCGTTCGGAAATCGACAATTCTCTGTCATAGGCTACCTTGACGAGTGCTCCAACCCAGGTGCCGAATGGAATCTAATAAATCCAGTTAGCGGGCCGTGAAGAGTGAAAGGGTGCAACAGGGCTACCGGTATATGGAACATCAAGAACACATTGGCCACAGCATGAAGCATGAATACAGCCAGCGAGGTTGAAAATGCCCATTCCAGCCAGGGTATTCTTAGCGTTGGAAGGCCGAACAAAAAGAAAGCATCGATGGAAAGCCATTTTAGAAATAGCCACGTCGAATCGAGGTCATCAGAAAATTCACAATATTCGTACAAGCGCCATGCATTCAGGAAGACATAAAAAGCGACAACATATAGTCTCTGTGCCGGTGCATCAATAACGTCAAATGAGATTAGAGGTTTATCTATATTTCGCCCTTGAATGTCCCCTTGGGGCTGGTTTTTATTTATTTTCTGTTCAAGTGCATGGTGGTCACTTGGCTTTAAGAGCGTTCCATCGTGGTGGTTCCCCGCCTCAGAAGCCTGCTGAGAAGTCCTGGGTGTTTGCGGGAAAGCTGATCTTAGCCGAGGAGTGTCAGGCATTGCATTCTGCTGCGATGGGTGATAGAAAGATTCAAAATAAATCTAGGGCAGGGGCAAGCTTCGCATCGCAAACTGGACCTAATGGCAATCAAAAGGTTAGCTTAGCTCCTGAACCGCTTTCTCAGAACTCCTTACCATACAGCTAGTCAACTAATGCTGGTCAAACCTTATCATGCAGATTATCATTATTTTGTCAACCATTGACCAGATCAAAATGTAGTGGTTTTGGCCCTTCTCTGTTCCTAATTCAAAGCATTCTCACCAGCTTTGCAGACCATTTTTTTGTGAGCTGGTTTGATTCCTTTGTTGATTGGTTGGCTCAACATTGCTGAGTAAGCTGGTTGGTTGACTGACTAACTAGTTTAGTTAAGTAACTAACTAACGAGTTAACTAACTAGTTAACAAATCAAGGGGACTTCAAGAAGTTGAAATAATGAGTGAGGAGATCCATATCTCAACTAAATCTGCCATTCAAACAACACTCTGGATTTCACTAATATTAGTTACCCATCAAAACCTTGCTATCACATTTACAGAATTCCAAGCACCACCATCATTATGGTAAAATGTTTGAAACGTCGTCGCCTTGACTCCAAAGTAACTGATGATACCCAAGTGAATCAAGCTGAAGAAAAATGGAACAAAACTTCCTGGCATGGATTTTGTGAAATTGAATCTGAGCCTGTCAGTGATTAGAACACATTCTGGTGTGTTGCCTCCATACTCACATTAGACAGGCCCTTTTCAATGTCATGTTAAGGGAATTTGGGGTTAAAAATGTCAAGGTCCAGGAGGTTGTCTCCCTTGACAATGAGATGTTGGAATTCTTACAGTATGTATAAATGAGCATTTTGAATGAGCAAAACAAATATTTACGTGGGTTTTAGCTAATTATTTCCAAGCAAACCGATATATGGGTTGATATTTCTATTCCGCTGGCGAGAGGATGACCCACAGAAGCAAGAACAAAGTTGCCCTGAGGGCCTCTGGTTTGCAAATCAGGTATTCATTGCAAACCTATTGAAATAATGCCTGAAGCCACTAATACAATATTAGACTGTGAACTATGCATGTGCTAGTGTGGCACTTCTCAATATCGTCAACAATATTGATGGGGTTGAGCTGGGTGATAAACTCTGTGGTTTCAAAGAATTCACCATGGATTTCACGCCAGCCTTGCGTGGTGACGCTATTAGCAATTTCGAGTTTATCAAGGGCGTACACAATTCCTTTGCTAGGTAGCTCTTCGACACGCCCCACAATAGGATGTTTAGAATTCTTGTTGCTGACAAGGCTTCAGAAACATGGACATTCTGAATATTGACTTCCAACTCAAGAATGATGCGTCTTTGAAAAGGCTTAAGTCCGGCAAAAAGAGCCAAAGTGTTGATGAGTCGGAGGCGGGATTCCATTTTATTGCGTTCGTCCCGGCAAAAGGAAAAGTATGGAAGTTTGACGGGCTTGAACGCCAACCTCAAAGCCTTGGTAAGTCGAAACCCCGCATTATTTCACAGTTATATCCTAAACTGGCGCTCTTGCAGGGAATTATGATGGCGGAGACTGGCTGGGACTTGCCAAGCCTGAAATTCAATCGAGAATGGCCGAATACGAGGAGGATCAAATTGAATTTTCAATCCTCAGTCTCAGCAAAGACCCATTAGACCAATACGTCAGTCGACTCGCATTCAATGTAAACAGACTAATCGCTATTGATGAACAATTACTCAAACACCAACACCATCAAGACGCCGTTACTTCTGATGATGCCACGATTGTTGGCCCCGATCTATCATTTGGATTGACGCAGGAATTCTTAGAACATGCTACGTTGCCCGAAGTTGACATTGAAGGATACAAAACCATGTCGAAAGAACACCTATTAGAGCTTCGAAAGTCTTTTTCTACCCAGCAACACCAAGCACGTGCGGCAGTTAAAGAAGAAATGCAGGCGCGGGAAGCCGACAATGCTTATGCGGCAAAAAGAAGGCACGACTACGGGCCTGCGGTCCAAACTTGGCTTCAGGCTTTGGTTCGTAAAGGGCTAATCGAACACCTAGTTACGCCAGGTTGACCGCTGCGATATGTTTTGATAGATATTGACTCTACATTTACAGGCTTAAGCAAGGCTCAAATTCCACGCACTAAAGCATAATAAAGCAGAAAAGCCAACACCTTATAAAATGCTTAAACAGAAGCTCAGTGCAACCAAATACGGAGTTTAGTTAGTTACCATACGAAGTACTCCGTACATTTATATCTTTAGGTAGAACTTTTTTCGAATGTTCAACTATCATTCACAAAAGTCAGATAACAATAATTGGAAGAAAACTAATTTCTCTAGAATCTGCTTTCGACTCCAATACATAGTCATTTATTACCTATGGAGCAGCTCGTTACATACTAGATGTAGTTACGGAGTACGGAGCATGAATAACTAGTGGCTACTTCATGGTTTGCTCAGCTCAGTGCACTAATTAGCAGGTACGGAGTACAAGTCCACGTATTACAAACTTTTCAGCCGTGCATTTTGAGTCACAGCAAGTTGAATTGATAATTTCCAATTTGCAAGCCCTCCCCGGAGCATGGCACACTACAGCTCCCTATTTCAAGATGGGTCTATTGAGATAGACTTGATGATTTTTGACTATCTACTATGCATGACAATCAAAGGAGTGATAAACGAGCGTGCAGCTCAGAGGAGGCAGATGCATAGGTCACAGAATTCTGATAATCTTCTAGCCATTTTTGACTGTTGGTCTACGTCTTTCACTCCAAAATTCGGTGGGATGACTAACAGGTCCTTTTTCCCAAGCCTTTTCCACCCTGTTTAGGATAAATCACCCAAGGCAGACATTATCTCGTGATTTAGCTCTTAAACTTCGGATTCTTTCTCTCGCGAACCTCTTTTGTCGCCGATATCAAGGGTCCACGTACTTGCCTTCTCGACAAACGCTCCAGGCGCAACAAACAAAGAATTCGAAAAGGGCAAAACTATGGCTCGAGCGAAATGGAATGGTCATTTCTCCACAGCCAAATGATTCTGAGGTATCCGGAACCAACCCTTCAATCGCCAAAAATTACCAAGATATGTTGTTTCACATGGGATTTCCATCTCGCAGCAACAAGGCGGACATCGACCTTCGCATATCCTTACTGGACATACTCCCCGAGTACATGTCGCTTAGTGGCCTGATCCCTTCAGAACTTCAGGACAGGTGGATGGAAAACGCAATTCACCTCATGCTGCATACTGCCTTGGAGCAAGTATTTCTTTATGGGCAATCAAGCCACTATAAGCTCGATGAAATTTTCGCATGGGACTGGCCATATGAGCATAGTCAATCTGAAACTTCGAGGCGAATGGGGAATTATACATGGTCGACTCTGAGGGATGGCACCAAGCGCTCTTTACTTGCCTCAGGAACGTTTATTTGTGAGAAGCATCTAAGACGTGTCTCATTCGAACATCCATTGTTCGACTTCGAAGGGCGTGTTTTGCAGCTATTAAACGATCTACTGGCCATGTTACAAACACCTATTCTTGAGCAGCTCGAGTCGGGCAACCTGTCTGAAATATCTGGAATACAAACTCAAGATTGGTAAACTCAAAACGGACAAAATTACATTTAAAGACACGGTGCTGGCCCTGGGATAGGTTCTTACCTAGTCATCGGGGTATTCGTCCCGTATATTGCTCACAAACATTCGGGTTCTGGGATCCCATCGCTTGAAGTACCTTCCAAGTGATTTGAGAAACTGCGGAGAAATTTGTGAAATATCAACAACGGACTCAATGTTTTCCTCAGCAACATATCGAGCGCTTTTGTCTTCGACCCTATTTCCAAAGATGTTAATAATGACAACTGAGACATACAACAAGCCTAACCTACAAAACGTAATAAAAGCTTTGGTTCCTCCCAGCCCGAAGACGATCAATCCCCATCTGGTGCATCCATTGTTCTCCTAAGTCACATTCTGGATCCCATCCTGTGATAACACCAACATAACCATACCTACGATGGCGGAATATCTGACCCACTCGGTATTTCACATTAGAATGATCCGGACCCCTTCTTTGGATTTGCTTCGGTATCTCATCGCCCGTTTTCATGACGTGGATACTTTCTCTGAGATGATCGTATTCTGGAAGGCTACTGAAAAGCGGGACCAAGAATTTGTCGATGAGGTAGACATCAAAGGGAAAATTTGTGGCAAAATGTTCCATTAGCGACGGTAGATAATGCCTCAACCCTTGAGCCGGACCTGTCCGAGGTCGTTCCATAGTCGCAGAATCCGCAAAAAGTACTGATGCCCAAAGAGCTGCATATTCGACGCTGGCAATATCAAGCGAGGTGTCACTAAAGCCTGGGCTTTGTGTCACGGAGTTGAGAATATTTTTGCCACAGCGCAAAACGATCTCGCTAGTTAATGATTCTCGAAGGAATGTCGAATGAGACAAAGTCAAAGCCCCCAAAAAGTTCAACTGACTTTCTAGGTCCGCAATGGATATTTCTTGGGCTGAGCGAAAGGGGTCCATGTACATGGGAGCCTCGGGTTCACCGTTTTCAAGGCGTTTGTCATCCATATCATATCCAGTCTCTGGCCGGAGGATGACATGAACGTGAAAAGGAAAGCCACAAGGGTGAGCATTCAAACCCAACCTTTTTGCAACATAGCAATAAATAGTTGCGGATATCAGAGGGTAGCGAATTATGGCGGTCGTCTTGCAACGCGATTCCCAAGAAATTATGTTCAACATTGTAGTATTCACTTCTTGTGTCAATTCCGGTTAAGTTTTTCTGTCGCAGGTATTCGGCGACTTTAACGGCTTTCTGTCGAGGGGTAAGCTCGGAAATAGTACCACAATCAGCCTTAATGACGGAGACAATGTTATCTAATTTATATGATATCTTCAAAAATCAGTAAAGTCCTTAATAGTCAGCTAAATCAACGCATACGTCTTCTAGATCGCCCGTTCCTGTTTCAAGTGTAAACATATCAAAAGCACCGATTGCAATTTCAAGCGGCACCTCTTCGCCTTTTTTCAATCGACTCCATTCGAGTATTGCTATGGTTCGATGAAGACAGCCCAAGATAGCATTACTATAATATCTTTTAACCGGTCAGCAACCTAAGGCCGACATTGACAAGGAAAGGGCAAAGCTAAACGCACCGCCGGGCCAAATAATCTTCATGATCTGACCCAATCTGCGCATGGCGCATGAGTGTGTCCTTGGCGTCATATCCAAAGCTAACAATCTTATGGACTTTTTCAATGCGGCCGGTTTGAGTAGCAAGGACACTCTCTAAAATATCGGTGACAGCAATATCTACCAGATGTCTCCTTTTGTAAAGGCCTTTCCAATCAACCTGGGAAACTGGTAAGTTAAGCTTCTGCTGAAAACGATGGCAATTGCCCCAGTAAATAAAATGATTTAGGCAGTATAGCCGCCAAAGTAGAGGACTATTAGTGATAGCCCAATACCTCCAAGATGTTTGCCCTAATGCCACAGTTGACGCAGGTGTCGTCCATGCAAGAATGCATTGCACAATTTCATCCGGGAGATCATCCATTGCGATAGTGTCTGCCAAAAGGAAAGAAGGAATAAGTCTAGAGATCGTAGAATGAAATCAGAAATGTTTCCTGGAGTAAAGGTCAGAAAAAAAAGTACAGACAACATTCAGAAAGTGGCAATCTCTACTCCGTACTCCGTACATTACTCATAACTAGTTAGCGGATCTACAGAGGAGGGAGGTCCGGAGTCCACTACAGAGTTAACATCCGTCATAACTAACTAGTTAACTAAGTTAACTAATTGACTAACCAACTAGCTAACTAGTTAGCTAACTAATAACACACCAGTTAGTTAGCTAGTTAGTTAACTAGTTAACTATGAAGTAATGCTCACTGAGCAAGGCTGGTCATTGCAACCCTTCATCTTTGTCTGATCTGGAAACACATGACCTTTTGTAGCCAGAATACATATATGTGGAAGACTGACGCTTGGAAACTGGTGCTTTGAGCAGATCCCTTTAATCATGCTACAGCTTTAATCACTAATTTATGAAAACGCAGTTTCCCCAGCAGAAATAATATCCCATCCCAACTGTCCAAACCATACACCATTAGCCAACATGAGTACCGTCGACATCGGTCAAAAATGCAAAAAGATTGTGGAGTATTTATGGGATCCAGAGCCGAGAAATGATGACAGCCCTGCCGAACCCATCTGGTGTTTAGGGCGGAGGTACTCTATTCCCGAGCCCATCGAACGGTCCGACCTACGAAATCAATCTTTTCCACCAAATCAACCTCCATCACCGTCTCAGGAAGCATTAGAGTATTCCAGCAAACCGCCAAGTCAAGCAGACTCTCATGATTTTAGGAATCTAAGTTGGCCAGCTGCTTTCCTGGACGATTTTGAATCAAGGATTTGGATTACCTATCGGTCAAACTTTCCGGCTATTCCAAAATCAAAAGATCCAAATGCTCAGCAGGCTCTCACATTCAGCGTGCGACTCCGAAGCCAATTGTTGGATACCCGTGGTTTTACAACTGATACAGGGTGGGGTTGTATGATCCGGTCAGGGCAGAGCCTCCTCGCAAATGCTCTTCTGATTCAAAAGTTAGGTCGAGGTGCGAAGGATTGCCCTTAGTTTTCTATCCGAATCTGACTCCTATCCGAACAGACTGGCGACGAGGCTCGGAAACAGGAAAGGAAATTGCCTTGTTGTCATTATTTGCAGACCGTCCTCAAGCACCATTCTCTATACATAGGTTCGTTGAACACGGTGCAGCGGCCTGTGGCAAACATCCTGGGGAATGGTTCGGGCCGTCTGCGACCGCACGCTGCATTGAGTAAGTTTACAATAAGCTGGGATATTATGGTGCCATGTTCAAGCATCTAACTATTGATAGGGCCCTTTCCAGTGAATGCGAACATGCTGGTTTAAATGTATATGTGACCAGTGATGGGTCTGATGTGCATGAGGATAAATTTCGCCAAATCGCTGGATTAGATGACATAAAGCCAACACTCATATTACTTGGGGTGCGCCTTGGAATTGACAGTATCACTCCTGTGTATTGGGATGCTTTGAAGGCGATTATCCAGTACCCTCAATCTGTCGGAATTGCAGGGTATGATATGGCCGCGTTTAGCTATATTATATAAAGCATAACTGACTTGGTTAGTGGCCGTCCGTCGTCTTCACTCTACTTTGTTGGTGTTCAAGGGTTACATTTTTTTTATCTTGATCCGCACCACACACGGCCTGCAGCTTCATGGGACCAAAATTCGACCTTGTCGTCCGAAAGCTTAGCTACCTATCACACTCGCCGGCTTAGAAGACTACATATCAAGGAAATGGACCCAAGCATGTTGATTGGGTTTCTCATCAAAAATAATGATGACTGGCATGATTGGAAACATCGTGTCCGATCTGCGCCCGGAAAACCAATCATTCATGTCTTTGACGGAGGACCACCAAACTTTGGGCGGCACTTTGAAAGAGAAGGCGCCGTGGATGAAGTTGAAGCTCTTGATGATGACGATGAACTGCATTTACCAACACCTATCAAAGATAGACCGTCATCATAAATGGCAAGGTTTCCCTACTAATTACGGTCACCCTTTGGCCTACATTTCATTCTCCTCACATTATCCGCTAAACTCGTATCCTTCAATATTGTCCTGAACTTACACTCAAAAACGACGTGCGTAGAATATAATTTAGCAACAGGGGGAACGTATCATTCCGGTTCATCTCCCTAGCTGCGTATTGTACAAACGAACCTTAAGAATTTCACATAAACCATGATAACCTCGACGTAAAAACCAGAAAATCCAGCCCATCCCGCAAAATATTGAAACCGCAGAACACCCAACCCCACCTCACGCAGCCATCAAACGTAGACCGGGGAGATGAAAAAGGAAATTGAAAGAGCTATTATTTCGCAGAAGAAGAATATTTCGTTACAGCTTTGGTGCCTTCGGAAACAGCATGTTTCGCAAGTTCACCAGGCAGAATGAGGCGGACCCTAAAGGAAAGGGTCAGCTGGCGTTGTACTTATCGGCTAGAAGGAGCCGGAGAGGGGGAAACATACGAGGTTTGGATTTCTCGGGAAGAGATTGTTGATTTCTTATTGTAGGCAGCAAGCTTCGACGCCTCGGTAGCAACACGTTCAAAGATATCTAGGTCCTGGTTAAAAATAACATCACCAAGATATCTGCCAAATCATACATACCATTGACGAAAGAGTTTAAGATTGACATCGCACGGTTAGATATTCCGGTATCAGGGTGGACTTGCTTAAGCACTACCATACCATAGGTTAATATCTGTAAACTTCTCCGAAAGTGAATGCCGAGGTATACCTTTGTAGATATAAGAAGAATAGGTTTCCTTTCTAGCCTTGGTACGCTTCTTCTTCTCACCGGAAGCAGCAGTCTTCTTGCCGGCCTCCTTCTTTTCAGCAGGTGCTTTACCGCCGGCTGGCGCCTTTCCACCAGTACTAGGCTTCTTCTCGGCTGCTTTTGGTGCCATTATTAAATCCGGTTGTTTAAGGAATCAGGGGATATGAACTTCTTGAATGTGAAAGTATGGGACAGCGTGCGAAGGATGGTAGTAGACAGTGGATGAAGATGAAAAGAAATGAGCGTTGACATCGAAAGGAGCGTCTCCTACTTATAGGCCCACCAAAATTGTTGGTTGATCTCAGGTGGGTGAAAGAGGCAGAATTTCGATACGGTAACGAGCTCGTATGATCTGTATGATTAGCAATCAGATTTGCGGGGAGTCGTGGCTGAAGCGCGCTAATAACATCGTACCAGTCTGTATGGGCTAAGTATGCTGGTCTTACCTAATTGGGCACCCCATGACAACATTTGTACCGAAGGCCAAGGTGAAAAATCATGTGTGATTGGTCTGATTTATGATTCCCACATCCATCTCAGATCAAGTTGATTCGGAGGTTGTTTTCGGTCGCACACCCTGCCTGAGCTCACTATTATATAAAGCCACTTGTTACCGTCTCCCTCAAGACTCTTCATTTACTCCATTTCGCCTTCCAATTCACGACTTCCTCTACGTCCTTTACATTTCTCCAGCCTTCGACTAAACTTTCAAAATACTACAATTCGCGAACCCATTCCAAGATGACTGGTGGTAAATCCGGCGGTAAAGCCAGTGGCTCCAAGAGCTCCCAATCGTACGTCAACATGATATTTCCCAAGACGCGCCCATTCCAACTCTTACTAACTACACTTTAGCCGCTCGTCCAAAGCTGGTCTTGCATTTCCTGTTGGCCGTGTTCATCGTCTTCTTCGAAAAGGCAACTATGCGCAACGCGTCGGTGCCGGTAAGTCCCAACCTTTTCTAGTACGTTCATGACTAAATGAAAATAGGTGCGCCTGTATATCTCGCCGCCGTTTTGGAATATCTTGCAGCCGAAATTCTTGAGCTCGCCGGAAACGCAGCAAGAGATAATAAGAAAACGCGTATCATCCCCCGTCACTTGCAACTCGCCATTCGCAATGACGAAGAACTGAACAAGCTTCTGGGCCATGTTACCATCGCTCAAGGTGGCGTCATGCCTCACATTCATCAAAGTAAGGTCGTTTTCGCATGAATATTATAGTTCATGCTAACAAGTTGATAGATCTTCTCCCTAAGAAAACACCAAAAGCCGGTAAAAACCCAAGCCAAGATCTTTAAATCGCCTTCGTTTGTTTCTGGGTTTTCATTTGGCGTCTTAAGTATGGTATCCATTAAGGTGCGGTTATGGGGTTATGGTCGGTCGATATGGTTTTTTTTTAAATGGTTGCTATGTACATTATGTCTTAGCTGAGCATATCAATGATGCAGTGATTATTACAAGTGTTCCCACTGCTATTGAAATGGAATATTTGAAGTAAATGCTCCAAGTTACCCTGGCTCCTCATTGGTTATTAATTTAGAAATCGGAGCAATTGGTGTTACAAGGGCTCAGTCGAAAACCGGCGTATCAAAATCCTAAAAGAACAGAAACGTCCGAAATTTGGGATCGGGGTAAAGTCGTATTTTCTATCTAGCGGGAGACCAAATGATACTAATGTAACGCCGCCCGTTGTGCCATTTCCTGACTTTGAGATAGGGGTGCTTCGGAATTCACAGGTCAGTTGCAGCACCCTAAGGACGATGGGGATCGGAGGCTTACGATTTAGTAGAGGTGCCTCAAGATTCCTTTCATATTTTGAGCCTAGAGAAAGTTAACTCATCAGCATCCAAAATTAAGGTCAAAGGGCCTTACCACCAGGTGCAGTTGGATGACGGTAAGGGTCGGGGTGTTTCCATTTCTCCAACAATTTTTCTGTTTCCTGGAAAAGTGCCTGCTCGTAACAGAGAATATGTCAGTTAATGATTAAACAAATTCGATGCCACAGGGCAAAACAAATACCCTTTGCTGACGCGGATCCCGAATGTCCTTGTTGGCATCGAATAAATAACGAATATATACCGCCTGCCCGCGCCAGAGCTGTCTATGAACAGCCCAATCAAGGGAGAGTTTCAGCGCCCGGCGATAAAGTGCCCTTGAATCGAGTTAGTTGAAAATCAGCGAAACCACAACGGTGACGTACAATACTGTGCTCTTTGCCGACATAATTTATGGAAACGAGTAGACAATTGCAATTGTAGAAGAGCTACTCTTTCCAGCGAACATATATAAATAATTAATGTTAATGGCAAGATCGAGTTTGAAGTTGAGGCTTGGTAGAAAGTCCTGGCTTGTTATTACTAAGGGTTTCGTTACATAGTTAACTAGTTTACTACAGAGTAAGGTGTTACTCGTACTCCGTACTCCGTGCATAACTTAAATACGAAAAACTGGGGGAAAGAAACCCGATACGGAGTGCTTTCAATTACCCATGGATTAAAATCTTACCCGCCTGTCGTGTAACTTCAGAACTTGACTCCATTTTCCGTTGGATATATATTTTCCAACCCTATCCTTACCAATTGCTCGCCCATTTGACCATCAATTGAGGAAGAAACATCACATGTTGGTGTCAAGTATGATGGCCTCTCGAGTCCAAATCATCCACGCGGTCTCGCGCACAGCAAATCAATTCGGCCGCTCTCCAAAGTTGTCAACTCCGATCCGATTACTCTCATACGCAAGGGCCCGTACAATTCCAAAATGCTTACCGGGACCTTTGAGGTAAAGAAATACCAAACTGCCAAGAGCTCCGTTGCTAACAATCTGCTTACAGGCAAAGCATAGTGCCGCATGGCCCATTACGACTAAGTTGCTGCCAGCTTCGATTCTACGGTTCGATGTCTATTGACACTTCCACTTCGGAAACTAACTAACACATCAGCAGCGGATACCATCGTCAAAGTTCCCCAAATGGCGGAGTCTATATCAGAAGGCACCTTGAAACAGTTCTCAAAACGTAAGTGGCTCTCAAATTTCAGATGCAAACGTTACTATAGTCAGATTGTCACGCATGACGCTTGTTCCAGTCGTATGGGCTGACGACATGGCGCAACAGAGGTCGGGGATTTTGTGGAGAGGGATGAGGAGCTAGCAACGATCGAAACTGATAAGGTAACCGCATCTCTACTGGTACTAGAACCTATCACGGGCGATCGCTAATGGCCATCTAGATCGATATCACTGTGAATGCGCCAGAGTCTGGGATAATCAAAGAATTCCTGGCAAAGGAGGACGATACAGTGATCGTAGGGCAAGACCTAATCAAAGTGGAGCCATCAACAGAAAAACCAGCCGCCCAGAAGGAAAAGCCGGATGAAACCACAGAACCTGCCAAACCAAAAGCAGCGAAGACTCAACCGAAAGAACAAGTGGAAGATGTAAAGCCGGCCCACCCAAGTCAACGGAAGTCTGATGTGAAAGAAAAAGACGCCGCGCCCAAAAATGGACAGCCTGCCAAAGACGCCCCTGCACCCCAGCCAATAAGTACCAGTCATAGGAACCTTGGAAACAGAGATGAGCGTAGGGTATGTGACCGTTCTGAAAACTAGAATTGCAATGTTCTGATACCATGGTTAGGTAAAGATGAACCGCATGCGACTACGCATTGCGGAACGTCTAAAGCAATCTCAGAATACGGCGGCTTCGCTAACAACTTTCAATGAAGTTGATATGTCGTCACTCATGGAGTTACGCAAATTATATAAAGAAGATATTCTAAAAACGAGGGGTGTCAAACTTGGATTCATGAGCGCATTTGCTCACGCATGTGTGTTGGCAATGAAAGAGGTCCCAGCCGTCAATGCCTCGATTGAAGGGCCAAACGGAGGTGATACTATTGTATACCGAGATTATGTCGACATCAGCGTTGCAGTTGCAACAGAGAAAGGACTCGTGACCCCTGTGGTGCGCAATGTAGAGACCATGGATCTCATTTCGATCGAAAAGGCAATCGCAGATCTTGGACAAAAGGTAATCCCAAAACTAGAGTCCCTTTCAAATACAACAGCTAATTTTTGCATAGGCTCGAGACAATAAGCTAACAATCGAAGACATGGCTGGTGGCACATTCACGATCAGTAATGTAAGGATGCCTGCGATTGTATATATCCCAATCGCTAATATGAGAGATAGGGTGGTGTTTTTGGGTCCTTAATGGGTACTCCCATTATCAATCTTCCACAAACAGGTCAGAATCAAGTCCCGGATATAAGGAACATCTTACCTAATCGTCGAATTATAGGTGTACTGGGTCTACATGCGATCAAGAATAGACCAGTTGCAGTCAATGGGAAAATTGAGATCAGACCCGTAAACCACTCTCCTTCACTAAATGACCCATGTGCAGTTGCTGACTTCTTTTAAAGATGATGTATCTAGCTTTGACCTATGATCATCGCCTCCTTGACGGGAGAGAAGCCGTCACCTTCTTAGTTAAGGTAAGTGCTAAGCCCTATTGGTTGTCAACACTAGGAATCCTAACATGACGTTTAGGTCAAGGAGTTCATCGAAGACCCAAGGCGCATGTTGCTAGCGTAAAGTTCTTAAAATATTTTTTACTCAAGGCTTGCTTTGCTATTAGTACTAAATGTGGTGTTGAACTGCAAGCGGTCAAAGTGTACTTGTAGACATCTGGAAATCATTCAGATTGAAAGTTGAAGAAGTTTTTTTCTGTGCAATTGCTAGTCATTGAGCCATAACCATGAAGGTTCAGCGTACTCTAGGCTTCCTTAAACTTGAACATAATTAGCTAACTTCAATGTACAAGAGGAATAATTGATCGATCAGACACCACCAATGCAGCAAGGTCTTCGGAGCTGACCTCTTTAGTTCACTGCCAATTGTGAGTGATTAGATCAGTATCCCATGAAAAAAAAAATGTGTCACATAACAACACAGGCATCATATGTGGTGCCATAAAGATCCCTGCTAGCTGCTCTTTCATTTTCCTTTTGCTTTGCCTTTGTTTCCTTTGGGAAGACAGTGCTCAAAAAGACCAGCAGTTCTCGATCCAGGTTGTCTATATCCTCAAGTTAATTATAGAATCTTGTTGGAACAATACAACAAAACATACCACTTGTGGCTTCCATAACAACATCCTCACGGCATAAAGCACACTGGTTCTGCCTTGCCTGTTGCATGACGACAAGACATCTAATACAAAAAACATGGTTACACCGCAACCTGACTGGTTTGAAAGCTATACTTAAGCATATGGGACAGAGGTAGTCATTAATTTGTGGGACAATGGTAAGAAGCTCTTGAGATATTGATTGACAAAGCAGCCGAGCGATATTTTGAGTAAGAAAGGGTTCCAGAAGTGGAATTGCCGGATAGACACGAAGCGCCGTCCGTTTGTCAAATTTTTTGAGGATTTTGCGAAGAGCTATTCGGTTGATCTCCTGAAACTTCTGGTTTTGAAGAAGGGCTGAATTAATACGCAGGAACGACTCAAGGGCAATGCGGCCATCTTTCCCAAGCTTTTTATAGCGATTCCCTTGGGACAGGCTCTCCTGGTACTTCACCAGTTGCTGCTGGGCCTGAGCAGATGTTCTCTCGCCTGAATCGAACTCATTGGTAGAGAAAAACACCTGCGATTCTATGTACAGCCGGAATATTTCACGCCAAGTGTATGAAGCATGTCCCGAACGCCCAAGAGTGGTATTGGTCGTCTTGACAATGGTTTCACGTAGGAGTTTGATCTGAAAGTCTAATTCCTGCCGTTCTCTCTCCTGCAACTGGTTAAGCGCTGACAATTCTCCTTGCAAAATTTGAAAAAACTCAGCGTCCGCATGTAACGGGATTTCAACCTCTCTAGGAGTGTTAAATTCTCCGGGCACAGTAACGGACGGTCGAAAGGGCCCGTTTTCATGGGACCTAGAGAGTACTGTAGCATCTTCGCTATTATTGAGTTTTTGTGATGCACCCGTGCCAGTAATGAACGGCTTAACACTGGCACTGAAAAGATGTCGGAAGTTGTCACCGGTTTCTGCGGGCAAAGACGCGGGCATACCCAAATCGTTGTCACCGATAAGAAAAGTCAACCTCGGATTTATAGAGGGTGATGAAATGGACTCTGATCAAAAATTACTAAAGAGGCATCAAGCGGATTCCGGACCTTCTTACTTGGGAAAATATAGCGAAACCCAACCACTGATCTATCAGGTTGCCCGACGATATCCCTCCGTGTTTCCGAAAGCCAGAAATGATCGAGGATTTCAGGCCGAAGGCCCAACTGAACAAGTTCGCAACGAAGCCGTTTGATGCACTTTTTGAGTTGGCGGTAGGAAATGGTGCAATTCACCCAGTCTAATGGGAATCCCTCGGCTTCAAGAGTGTGAGAGTACTTGTGAGCGAATTTCATATTGCAGATTATGTTTCATCACATCAGTTCCAGGAAATATACTAATAACATAGATTTGAAGGACAAGAACAGAGATAAGCTGGAAAGTGTGTACATCTCATGTGGAGCCTCATGTGGATGGAGTGGTCAACATGGTAACATATTTCCCCACCCAATGAACATCCCCATCCAACAAACACCCAAAATTCACTTAAACCTTAAACCTTTCATCTTCAAAATTCAAAATATGGTCAACAAGAAATCTATACAGCTTGCAATTGAGGATTTGAAAGGTCAAGAGACCTCTAATTTTAAATCTACTGCTGAAAAGTATGAAATTAAATGAATTAAATTTGTAATATGAGAATGAAAGGTGGATTGGTTATTATTATTATTATTATTATTATTATTATTATTATTATTATTATTATTATTATTATTATTATTATTATTATTATTATTATTATTATTATTATTATTATTATTATTATTATTATTATTATTATTATTATTATTATTATTATTATTATTATTATTATTATTATTATTATTATTATTATTATTATTATTATTATTATTATTATTATTATTATTATTATTATTATTATTTTTTTCCTTCAATAAGTGCATTCAGTCTAAGACTATGGCACTGTACTAAATACATAAGATGAG